TGCAATTTCTCCATACTGTTCTCTATACATTTCTTTAGGTACTTACAAGGAGGGTTTATCCTAGAGTCAAGACCTTCCTGAGTTTGCAACAATTTTCTTTCTTTCAAACCGTAATGTTTGGTTCAGGGATGATACCATTTTTTGGAGAAATTAGATGATTACTTATATTTAGGGGTTAAAGGGTTGAGCAAGTTTCATCGCTCAAACAGAAAAATATTTCCAATGAAAACATACAAAAATAAAAGAAAGGTAGAGGTAATCAAGTCAAACTACCAAACAAAGTTTTGTTTGATTTTTGTTCTTTTATTTTTTTGCAGGAAGTTTACCAATAAGACTAAACTTGATGCACTTTGTGTATTAGAACCCTTTACTAAGCCCAGTTTTCCATGCCAGCTTTCAGATTTATCAAAAGAGGGTATACCAGAACAATTACAACCAACCTTTCTTGTATGCAAGGGAGAAGATGGAGGTTTGTTAAGGGGATCTATGGGTGCCTCTCTAATATATTTTCTTTCTACTCAGCTGACTGTGTTGATCTGGATCTGGGAATGGAAAATGAGAGAATTTCAGATGGTAATATAACCGTTTCTTCAGTTCAAAATGCCAGCACACCAGCCAAGAATGGTCGACTGAACTACACATCAGGATCATCATGGTGTGCAAGACCAAGTGACACTAACCCGTATCTACAGATTGATCTACAGGCACTTTATATCATCTGTGCTGTGTCCACTCAAGGGAATTCTCAAGCAGATCAATGGGTGAAAAACTATACACTTCAATTCTCCAATGATGGAACAACTTGGATGGTCTACAGAGAAGGTGGACAAATTAAGGTAACATGTTAAAGACCATATGCATGTCACTTGGCTTTTATTGATATTTGCAGTTGTCTACAAAAGAATTAAATTTGACTGCCTCTTTGTTTGACACTTCCTACAGAGTGAAGATGCATTCTTAATGAGGTCTGATTGGGAACATTAATCTGTGAAGAACTTTGATTTTTCACAAAACAATTAATGGAGAAAATTGTTAGAGCTGTTTTTTCTTGTCACTCTGTAGAGGAACAATACAGGGAAAAACTTTTATTTGTACAGCATCCCCAAGATCATGGAGAATGAGGATAGATGTCAAAACTGAATGCCATTAGACTTACTAAAACCTAGTTTAAACAAGGTTTAATTGTGTAAAGGAGGGATGAGGAGAACAAAGATGAGGAAATAAAACCAATATACTTGATGCTTACAACTACTAGAAGTTTGTTATTATATTTATTTACATATATTTCTGGAAATAGATGTATATCTTTAAATTTTTAGCTGATGGTTTTGATTTCAGACCTTTCAGGGAAATAGTGACAGAGCCTCAGAGGTGAAGCATGTTCTTTATGAAAGTGTTGAAGCACACTACCTACGAATCTTGCCAAGTGCATACCATGGTGCTGTGTGTATGAGAATAGAAGTGTTCGGTGTTAAGCGAAAACCAGGTTATTATTTTATTAATTACCTTTGACTACATAATAGCCGAATTCATGAAAAAGTTCTTTATCAAGGCGCATAAACAACTTCACATACAAAATTATGCTAAGTGTAAAACCTCTCTTTTGAAAATTAGTTTATTTGCATTAGAAGGAGAAGTGCTTTTGATGGCAAAGTCTTTGAGTTCTACATCATTTTCAATTCAGGCATTTTATAAATTGCCTTGATAAGTGATGGGTGAATTGAACTGAAGTATGGTGGAGCTAGTAAGGATCAAACAGAGAAAATGCAAACCATAAATTGAAAACATGCTGGAGTTAAATGTTTTATTTAGTACTGTCATCCTTTTGATTTGCCCTAAAAAGCTAAAACTCCTTACATAAACTCTAAGTACATTTATAAATATTGCCAGATGTGGAATTCATGCATGCCTACTTTGTAGATCAATGGGGATTTATTCATTTGGTATCTGGAACAAAGAGGTCAGACAAATTTTGAACGGGAGATCATTGCTTTGTATGGAAAGTTTCTCAGTGAAAATTATACAATTAAGGAAATACTCTGGTAGAGGCAGCTCACAAATCTGGTATCTTCTTCTTTTTATTTGCTCTTACATTTTTAGAAACTTCAGTCTTTCTTTTTCAAAAATATACCAGGGCATCTTTATCTGCACTTACTTGGGAGTTGATCAACTCTGACATTACTTTATCCTAGCGGGCTGATATACATGTAGGTGTTTGCAAAATGCAATACTGAAACCTTAGTTGATATTAATTTATTTTCTGTCTTGACACAGTTAATTTTGCCCTTGGGAAGACCACCTCTCAGTCTTCAACATTTAGTAATACTCGGTTGGGTGTGTCAGGTGTGTCAGATAAAGCAGTGGATGGTAATTCTGATACTGAATTTAGAAATGGAAGCTGTACACATACTCAGTCAAGCAATGCAAGCTGGTGGAGAGTTGATCTGGGTTCAGATAAGGTTCCAGTCTCTGACATATTCATAGTCAACAGATTTTCAACAATTTCTCATGTGATGGATAGAAGCAAAAATTATAATATTACTTTGGGTGAGCAGTCACTATACTTTTCATGTAATCAATTGATATAAGCTTAAGATTAATGGATACATTAAAAGTAATAAAACAAAGGCAATTCCAGTGTGTCAGGTTGGAAAACCATAGTTATATGCTCAATCTCAACCCATCTATGCAGAAGTTTTACCGCGCACAAGTATGTAAAATATTATGTACATATTAATAAAGTGTTGTAGAGGGAGTTATATGTTGCTTTTTCAATTTGATGTTTCTGTTGCTGCTGAATTGAGATATTTGAACCCCTCAATATACTTTGTGTATTTTACAAATCAATATAATTACACGCTTTAAACAATAGTTATGGATATATATTCTATTTATTATAAGTGGTTCAGTTAACTTTATGTGTAAATTTACATGTACATGCATGCAAAATCTTATTTCCCTTTGAAACTGTGTCATACCGAAACCCAGTTTAGAAGGGAAAAACAAGTTTATATCATTAATGAAAAACATTTATACAGTAGTTTGTCACACATTTGGTATGTACAGAGCATTGAGGTGAACTGTTATTTTTATTTATTTATTTATTTTTAATAACATCAGGTAACAACCCAATAGTCGTAAACAACACTCAGTGTAGAGGACTGTACAGTTTTGTTAACTTCAAAGCATCAGCTGTTTGTTTTACCAACCCACTGATAACTGGCAGATTTGTAGGGATATCAACAGTAAGGAAACAAGCTCTTCAACTCTGTGAGGTGGAAATCTATTTGCGAGGTACATTTCATTAACCATAGAGATTGATATTGACTAAAGATCTTTGTAGCAAAACTTTGAAGTTTTTGTTAAGTTGTAGTGACACTGTTAGTTCCAAAATCTCTTCTGACCACACTTTTAATGTGACAATAGGCTGATTAACATAATTGCATGTGTCATTTCAGATAATCTTGCATTTGGAAAACAAACAAATCAAAGTAGTGTAGAGTTTGGTGGTGTAAGTAGCAGGGCAGTTGATGGTATCAGTAACACAGACTATTACGCTAACAGCTGTACCCACACTGGCAAAGAACTCAACCCTTGGTGGAGAGTTGACTTGGGACAAGTTGAACCAGTTTCAGAAATATACCTAGTCAACCAAGAAAACCAGTGGTTTTACAGGCAGAATAACTTTGAGATCAGAGTGGGTAGGTTAGATCATTTTTGAAATTGTAACACTATACCATAGAGTCAAAATGTTTCAAGCAATCATGTCTCATAATGTTGGTAGTGACAAATTGTCTTCATGCTTGAACTGGTGGGTTATATTTAAGTTTATCTATGCCTATATGCAAAGAAATATTAGGTGGAAATTTTTGTCAAATACATCATGATGAAGTGTCATGGTGAATTAACATTTTCTTTCTACTCTACTTGTGGAAGATATGATGAAATAATGAAGGCTGCACTCTGGATCTGAAGGATGTAGCTAATATTCTCATAACACTGTGTAATGATAGTAGCTGGGTAATCAAGTTCTTGGTTGCTTTTCCTGCCAAACCCTAAATTGTTTCCTGATTCTTTACAGGCACAGTATCTAATAATGGAGGAATTACGAATCCCAGGTGTGGTGATGGGCAGAGTTATGGCCTTCCAAGAGGAAAAGGGGTATCCTTTTTCTGTCGTCCTGTATTATTTGGAAGATACGTGACAATAAGAAGCTTAAGAACTGACAGTGAACACTTCACACTTTGTGAAGTTGAAGTTTATTCTGAAAGGAGAGGTAATACATCTTATATAAAATACCTGGATATATTTGAAAACCTCACACTGATTGAAGTCTTAAGTTATTGCACAGAGGAGTTATGCTAATGTACACTAGTTCTACATTCATGCTTTACCTTACTATAGAACCATCCCATGCCCTTGCTCCGACATATTTAAATGACATTTCTCTCTGCCATGCTTTAACTGTGCCTGCAGGTACAATTTGATTGAATCCCAGTAGGCTTAGTCTTACTGGCATTTTCCTCAATTTTTTTTCTTTCCATGCATCTGCAATTTGAAACTTGTAAGTCAGCCAAAGTTCTGTTTATACTTGACCTCACAATAAAACCATTCCTAGCCTTTGCTCTAAATCATTTAATGGACAGTTCTCTCTGCCATGCCCTAACTGTGCCTGCAGGTACAATTTGATTGAATTTTTTTCAAAACCTTTATGCTAAGTGAAAAACACTGGTACAATATTGAACATTGATTAATGTCAAATATGTATTGAAAGTCTGGTACTATAGACTCCAAAAAAATTTCAAATCAATACACCTGATTAAACAAATGAAAGCCATCAGATTATTAGACAGCTCTCATATGATTTATTTAAACTGAACCTTACATAAATGCAAATTAGTTTTGTAGTGGCAGGTTTGCTGTCTACTTCTTTGTGTTACATGTATCTGCTTGTAATTAATCAGTTCATCGTTTTCTTATAACTGATTACAGCTTGCCAAATGCAGGCCATAGGTGTGGCCAGCACTGACACACTTCCTGATGCCAGCTTCTCAGCATCAAGTGAACGTACAAATCTTGAAGCTTTTAAAGGTCGACTGAATGCATATAGGGGATGGTCACCCAGCAGAAGTGACAGACCTGATGATTATCTACAAATTGATCTGCAGTATGAGTTTCTTATTTGTGCTGTAGCTACTCAAGGGAGGTCAACTTTTAATGACTGGACAACTGAGTACAAGTTACAGCTATCCTTTGATGGTTCCACTTTTGTGACTTACAAGGAAAACAATGTTGACAAGGTTGGTTAAAAAAACCATAGGTGAGATTGAATACAGAACTGTAAAAGATATTCTTAGAGTTATTCTAAAGGGAGATTTTAAGAGCTACATGTATGTGAGGGTTTAAGTCTCAAACTCTGAACCCTGGAGAAAACTTGTGAACTTGAATAAAATGTGAAATCTTAAAATACATTACTCCTCATCGTGTACTGAGAGAAATGAGCATCTATAATGGTGGACAGACATGCATGTCTCTAAAAGCAAGGATCTTAAATGTTTATGATAAGGGCTATATTAAAATCCTGAGTAACTACAATATGTATGCACAATACCAAGTTTTCTGTCACAATATGTATAATGTAAATTGAATTAACTGAACTTATAAAGCAGGGAAAAGAGAACACATTCAGATACTTTGGTGCACAGTAGCCTCTAAAGTTTTCTAAAGCACTGACTGGCTCACAAGCTGAGGGACGTCATAATGACATTGTTTCAGAGTCTCATTTCTGTGGCCAACAACATTAAAATTGATTTATAAAGTTAAATCATCAATTCATACTTCGTATTAATTGTTTTAGACTTTCAGTGGCAATTCTGGAAGACATGACATTGTCAAACACAATCTCATAGATGTGAGGGCAAGGTTCATTCGTTTCCAGCCTGTCAAGTTTGTTAGAAACAAAGCTTTGAGAGTAGAGGTCTATGGAGTTCTTATATCTAGAGGTATATTATGTTTCATTTAATATCATTAAGTTTTCACATTGAGCAATTTTTAAGGCTAGCACAATGGTTAATTTATTATATAGCCTCTTTGGTCATTGGATGTAGTTTATTTTTGTGAACACTCTCTTTAGGGAAACATCATGTACAGGTGTTACACTGTACATTGGCCAAATTAGGAATTGGTATTTTCCACAAAAAAGGTCTTAACCTACAGCTGTATGACTCCCAATCATGGAGCTAGATATGCACCTATGTTAAATGTTGGTGGTTGTCTGCTTTTCTGAAGGGGTCTACAAATGGAAAATTGATCTGTTTAAGTCTGTTTTTGGATACATTATTTTACCATTTACATAATTAATCTCATATATGCACTCCCAGTAGTTCCTAAGACCCTACAAATTATTATTTTCCAATAACACTGTGCAAGACGTTTTACTAACTGGAAGAGTAAGGCTTGATTGACTTTGATCTCTTAAATACCACATGAATTGATTTTTATGTGCAAAAGAATGAAGAATATTGGTAGCATTGTTATTATTATTATTATTATTATTATTATTATTATTATTATTATTATTATTATTACTATTGTTATATTGTAATCAATATTATTATTGCTATTATTCAATTATCATTCTGTCTTAATTTCAGTCCCCTCAAAAGCACCCAGTAAATTGACTTTATCTGCAGTCTCTTCTACAAGTATCACTGCATCCTGGCATTTACCTCCTGCATATTCCAGACATGGAATCATTGCAGGGTTCAAATTGTTCTATAAAAAGAAAGGGTTTATTGGGTCAATACGTGTGGAAACTATCAATGATGGAAGGACCTTTTTAGGAGTAATTAATGGTCTGGATAAGTACACAGAATACGAATTTCAAGTGTTGGCGTTCACGTCTCATGGTGATGGACCAAAGAGTTCAGTTGTGGTGGAGAGAACAATGGAAGATGGTAAGAAACTTTATTGTTTGTAGCAGTTGCACTTCCACTTTTGGTTGGTTTTCAAGAGCCTATCATTGTAAAGTTGGGTTGACATGAATGAAGGTGCAGTAATATGTTTGACTGTGTATATATGTTGAAATCCTAACAAAATATACATTAGAAAGTTTAATCCCAAGAATCTGATCATTAAGTTCCTTGTAACTTAGTCAAGAAAATCTGTTTTCTTTTTCTCTATTTAGGTCTTTAATCTATCTGTTCTTGACACCATTTTTTGGATTATGTTTGAAAACTGTTATGCAAAATGCTTTTTAGGTGTCTTATTTGAATCAATATTAGCATCCAAGCAACTGCATATCTAACCCAACATTAACCCTACTTGCAATCAGTTGACTGTTGTTAGGTAAGGAGGAGTAGGTGTGCAGTTGCTCGGATATTGACATTCATGTATTATATTTGTAAGTTTATGGATTATGCTCACTATGGCAACTGAAGATGTAAAATGTAAAACATACTCTAAGAAGGTTATAATGTTAGGAATTCTTACAATGTATGTTTTAATCTGCATTCCTCATCCTAATGATAATAAAATTTTATCTTAATTTTAGTCCCTTCACAACCTCCTAGTGGCTTAGCTGTAGCAGCCAGCTCTTTTACCAGTGTTTTAGCATTTTGGCAGTTACCTCCTGAAGACTCCAGACATGGAATCATCAAGGGATACAAACTCTTTTACAAAGAAACAGGTGGTGATATGAGCTCCACAACCGAATTACTCATCAACAATGCAGCAATTCGGTCCATATCTGTCACTGGGCTACAATCTGGTACAGATTATGACTTTCAAGTGTTGGCCTTCACATCTAGCGGTGATGGACCAAAAAGCTCTGTGAAAGTCGTGCGAACAGTTGTAGATGGTAAGACACGGACAGAACATTCCATGGGAATTTCTTTATCTTTAAAGTAATTATTATTTTACATAATAAACCGAGCTAAGTGCAATTTTAATTCCTAAAACACTATTAATTTCTGACTTTTGCTCTAATTATAACTTTTTCTTTAGCACCTGGTCCTCCGGCTTCCCTCAATCATACTCTTAAAACACCGACTGAGTCACATGGACCAATGATAACTTTATCCTGGACAGCCCCTTCACAACCGAATGGAGTTATCAGGAATTACACTGTGTTTTACCACCACAGTGAAGATCCACTTAATACTCACAATGAGACCTTTGGACCAGATGTCTTTAGTTACACAGTTGATGTGTTGGGTGGAGTCACCTATTGGTTTAACGTCAGAGCTGAGATAATAAAACCTGGAGAAAACGCCTCTTTAATCGTTAATATCTCAGAATACAGTAAGTGCAATGTAGTCTGTCTTACGTGTCTTATCGATGTTAACAAGAAGCAAGATCTTCATTACCGGCACGTTTAGTTCAGTCGTGTAATGTGGATTGTAAAAAAAATGAAATTCAATTTTAATTAAACCATAAAAAATAAGTTTGGTAAGATTAAAAAAACATTTTTGGAATAAACTAAGATGAACTAGGGTGATTATGGACGAAGGAAATCGACATGGGTTTCAAATGACATGCTAAGGCCGTAAAAACTTCTTAGGGCATGATGGTTAACTTTTGACTGAATTGTTTTCCCTCAGAGCCTAATAGTGGCCCAGCTAATGTGTTTTCTGCCTATGTGAACAAGACCACCTTAAACATTTCATGGGCACCTCTACCAAGAGAGCAGAGTAATGGCGGCATCATTCTGTACAACGTCAAAGAAGAATTGTTGTCTCGGGGAACACGACAGAAAAGATCACCTCTGAGCGGCAAAACAGTCAATACAACAGACACATTCATTTTACTGAGTGGATTATTGCTTTGTTCGCAATACCAAGTATCTGTTCGAGCTTATACCAAAGTAGGTCCTGGCCCATATGGTCCACCTTTAGAACTGCCGAGAACGTCGGGTATGTAGTACGGCATACAGCAGTTAGAGTGAATTTAGTAAACCCAAAGCCAGTAACTACATTGGCCCTTCAAAATAAAGGAAGATATCCCAAAATTAAATTAGAACAGTTCATAAATAATAGAGAACAAAAAAGGAATGAAATAAGTCAACTTCTTTACAAGGAAATTTATGTTTACGCTGAGTATTAGAAGTATTTTCGCTTTTCTCAAAGGCCCGGGAACACCTTGGGGGTTAAATGCATCAAACGTTGGAGCAACCCAAGTGACACTGGAATGGAAGGAACCAGAGCTTATGACAAAAGAAGGTCTCAGCTATAGAGTGAGTTTCACGAAAGCAATAAAATGATGTTAAACCTAGCGCCACTTTTTTAACTTTTGATGTCAGCCATTATGCGAGGAGCCTCTTGTGTAATATTCTGCTGGAATTTTTTTAGGATAAGCAGAAACGTACGTGGATTTGGAAAGTTTGTCTCTCGCGTTTACAGCAAATGTTGTTGGAAAAGACAGATCTGACAATTGTTCTTTTTTTTCTTTCAGTGGTAGTCTTTGTTTGTTCGTTTTTTTCATGGCGTATTTCCAGAATGCAAAACCGTGGTCAGTCTTCTCCTTTTGAACAGGAGATATTGTTGAAAAGCTATGTGAAGTTTCACATAAAGCTGTCTTTCTTTCTTAAGGTGAAGTATCTCGGTATAAAGCCTTATAATGGAAGCTTTAGAGAGGAAGGTGTTCAGGACGTTGGCAGTTCCACCTATTACACCATGAAAGGTTTAGTTCCAGGTTCAATCTACGAGTTTCAGATTTTCGTGAGCTCTGTTTGTGGACTCGGAGAACCCAGAAGATTTCCTGATAGGATCGAAACAAAGATGACAGGTGAAATTTGATTTATATGAGCAGTTGCTTATTAATTTAAAAGACAGAGTTTTAGACTGATTTATTGTTGAGACTACTAAAACAGTATGAACTCATTTAAAAACCCTTTCTATCCAGAAATATACGGCTGATGAATATTAACACCTTTTTTTTTAAGAAATAATGAGTTAGCTTGCATGGTACTCGTAAAAAACGATGAATTATGCCGGTCTAATTTTTGTCATTGGCTAATTGTCTTTCACTAAGTTTACCAGGGTAAAATTTTCAACGGCTCAATAATTGACTCTTTTCTTTTTCGCTCTCCAGTTTAGAGTACATTAGCATATAGATAACACACACATTTTTCTGAAGAAAACACCTTTTCAAACCTGTTGCAATTTTCTTGCTTCTCTTTTTCATTTTAGCCCCGATCTCTCCAGCTGTACTTTCGGTGACGAATAAACGTATTTCGACATCAACTGTTGTGATTCGCTTGTGGCCTGCGGAGCAAAGAAATGGTCCAATAAGGTGAATTACTCATTTTTGGGGGGACTTACAAACCTTGATCCTAACTAAGATAATGCTCCTTTACCTTTACACTTGTCGCCGTCATTGAAGGGACGCCTGGATTTTCAAGTTTTGCAGTTCCCATCCATGTCGACCTCTCCTTTCATCACTGTTATTCTTACTTCTTTGGTATTTTGTTGCCCCTTCAGGCTATCTTTCCAAGATTTTGATAGAAGGGACATCTTTTTTACTCAAATTTCGTTACCTGTAGCTCCTTTAATCAAAGCTCTCTTTTTAAATGTTATTTTTTAAGGTTCGAGTACTTAAGTTAAGTGCAATGAACGTTAAAAAATATTCCAATTTCCTCTTTTTCAGTTCTCATCAAGTTATAGTTCTAAATGTTGTTGACGGAGTGGAAGATCTTCCGATTGATTTTGCTTCAAAAATACAAGATTCAAATAATTCCGAGAAAGGGAACCTGAATTTTTATGTTGCTGCTGAGCTAAAAAATATTCCGGGGAATGAAATGTCTTGGGAATTCAGTGTTGGCGATGGAAAAACGTATGGAGCATACAGAAACAAAGAACTCCAAATCGGAGAGGACTACATTGTGTACCAAAGAGCGATGACTTATGACAATGATGTAAGTAATTTCTGACAAGTTACAATCTGCCTGAAGCTTTCACCCAAATGGCATTGTATTCCTATCACACATGTAATACTCTTCCACTGGTTGACCTTAAGGAACCGCATAGGAAAAAGTATTGAAAAAGACCCAAAAAAAGCAGGAAAATGCAACTGTAAAAGACTTAACCCTCAAAGTTTCCAAAGGGAACCTTAGCCCTCCCTAGGAAAGGGATGACTGGTGTTAGGATTTTGAAAGCGTCCCGTGTCGCAATAGGGTGAGATCGAAAGATCTGTGATGGTACACAGCATGAAAAAATAACAAATTTTATGAATTTGTAATTAAGAACAACGCTTTCCCAAAGTGGCAGATTATATCTGCCAACTATTGGAACTTCCAGCAAAACTGAAAATGCTACTATCATATAACTACTAAAAGACAAATTAAGACTAACTTTACCTATTACGTTCATAGGTAATTTTATATGGACCAGTCAGCAAGGTGGCAAAAATTTCTGTCACTGAAGGCAAGATGAATACTTATTGATAATTTTGAGTCGAAATTTTCTTGATTTTATCATTTCACTTTCAAACCTAATATTTCTAAAAACAGAGGTACTCAGCTTGATAATTACTCTGTATTCATAATTAAATATTGACTAACCTTGGATGGGTGTTCTCCTTTTTTTGATACACATGCTGTAGGATTTGGAAGAAGAGAAAGCTCTAAATCTGCTAGTATTGTGCAGATTGCCGTTCCAGTGGTTCTGGTTATAGTCTTGGTACCATTGCTTCTTGTCGCAATACTGCTGTATCGGAGGTATGCTTGACCCGCATTAATAGTTTTATATAATGGCTTTGCAAGGTGTAATTTTCCTGATGATGTTCACAAGGGGTAGAAGCAAATTGTTTCATGTTCCTTATGTTGTAATGGAATATCATAAAAAGAAAAGAGCTTTTTATGCGTGCCCAGTGTAACTGTGTGTTTCTCACCACCGTTTCAGGAGGAGACGGGCAGAAAAGTCGGGCCCAGGGAAAGACAGTAATAAAGTACATATTCCACTTGGCGAATTCAGAATGGATTCAGTTGAGTCCAACGGAAGAACAGCTGACTTAGTTTATCAAAACGTGTCTGAAATTCCTTCAGATGAAAGTGGTAAGCTATTGCACTTAGATATTTTATGAATTAATGGTTAGTTAAGAGGTTGGAGGCAGATGATTCCTTCGCTCGATTTCTCACTTCTAGGACTATCTACAATGTGAAATCAATACCGATCGCCACATGAAGTTAAAATGTGATTGATGAAAAACCGATAATGTACATCTATATGATTACATTTTTAGCTCACTATCACGAGGAAAGGTTTACGACATAGAAATGTTAGAAAGGACGTCTTCGTTTAGTCATAGGAACTATGCAATTGTTGTATTTGTCCGGAACATAGGACAAAGGAAAGACATGAGTTGTCCGTTCAAGTGCGAGCGTCAGACCTCTCGAATTTTCGGTCGGACACTCTACCAAACGAGCTCTAAAGACCTCTTTTGTGAGCAAAAGAACGCTTATCACGAGGACCAGCAGTATTGAAAGTTTCTTAATGATTCAATGTGGAAATAAAGTAGGAAAGATGGTGAATTTTGAGATGGGTTGTCCGATCAAATAGATTTAAAGCATTTGTCACAATCGTGAGGCCGAGGAAAAATCTGGGTCTCTTGTGAGATTGGGACTATTAAGCTAAAGGGAATTACTTTTTAAATTTAAATTAACCTCCTTTGATTCCTCTTCACAGTTGGTGTGAAAGAATCTCTCCCCAAAGAAAAAGAATCGGTGTACAGTGAGGCTGATGATGGTACGCCAAAACCAATTCCTGTGGCGGAGTTTGCTCAATACTTCAAGAACAAATCAGTCAATGGAGGCATTGTGCTGAAAGAGGAATTTAAGGCAAGGCAAAAAAATTATGATAGCTTTTCAAGGGGATTTCCATAAGCTAATGCCGGTGTAGGTTGATTTGTCCATAGAAGGGTAGAAGAAAATTATATAACAACTGTTTCTCATAAGGTGGAAAAAGCAAAGCGAATAGAGAGGCTAACGCGCGCAGCCGACTGGTTAAACTGGTCTTTTTACACCGCAAAGTAACCAACTGTCCAAATAACCATACAATATCGCAGGACATTTGCACTCTATTCGCGCGTTATTTGTACTTTACTTTGTGCAGTTGGATAAAAAGAAGAAGTACTATCTGCTTCGACAAGGTTTCTTGCTTTAATGAAGAGAGTTTCCTTTTGCAAGTCTTTAATACTGTGTGATTGTTGCTGTTGTTGTTGGTTTGACGTAATTAAGTATAATTGTAGTTACTGTTTCATGATCATCAACAACAAATATGAATAGTAATTTCTAATAAGATTGCCTATCCCTTCAAATCAAAATAAATTAATGTTCAGTCGGTAGAACGGCTTGTGTACTTAGCTGGCTTGGAGACTTAGACAATTAACTTTTTATACTTATTTTTTAACAGAAGTTACCCAGCATTTTGCCGTTCTCTTGGGACGTTGGCAAAAACAACAAAGTGAAAAACCGTTTTGGAAATATTACGACCTGTAAGTGAATTTTATTTATTCTACACTATTCAGTTGTATTTTATGCAAGAAAAAATTTTTCTAAATACTCAGTCGCTTGAACGCAGAGTAAAGACATCAATTACAAATTTGCATTTTAAAAAAAATCGCTTTGCGGACCCTTAAATTTTGTGGAATCCTCTGTTATCGCATGATCGTAGGAATAAGTTTAACTAAGGGATTAACTCTTGCAGACGAAGAGTAGGGTGAACCAGGGTTTCCGCGGCCTACAACTTAGTAGTGGTCACTGGGTGAGAATTAGTTTGAGTACGAGTGAGTCATTGAGGAGAGAGATTCCGCTGCGAGAGATTCTCTGTAAAAACTTAAGACTGGCTCTTTTTCGTGACAGATGATCATTCTCGCGTTGTTTTGGAGAAAATAGAGGGTGATCCAAAGTCTGACTACATTAACGCCAGTTACATTCCGGTAAGTACAACCCCCATACCGCGTAGTACGGTCCATTTTAAAAGTACGTCACGATATTTCGAATTCTCTATTGTGTTGTTAAAGAAAACTTATTATAGAGCAATTTTCAATTGACAACAGAGAGTAACTTGGTATTGCAGTGTCTGGCTTTACTTCCCTTTTTTATTGTTCCTGTAAATTCGTGCCACTCTCTCGATCACTTAGATTTAAAACTGAAGTCAATTTTGGACTTGGTTGCTCTTGTTTCCCACGCTTTAGGCAGTTTGAATGTATTTTCTTTGAGTTATCTTTGGCTCACTGACATATCTACCTTTATTCTGCTTTGCTCTGAGATTATTATGTTATTGGCTTCACAACACTCGATCGGAATGCGCTTTTTTGGGATAAGACTTCATAAGGGTGGTTTGCTATGGTAGCCAAACACCAAATAGTTAAATATACTTCAAAATGGACCAAGGATTGTTACGGATGGAGAATGTAAAAACACATTACAAACGAAGAACCTAAAAAGTAAGAAACTTAACTAAAAGTAACTCTTCTCTCAGCTTGATGGGAAAAGCGAACAGAAAATATAAACAGCGAAATTATCACTTGTGTCTCTAAATCAAATCATCAGTTATGATTTAATAGTAACTTCTATTTCATTCTTAGACTGTTGATGAGGAATCAATGAACTACATTGCAACGCAAGGTAATAGAATTTGGTTCTTATTCACATTTTCCAACCCACAGTCGGTTGTACATTTTATTGTTTTTCTTGGATAATTGTTTAAAAAATACATCTGTTATATCACTGTTGTAAATCTGTGATAGATCTGTAGAGTGAAGTCTGCTTAGGTACGCGTGGTTTGTTTCTATCAAGTCTCTCAATACTTTGTTGATATTTTTTCAGGTCCAACCTCTACAACAATCAGTGATTTCTGGCGAATGGTCTGGCAAAATGATTGTTCTGTTATCGTCATGTTAACCAACTTGGTCGAGCTTGGAAAGGTATTCTTTCTGATGTAAAAAGTACTTTTCTTTATTACTCTATGGGTTCTCTACAGTATGTTAGTAAACTTTGTCGTGCCCAGTTTTTAAAACAGAACAGACTTATGCCCCATTCACACCAAAGCTTAAACATGTTTAAAAGTTGTTTTGTTAAACACAGTTTAATTTTTTTTTTCTTCATAGAAACTATTTAACCGAATATTTTTGACTTGAATGTAGCACATTGGAAATGCAAGTTAAAACAAGAAGTTTTTCAGTTCTCTGTTTATAATTTTCATTCAATGAAAACCAGTTTAACAAAACATGTTTTGCTGGTGTGAATGGGGTATTAGAAAACGATACAAATTGTTTTATTTTAAAAGACGAGTGATACATGTACAATTTTTTTTTACTCTTTAAGAACAAGTGTAATCAGTATTGGCCTGACAGTACTACGAGGTTTGGATCCATCACAGTAACACTACTTGGGACGCAAAGCTTCGCTGACTACTGCATCCGAACCTTAAAATTAGTCCAGGTAAGAAAATATAGAAGAAAACCTAATTTCCATGATGTTTACTCCTTAAAATAGAGTTAAACGTAATATATTTTTTTTTTCATAGAAAATGTTGCTCATCGTGATTTTAAAGATAAATGAACGTTTAGTCGTTTGTCTTGCATACTAGCCTGACTCCTACGAGCGTAATATTTGTTTGTAGGGCAATTGAGATTTTCATATTATGTTCAACGTGTACTTTCACGTTGGAAATGAATGACATTATGGTCCGGGGATCAAATTTACATTGATGCAGAGACATTGACAGCTTTTCTTACCTTACAAAAGCAGTTTATTTGAACATATTGATTACAAAGCCTAAACTTTATAACCCTTTATCTCCCAAGATCTCATTTGCAATTCTCCTTACTGTCTGTCATACAGTTCTTGTGATGTTAGTTTCGAGATCAACTAATAATTCCCTAATTAATATTTTCTTTATTCTCATCACTTGTCTGTTTGATATTGTATTGATATTGTAAGGAGAAATTCTGTCTTGGTCACTCATGGGAGTTAAGGTTTAACTCATAGGAATTACAGACACGAAAGCTCTCCTCCTCCTTTCCTCTCCGATTATGAACGTAGACTGTTTTTTTTTTCAACTGGAGGGTTTTTATGGTGATATAACTTAAGATTCTCTAAACTAACTCACCGAAAATTGCATGCCAGCTGCTAGAAGAGTGATTCACTGATTAGATCTTCGGGGTAAAATGGTTGCAATAGGCGAGATTGTTAAGTGACAACGATTCTGCACTCTGAATAACAGAGGTTTTATGATACTCAAAAGGCTATTATTTTTCAGTGGAAAATCATCACCGCCTTTGCAAAGTTGAAGTTTACACATTGTCAGAAAATTTTGTACTGACACTTTGATCGTGATTCGTCCTTTAAGCCTCAAAAGTAAAATTAAAATGAAGTTATAAGTCTTAATTTTCATCGGCATTAGGGCACAAAGACGCGTGAGGTTTACCAATATCATTTCACCTCGTGGCCAGACAGAGGTGTCCCACACCATTCGACTGCGTTACTTGCATTTAGATGGAAGGTTCATGTTCGAAATCAGACCACCGGCGGACCACTCGTTGTACACTGCAGGTACTCTTGAAAAAAATTGTCATTTGACAACAAGTGGGTGAGGTGGGAAAACATGTTAAAACAGCTGCTACGAATGAAAGTTTTCAGGACTGCTGTGGAGCAGTCTTTACCAAAGTTCTCGAAAACTCAAAGATCGCAGCTCAGCTCCACTAGAGAGTGCACTAGTGAGGAGAACAGCTGATCAAGGTCGCCCACTGCATGGATTCGCGGCCGTTAACATTCAAATACTAGTTAAATAATGTCTGAAGGTTTGTTACAACGAGGAAGGAGATCAATACGCATTAAAAATAATACAGTAAATAATTTTTAAGATGCGAAAACCTCCTCTTACCTCAGTGGGATAAAAAGTGGGTACTACACGTGTAGTGTAGACAGCATTCACCGCGTCTGGGCCGCAGAGGAATTCAAAATTGCTGGTCGGCTGAATTTTTTTTCCTTTTAACGACATGATCATTTTTTGCTTGTGATCTCTTATTTGTTTGTTTCATGACAGTGCTGGTGTTGGTCGAACTGGTACGTACATTGCTATCGACGCCATGTTGGAAGGGCTAAGAAGAAGAATACTGTGTTCATACAGAATTACGTGCAAGTGATGCGAAAACATCGCCCTTATATGGTGCAGAAAGATGTAAGTGAATTTGATTCATTTCTGCTGCGAATGTTGTTGATGATTTTTCTGTAGTCACATGAAATTGAAAGGACATTCGATCGCGAGATAGGAAGCTGCAAGGTTCGAATCTTTGTGGGTAATTCAGTTTCTTGTACATGGGTAAATTGTTTTTACATTCTTCTCGGACATAGTTATTGTTGCGTATAAGGTTTTTAATTTTTCGAGTGTTCCCGCTCCAGAAGTGTGGGTTAGACGCAGATGTGATTAAATTTGATATCTCCGCTGTATTTTTCATGTTTGTAAACAAGGAAAGAGTAACGTAATGAAAGTTTTATTGCCTTAACTGAACGTTTCTTTAATTATTTGTCGTTTTTGTTTGCTATTTGTTCTGCATCATAATAATTAAAAGGAGGGAAATGGGAAAAATAACAATTTAAATGGAAGATGACGACACTATATATGCGTAATCGTATTATTTGATGAAATGGACTAGCAAGATACAGTGTTTGCTCTTTTTGTTTTTGTGATTGTTTAGCTTCATAGTTTTTTGTATTTATGTAGACACAGTACGTGTTCATACATCAAGCTGTGATGGAAGCTTTGACCTGTGGAACTACAGAGGTCACTTCTCAAAACATGCGGATTAGAATGAACAAACTTGCCAGGGTTATGTCAGATGCCAAACAGACTGGTTATGCAGAAGAATTCAAGGTATAAGTCTACCTCACACTTTCAAATGTCACCAGTTTCATATTATATAGTCTATTGCTAAACGGGCAAACTAAAGTGAAAAGTATTTGTTCTTTTCAGCGTTTGGAGCTCGTCAGCGACTGTCAAAGCTCACGAGAAGAATTTGTCGAAGCGTTGAAGCCCTCGAACCTAAACAAGAACAGGTTTTCAAATATAGTACCAAGTAAGTACTGTCCCATCTGTTATTAAACTGTGTTTCTTTCTTGTTCAGCGATAACGAAAAAAAAAAAAATTTTTTTGATACAATCGAGTTTGATGGCTACTTACTGATTTGCTAGGGACGATATCCATTGGTCATTTGCAAAATTGAAAGGGTAATTAATACCACCTTACCCCACCAACGGGAACCGGAGATATGGAATGCTCTCTTGTAGGTTAAAAACATTCTTTGACTACGTTTTTTGCTGACATCTCGCAAAGATTTCATCCAAATTTCGTATCAGTCAGGACGAAATTATACTGATATTTCGCCAACATTTTATTTTTTTGAAACCCCGTTTAGTTTAGATAGATTGGATGAGTGGGGTGATGTTCACCATCATCATTACATCATCATCATCATCATTGTTTATTTCATAGTTAAAGTCGTTTTTTTATTTCATTAAAGTGGATACTGCGCGGGTCATGCTGAGGAGTTCAGAGCCGGATAAGGATTACATTAACGCCTCTTTCGTCGACGTAAGTACATACGTGTTGGGAGCATTAACCCTATACCGGCCCCAGATCTAGTTCTTAATTCTCCTTTTTGGCTGTTTTATATTTCGTTCAAATAAGTTAAGAGAATTTAGCCTATATTTTACAAGTTATTTGTTTGTAGTTCGAGTCAGTTGTCACTATCCTTAACCATACTCATTCCATATCGGTGTTTATTTGTCCTCCAAAAATACATTTTATGACTGATTATCTTGACACTGAAAGCAATTTTGGATCTCACAATAAACGACTCATGGTGTCTTGACTCAGCGCCCTCAAGTTGACGTTTAAGTTAATACAATTTATCTGTAGTCAGAATTGCAAGAAAACAATGTTTAACCTATAGGCTTGATACCAAGGAAGACGAATCAGTTGTCAGTTGGTACTGTGCAGTAGCAATAATAAATTAGATACTTGCTGCAGTTTTTTTTTTAGCTTTAAGGTCATCAGTGCAATGGAATTTCTTTTTAATAGGATTGTCTCTCTCTATCGTATTTATTGCTCTGTGTTCTTTACAATAATTTTCTCAATGGTTACATATTTTACTACCTTCATCAGGACTATAGTCGACGTGACGCATACATTTTGACTCAAGCCCCGTTAAACGATACTGTTAACGACTTCTGGAGGATGATATCACAGTATGATATCGGCACAATTGTGATGTTAAACAGTTTAAAAGAGGAAAAAGAGGTATACTTTACTCGTTTTAACACCAAACACAGGTTTTAACTTCTTGATATTTCTAAAGGAAGCTCTGGAATCGTGCATGTGGAATTCTTTACCTATGATCCCTCAGATCTGGAGTGAGAGTTCTTGCGATTCTGCATTTCATTACTTTTAAAAAGTTCAATTTTTCGCATATTATCTGAAATAAATATTGGTGTTCTCATGCGAAGATATATATTGAATCCAGCATTTTGCATCTCCTGGTAGAGTTATCCACTATATTGGCCAAGTGAAGGGTCTGCCAAGTATGGAGATATCACTTTACAGCTTCTATCAAAAACGAATTCGAAGAACATAACGACGAGGAAGTTCAGCGTTATAAATGCGACGGTACGGTGTAAATCGAACTAAGTATTATGAATAACTAGTTACTTTGGGAGTAATATTACGAGCAAGAGGATCTCCGCATTTCCTAACAATTGACGAGGAGCAGAAGGACTTACTAAGCCCAACTTATGGATTAAACGTATGTTAATCGTCTCAATGACGTTATAAGTTGGAATTATACGAAAGTTTAGATAGAGTTAGCTAGCAACAAGCTTTCCTTAAAATAGTCACTTGCAATCTGGATAAAAGCAGCTGGTTACGGAAAAATGGTGTTTGAAATGTAACCTCGGTCTTTTTCAAAATGGAGGCAGCCATCTGTGAAACCGGCCGCCATCTTTAAAACTGACCGAGAAACTTCCGGGGACGAGGCTGATGCGAAAATTTTTTTTTTTTTTTTTTTTTTTTTTATGGCGATCCCATCCGTGATGGCACATGATCGTGATATTTATGTTGCTTTTTAATTGCAATACGTTAGCCTCCCACGAAGACGTCGACTGTACAGCATATACAGTACACTGGATGGGCGAATGGAGACTCGAACCCAGATCCCCAAGAAATGCTCGACCTGTTGACTGTATTAGAGCAGTCTCAACAACAATCCGGAGATGGTGTCATTGTTTTTCAATGCAGGTAAACTAATTTTTTTTTTTTTATAAAAAAAAATCATTTAATTTTTCCCTCACAATTTTTAGTGATTGTTAAAATAAAGTGAGAATGCAAAGATTAGCAAACAAAAAATTATTTCTGGTCAATACTGCGAGTTCATTGCTTTTGCTTTGCATTGCGAATTCTCTCAGTCATTCAAAGAAAAAATTTTTTAAAAAAAATTAAGAGGCGAAACGAATCGGAACTCGATCGTTCTCTTTCTTTTGCGTTTAAGTTAGTTGGTAAGTATTTACGTTACGTGGTCTTGGGCTTCTTGTGATCTTATACGTATTCCAATGGTTGGTTGTCGTGAGTTACTCTGCGGCTCAAATAGCATGTCGGGTGCGAAATCGATACCTGCCTCTCAGCTCTACGACTCTTAGGTCTCTGCGTTTTGACCGTAAACTTTGTGTCTGAAATGGGATTTATTGCAAAAAGTAATCAGGGCGCATCCTAGTTTCACTTTAGTTAAGATTTTGTCTATAGGTTAGGAGCCCATACCTGCCAGTGCTTATCCCAGTTCTCATAATATGAGGCGAATAGATCTTTGAACTGGGTACCATTCCCTCTCAGGTGAAGCGCAATATTTTACCTTGCTTACAACCTGGGTCTCCTCGGAGCTCTTATCATTATTTTTATTTTATCTTTTGGCGTCACTTGTTTTTTAGGGATGGTGTGGGTCGTAGCGGCTGTGTAGCTACCATAATGTCAGTGATCGAACGAGTCAAGATTGAACAAACAGTTGATGTGTTTCAAACCATTAAACTGATTCGAGCTAAAAGGCCTGGTGCTGTGAACACCCTGGTAAGTTGCTAAGAAATGACGAGGGATACTGGGACTGTGTTCATCAGCGAATTATTTCTTTGCCTCGACTTAAAGCTCTATCTGCTGTTCGTTTTTCAGGATCTCTACTTGTTCTGTTACAAGACAATCCTTGCATACCTGGATTCTTTCAACTGTTATTCAAACTTTGAAGATTGTTAAATTGTCAGTATTTGACAGTTGTCGATGTTTGCGTACCGCCAGTCAGTCAGTCAGTTAGTGAATTGATTAGTTGGTTGGTCTCTCAGACACAAATAAATTCGATATAACAACAATCATGATAGATATGATGATCGTATTGGTAAATTGGTACTAGTAGCGCGAGTACAATAGTTAGCTCTTCAATATGGTTAGCTTTTTAATAAATATCACGTGCTGATTTTCTGAAGGGAAAAGCTCTCGAGTTTGTTTACCAAGAAAGTGCTAATCAGTAGTTGCAGTTAAATAGCATAGAAAGGGAACTTAAGTTTTGTGTAACCATGGTAATGATAATCAAATGATCTTTAAAATTCATCTCTGACTCCAAGACTAAAAGTTTGAACCAAGAGCAGTTTATAATCAGACTGAAAACCAGTAAACAAAGCTTAATTTGTGGTAAATCTTTAAAGATTTACTGTTTAAATGGGAATTGTATTATATTCCTTCCAAATTCTATATTTTTTTTCATTCGAAAAGAGACAAAGATAAAGTGGTATTTTAAAAATTGGTGTTTTTTTATAGTTGATAGACAGACCAGTTAGATAATAATACTGTCGATTACAAATAATATTATTTGAATAGCTTTACGAGCTAGTAAAAAATGAAATTCATAAATCTGTCTTTGTAGACATTAAGTACAGTACTAATGCGTTGTCGTTTTACGAGAGTTAAATGAAAGGCAAAAAACTTAACTGTACACGAGCACTCTTAGCACAAGGTTAACTGTGTTCAAATGAACTTTTCTCTTCATTTAAAGCAACGTTGTAAACTAAAGGTACATCAGTTATCCCGTTGATAGTAAAGGTTATACAGACACGTAACACTGAGAAGCCGTTTGGTTGGTGTCGTTCTTCATCATTATATGGAGATAACACGGAGGAAAAACTCTCTGACAGGCTTGTATAGAATCTTATTCTGACCAGAATTTATTGATTTATTCGATTGGTTATTTAGTTTACATCCATCTAGTTTGTGCATGTCTTGCTCACCGAAAAAGTTTGATCGTTGCAAATATTAAAACGGAGCTTCAGGTAACGGTTTCGCGTAGGGTGGTCAATTTATATGTATAGGTAATCACATGATTTCGAGTGTAGTTTGGAATAAATAAGCACGATTAAATTTTTTCAAGACTAACAAAATTGCACGAGCCCGTTGGGCGAGTGCAATTTGTGGTCTTTGAAAAAATCAACAAGTGCTTGTTTATTCCAAATTGCACGAGAAAAATCATGTGACTACGTGTTTATAATATACATGGAAAAATGCGAGATGGCTTATCATAATTAAGTAGAAGCAAAGCGCGCGCATTAAGTGCAAAAATAAATTATTCAAACCGTGCGTTCGGTCAAAAAAACTGTGTACGATCAAAACAATAATATGCAATGATATCTTCACATCTTTAAGGCGCAAACATTTCAAAGTCCGGCTAAACAGTTCAAGGAATTGTTCAGTCTGTGTCCGAATCACTTTCGATGAAATGGAATCGTCGTTTCCGAGGTTTAGCCACGCTTGTTTTTAATTCCGACGTTGGATCGCTTGAGCAAAGTGTTAAGCTGGGTCGGCTCGTAATTTTCGATTTCTTTGGCAATTCCCTTCTCTAAACACCACTTTTTCCAAACCGACAACCAAAAAGTAGTGCTTTTTACAGTGTTTTCATTGTTTGAGCTGTTTTTCAGCTGCGGTGGCGAAAGAAAACCTGCTTAAAACGCTGGCCATTGTTTCGCTCGCAAATTCTCAAATTGTCAAATTTTTTTTGCGATATCCAAGGCTCGCATTTGATTGCCTATCTGTGAGTTTCTTTGATTATTTACCAATCAGAATGTCTGATTTGTTACTTTCTTTGCACTGAATTAACTGAAAACTGCAATTATCTAAACAATCAGAACTGAGTAATTTTTCCATGTATATTATTAGTAAGAAAACATGAGTCTTTAACAGTAACTTAAACTTAAAACTCTGATCTTAATGTGTGGGATTTTGTTTCTTGATCAGGATGTGTATCAAACACTCGTGTTTGATTACATTTCCAAACACCTCGAAACTCAGAAAAATCATCTGTGTCCTCTTGTGTTTGTTTTATTTCTTATAACTCTGATTACTTGGTGCACCTATAATTCAGTTTTATCACAGGTATAACCACGAAACCTGAGCATGAATTAACTTTTGACACTGCCAATTCGTCTCTAATTCCACATAATGAATTCTACAAAAGAAGGTGTTTTGCTAGTACAAAAATCGACGTGAGATTCTGGACAGACAAAAAATAAAATGAACTCGCATTTTTTTCTCAACGGTGTTACGTTGGCGACATGAAATGTGATCCATATTCATTTTTTTCTGTTGATCATCTAAAGTTGTTATAAAGAGACAAACTACCGTAGGAAACGAATTCTGAGAAACTGAGGGCCGGTTTTTTCTGCAAGCAGTGGGCCTCACGTATTCTCTATAATAGATTTGTTTTCATGAAATAAATGTCCTTCCACTTCGAGCCTTCGGCCCACACAAATAAATATCCCGATAAAAGATTCAGCTAAACTCAAGATAGTTTAGACCGCGGTTTTGTTAAAAACAACGCGGCTAAACTTAGATCGTTTTTTCCTCTTTGAAACAAAATTCTAATGAAATACATCTTCCGCCGTCACCTTTGGTAAATTACTCTGCTATTTTTTAATCATTATATGCTCATCGGTATGGTGAAAATGAAAACCGCGACAATCAGCTTTTAAAATTTAATTCAAACGAAGAAGTTTCGAGAAGATCTGTCTTTGCAAAGGAATAAAGAGGGTATGTTTCAAAAGAAACCTTAAAAAAATATATATCGATACAAAACCAGTATTGTGTCAGCAACGAGACGTTGACTCGGCTTATCAATTACCTCATTTCTCTTACCAAATGAAGGTCTTTGACGTAAGCAAATGACTTTTGTCTTCTCCAAGTAACATTCAAAGTTGAGCTATACCTATTAATCTATCAAGTTACTTTGTGCTTCTATCTTTTTGTTTTATCTTGATTACTGTGGTTTCAAAAAAGCTAAAGATTGAATCTAATCATTTCTATCAAAGTGATCGAAAAGTGTACATATTTCGGCATCACCCGAGCCAGATGAAGCACAGGAGATCTATCGAATAGGTTCGTCCCCCCGCAGATGATTCTGTGCCGTCTTTCTCGAAGCGAATCAAGCTGTAAATTCCTGCAAAAAAAGAGGTCATTTTTTTGTCTTTTGGTGTTTGTTCAAGCGAGTGGATTGAGGAGCGATTCGCGTCTTCCCTTGCCTTGATACGCGAAAGAAAAACGATTCTTCTATAGGCTAACTTCTTGTGCTGTCTCACGACTACTCTAGAAATTTTTTAACAGTTTTCTAGTATAACGTAAAATGGTATGGAACACTGGCGATATCAGCGAAACCTTACAGCTTCGTATCTTTTCACTGGTCTGTTAATCTGTGTTTTTGTCGGAAATCTTAGGAATACGGAGATTCTAGAGCTGTTCTTGTGAAGAAGAAAGTTTTTACAAAAATTGAGATGGAGAATGGCATTAGTAGTACTGGTTTTACGGGAGATGTGCTGGAAAGAAACAAAGAGAAAGAAGAGCAAAGATGTTCAGTGAAAGTGATATTCAGACCGATTAACTCTTAGGACCAACAGAAATAAAGGAGGTAAGTTTCTGAAAAAGCTGTGGCGCTAGGTCGGTAGGGGGTACAATCTGATAATTTGGTTTTATCAATTGAGTTGATAATGTAAATTATGAAATAATTCAAATAGTACGCGCGCTCTGATTGGCCATAAAACCATTTTACATGAGCGTATGTAAACACGGTTTTCGTTCCTCATTCATTAGTTATTTTATAAAAGAAATGTAAAATGGTTTCCGTGTTTACATAGCCTGATGTAAACACTTGGGAGGTTGGGAGAACACTCGATAAGCTGGAAACCAGTTTCCTAAGCTTATCTCGTGTTCTCCCAACCTCTCGCGTGTTTACATTAGGCTATGTGAACACGGAAACCATTTTACATTTCTTCATTGGCTACCGTAAAGAGCTTCTTTAGAGATTCTCTATAAACTGTGGCCTTACCTTGTCAAAATGCACAAGTGGAAAAACAGGCCCACGCAAGACATTTGATCTTTGATACATAAGTTTGCCTTTTCAGTTTCTCACGAAAAAAATTACTTTGGTAAAGATTATTTTAATTTTTTGGCATACAAATCACGATTGACAAGTTCCATAAACGCCTGGTATTTCAGTTTCACGAACTGAAACAGCAGCTGTCAGCTAGCAACATTTAAGCTTCTCAACGGAGAGAATAAGCTTTTTTAAGATGCAAAAGGGTATCGAACTGAGACATCAGGAGTCAGCTAGCAACATCTCAGTTTCTCAGTGAGTTATGAAGTAACAACAGCAGCGAAATGTCGGAGTTTGATTCCGAGCTTTACTTCCGAGTGGCTTTCTTAGCTTTTCTTATTCCTCTCGGTTCCGGTAAGTTCTCTATCATTCGTAATTTGAGTTAAGAGCTTAACGAATTCACATACTTTTTTTTAGCAGTGACTCCAAAGATATGAAATGATTAAATTTCATTTCATTCTGTTCAATTAAAAAACTGTCGCATTCGAAATATCAGCCGAAAAGAATGTTGAACAATCGTGTACGGTGTGGGAACAGGTCTTTAAATCAGCATCTACTGGGTTGAAGCGGTAGCTTGAAAGAGATCTGAACTTTTGTCGGAATACAGAACTAGCTCGCGTCGTTATCGATAAAATTATGTCGGTCTCTTAATTACACGGTCATCACTCTAAGAGAGGCATCTTTGAAAGCTATGATTATATGAGTAGTCTAGAATTTCGACGATTTCGATTGCTTTCCTTTTCTTTTACTTCAAATAGTTTCTGCACCATATCGAGCCTTTGCTTGAATTACGAGCTGTCGTATTTCTTGAACACAAAGTTGTGTCATTGTGCAAATTTGACACTGACTTCAAAATACTCCATTAGCTTTCCATTTTAGTGCACAAACTAGATTGATACATTTACTGCCATTTAGTTGCTGCTGAAGGCAAAGAGTTAAAGATACAATGGCGATTATTCAACCTCACTCGTAGATGTTCAAGTTTTCGATGTATATGCATGAGACACGGCATGGACTGAACAACTTCTAAATAAACAATCATGATGTTTAAGTAGACATTTCATTCCTGTTTACTCTTAGAAATTTTTTTTAACGCCGAGAAACTGAGATTAACAAAGACCTTTAATGAAATTCCCCATCAAGGTAAAGCTCTGAAACAACCTTCAATACCAGGTCAAGACTCGGAAAAGCGTCTCAGAGAGTCAAAAATATCTCGAAAGATGTTCTTAAGGAATAAACAAAGTTTGCATTCGAAAGTGAAATTTTGAAACGTGTCAAATTGAAAATGTTCTTGGGAGAACATTAGTTTCAGTAAATAGTACGATAAATTTATCATGTTGAATCTGCTCTTTAGAGTTTCATTAACGACCGGTAAATTAAAGAATGTTAATAGAACAATTCCTAAGACCATATGATAGTTGTAACACCAAGGGCCTGTTTACAGGAAAGTAGGGGATCCCAGGTAAATAAGGTAACCCGCGTAGCTGTGGTCGAAAAATAGTCCGAGTTTACACACAGTCCTACAACCCCTTTCTTTGGGTTTACCGGCCTGATAGCCCTATTGGAATATTGGGAGAACACCTGGAATGTTTTTTAAATCATTCACCTCTGGCTCATGGGATGCTGGGAGAACACTTGAGAAGTTTTTAAATAAAGAGCCGGAAGTGAGTGACTTGTGAACTTTGCGAGTTTTCTCCCAACATCCTAAGTGGGTTGTTACGCTGGTGAAAAAATGGAGAGCGTGGTCTTTTACTTTTATGAAATAACCATGGGTTTAATGGTACAGCAAATAGTAGGTTTTTGACCAATCAGGGTGCTTTTAGTTTCACAGTTATAATATAAAGTGTTTTATTAATACTTTACTTTTTTTTTTTAGAGGGCACGGTAACGAATCTTGCAATCTAATTGGTTCCTTACCCGGTCAGTATTTTCCTATCTCTGCCCACGGGCCACGGTAACGCTTTCGTGAGTCGCCAAGTACATCCCAGCTTTCGTTGCCATTTTTCATAAATATATCTCGTTTTTCCGGCTGGGCAATATTTTTAAGCAAACACGTCGGTCACTACCTCAAGCCGATGAATAACTTATGAATCCTCTCTTTTCTCTCACTCAAATCACTGTGGTTGACAGAAAAATATTGGTTTCAGAATGAATTTGAATAAACTATAGTGTCATTTCGTTGGTTGACAAGCGGCCTAAAACCCGTCTGCAATTAATTTTAATCGTTCACAAAAAGTACCTAGAAAGTTAAAACGTGAGGTATTTGGTTACAGCTAAACTGTACGATGGAACTTTCATTCATTTAATACCTGAATTTTCTCAAGCAATTTGTTCACAGTGAAAGAGCGAGCGAAGTTTTAATTTAAGTTCTACAACAAATATACGCTCTCGGTGAGTCTTTCCAAGTCCGTTCAATTTGAACATTTGTACCGTAAATTGCACAACAGAAACGGTGTCTCGTTGGAGTGTGCCATTCGAATTTAGTTTTTGTGAAGGAAAGACCAGATTTACACACGCCATTGCAGCAAACAAACCAGCAAACTCTCACAACTTCAAAATAGAAAAATTGAATTTACTCACAATTACTTTCCTGGTCCGTTTACTTAATGAACAGAGGTAAATCTTCGTACATGAGTGAATCGTCGATGAGAGTAAATAATACTTTCCGTTAGATCATTGACTGTTTTTGAAGAAACATTGTCGTGACAGTCCTTGCCAAACTAGTTCCGTTGTTTTTCAAATGTTCTTACGCTTTTTTTTACTTATGCGCTCTCTAATTGACATGTGTCAGATTGTGACAGATACTTATAAAAATAATGTTTCAAAGTTTGTTTGGAAGCCTTTTTAAATTATCGTTACGGAAATGAAACTTTTTTCGCTGAGGCATCTCTCGTGAATTTGCATCACCTCTATTTTAACTACCATTTACTCACTCAAAAACTGTTCAGTTTATGAAAGACCTTGCCGTATTTACAGCCCTAAATCTGGAGGTTTGTTAAGGGGGATCTATGGGTGCTTTCTAATTTCTTTTCTTTCTTCTCAGCTGACTGTGTTGATCTGGATCTGGGAATAGAAAATGAGAGAATTTCAGATCGTAACATAACCGCTTCTTCAGTTCAAAATGCCAGCACACCAGCCAATAATGGTCGACTGAACTACACATCAGGATCATCGTGGTGTGCAAGACCAAGTGACACTAACCCGTATGTACAGATTGATCTACAGACGCTCTATATCATCTGTGCCGTTTCCATCCAAGGGAATTCTCAAGCAGGTCATTGGGTGAAAAACTATACACTTCAATTTTCCAATAATGGAACAACTTGGATGGTCTACAGAGAAAATGGACAAATTAAGGTACCGTGTCAAAGACCATGTCACTTGGCTTTTATTGATATTTGCAGTTGTCTGCAAAATAAATAAAAATTTTACTGCCTCTTTGTTTGACACTTCCTTCAGAGTGATGATACATTCCTAATGAGATCTCGCTGGGAACATTGATCTGTGAAGAACTTTGATTTTCACGAAACAATTAATGGAGAAAATTGTCAGAGCTGTTTTTTCTTGTCACTCTGTAGAGGAACAATACAGGGACAAGCTTTTTTTTGTACAGCATCCCTAAGATCATCAAGGTGTCCAATGGAAAATGAGGATAGATGTCAAAAGTGAATGTCATTAGACTTTCTAAAACCTAATTTAAACGAGGTTTAATTGTGTAAAGGAGGGAGGAGGGGGGCGAAGATGAGAAGAAAAAAAACCAAGATACTCGACACTTATTACTATTAGAAGTTTGTTATTATTTTTATTTACATATTTTTCTGGAAATAGATGTACACCTTTAAGTTTTTAGCTGTTGGTTTTGATTTCAGACCTTTCAGGGAAATAGTGACAGAACCTCAGAGGTGAAGCATGTTCTTTATGAAAGTGTTGAAGCACACTACCTACGAATCTTGCCAAGTGCATACCATGGTGCTGTGTGTATTAGAATAGAAGTGTTTGGTGTTAAGCGAAAACCAGGTTATTATTTCATTAATTACCTTTGACTATATAATAGCCAAATTCATGAAAAAGTTCCTTATCAAGGCGCATAAACAACTTCACGTACAAAATTATGCTAAGTGTAAAACCTCTCTTTTGAAAATGAGTTTATTTGCATTAGAAGGAGAAGTGCTTTTCATGGCAAAGTCTTTGAATTCTACATCATTTTCAATTCAGGCATTTCATAAATTGCCTTGGTAAGTGATGGGTGAATTGAACTGAAGTATGGTGGAGCTGGTGAGGATCAAACAAAGATTTAAATGCTATAAACCATAAAATTGAAAACATGCTGGAGTTAAATGTTTTTTTTAGTGCTGTCATCCTTTTGATTTGCCCTAAAATACTAAAACTCTTAACACAAACTGTAAGTACATTCATAAATATTGACAGATGTGAAATTCATGCTTGCCAACTTTTTAGATTAATGGGGATCTATACATTTGGAATCTGGAACAAAGAGTTCGCGCAAGTTTTGATCAGGAGATCTTTGCATAGTATGGAAAGTTTCTCAGTGAAAATTATACAACGAGGGAAATTGGCTTTTACTCTGGCGCAGACAGCTCACAAATCTGGTCATATTTATCTGCCTTTAGATTTTTGGAAACTTTAGTCTTTCTATTTCAAAAATACACTAGGGCATCTTTATCTGCACTTAAATGGGGGTGAATAAACTCTGGCATTACTTTATCTTAGCAGGCTGATATACATGTACATGTAAGTGTTTGCAAAATCCAAAACTGAAACCTTACTAGATAATAATTTCTTTTCTATCTTTACACAGTTAATTTTGCCCTCGGGAAGGCCACCTTTCAGTCTTCAACTTTTAACAATACTCATTGGGCTGCGTGGGGTGTGTCAGAGAAAGCAGTGGATGGTAATTCTGATACTGAATTTAGAAATAGAGGTTGTGCACATACTTTGTCAAGCAATCCAAGCTGGTGGAGAGTTGATCTGGGTTCAGATAAGATTCAAGTCTCTGACATATTCATAGTCAACAGATTTTCAACAGATGCTGCAGTGATGGCCAGAAGCAAAAATTATAGCATTACTTTGGGTGAGCAGTCACTACTTTTCATGTAGTCAATTGATATAAGCTTAAGATAAATGGGTACATTAAAAGTAATTAAACGAAGGCGTTTCCAGTGTGTGGGGTTGGAAAACCATTGTTATATGCTCAATCTCAACCTATCTATGCAGAAGTTTTACCATGCAAAGGTGTGTAAAACATTATGTGAATATTAAGAAAATGATGTAGAGGGAGTTATATGTTGCTTTTTCAGTTTGATGTTTCTGTTGCTGCTGAATTGAGATATTTGAACCCCTCAATATACTTTGTGTATTTTACAAATCACTATGATTACATGCTTCAAACAATAATGATGGATATACATTCTATTTATTGTAAGTGGTTCAATTAACTTTATGTGTATATTTACATGTACATGCATGCAAAATCTTATTTCCCTACGAAATTGTGTTATACCGAAACCTAGTTTAGAGGGGAAAAACAAGTTTATATCATTAATGAAATACATTTATACAGTAGTTTGTCACACATTTGGTATGTACAGGGCATTGAGGTGAACTTTTATTTATTTATTTTTTTTATAACATCAGGTAACAACCCAATAGTAGTAAACAACACTCAGTGTAGAGGACTCTATAGTTTTGTTAACTTCAAAGCATCAGCTGTTTGTTTTACCAACCCACTGATAACTGGCAGATATGTGGGGATATCAACAATACGGAAACAAGCTCTTCAACTCTGTGAGGTGGAAATCTATTTGCGAGGTACATATCATTAAACACAGAGATTGGTATTGACTAAAGATCTTTAAGCAAAATTTTGAAGTTTTTGTTCAACTTTAGTGACACTGATAGTTCTAAAATCTTCTTTGACCACACTTTTGATGTGACCAGATGCTGATTAACGTAGTTGCATGTTTCATTTCAGACAATCTTGCATTTGGAAAGCAAACAAATCAAAGTGGTGTAAATTTTGACGGTGTAAGTAGCAGGGCAGTTGATGGTATCAACAACACAGATTATTACGCTAACAGCTGTACCCACACTGACAGAGAACTCAACCCTTGGTGGAGAGTTGACTTGGGAAAAATTGAACCAGTTTCAGAAATATACCTAGTCAACCAAGAAAACCAGTGGTCTTACAGGCAGAATAACTTTGAGATCAGAGTTGGTAGGTTACATCATTTTCGAAATTGTAACATTATACCATAGTGTCAAAATGTCTTGAGCAATCATGTCTCATAATATTAGTAGTGTCAAATTATCTTCACACTTTGACTGGTGGGTTTCATTCAAGTTTATGTATGCCTATATGTAGGAAGACATTTAGCAGAAATTTTGGTCTAGTACATCATGATGGTGAATCATCACTTTCCTTTTGCACTACTCGTCGAAGATATGATGGAATAATAGGGGCTGGACCCTGGATCTGAAGGTCCAGTTTGTAGCCTTGGTTTTGCATTGTACTCCAGGGTTGGAAACTTTTTTCAATTATTCCTCTTTAAAGTTAGGAATACGGAATTTATATGGATGCTGAACAATGAACGCCTGCTACAATGGATTAGCTACTCCTCTGCTACGGTTTCATAGTGTAAACTATGGCCCAGTTGTTGGGCAGATAATGCTATTCAACTGATAAATCGCTATCCAGTGGATAAGAGTTAGCAAAATGTGTTGCACTATCCAATGGGTAGATCAGATTTATCCAGTGGATAGCATTATCCTGCACTCCAGTGTCTCGTGATCTCCGGTAGTGTCAGCCCTTTCCCTCCTTTGGCTTCATGTAACACTCTTACACCACTTTGTAATGATAGTAGCTTGATAGTAACTTGGTAACAATTTCTTAATTTCTCAATTCTTTATAGGCACAGTGTCTAATAATGGAGGAATTACCAATCCCAGATGTGGTAATAAGAGTTATAGTCTTCCAAGAGGAAAAGGTGTATCCTTTTTCTGTCGTCCTGTATTACTTGGAAGATATGTGACAATAAGAAGCTTAATTGACCTTGAAAACTTCACACTTTGCGAAGTTGAAGTTTATTCTGAAAGGAGAGGTAATACATCTTATATCAAATATACCTGTATATCTTTGAAAACCTCACACTGATTTAAGTCGTAAGTTATTGCACAGATTAAAGTTGTGCTAATGTACACTAGTTTTATCTGCATGCATGCATAATCATTTTCTGAATATAACTGATATGCTCTGTTGTTGTGGTTGAACCTGTATATATATATTTTCAGCTTGGTAAACTTAAACTCCCTGTAGGCTCAATCTTACTTCCGTTTTCCTTAATTTTTTTCTTTCCATGCATTTACTATCTTTATATTATCAAGAATTAAAACCTCTACTTAACATAAATTCTTGATTCCTTTCAGAGTTAGAGGGATTTCTGCTGTAGTTTTAAATGCAATTGGAAATGTTTGTGCCTGAAGTTCTCACTATACTTTACCTTACAATAAAACTATTCCAAGCCTTTGCTCCAAAATATTTAAATGACAGTTCTCTGTGCCTGCAGGTACAATTTGATTGAATTTTTTTTCAAACCTTTTATATTTAGTGGTAATTACACTGGTACAATATTGAACATAAGTTATCATTATATATGTTGTGGAAGTCTGGTGCTAGAGGCCAAAAAAATTTTCAAATCAGTACACCTGATTACATAAATGAAAACCATAGGATTATTAAACAGCTCAAATATGATTTCATATTAACTGAATCTTACGGAAATGGAAATTAGTTTGGATTGGCAAGCTTGCTGCCTTAAATACTAGTGTGTTGTATACATCTGCATATTAATTAATCAGTTCAACATTTTATTATGATTGATTACAGCTTGCCAAATGCAGGCCATAGGTGTGGCTAGCACTGACACACTTCCTAATGCCAGCTTCTCAGCATCAAATGAAAGTTCAAGATGTGAAGCTTTTAGAGGTCGACTGAATGCATATGGGGGATGGTCACCCAGCAGAAATGACAGACCTGATGATTATCTGCAAATTGATCTGCAGTATGAGTTTCTTATTTGTGCTGTAGCTACCCAAGGGAGGTCAACTTCTGATGACTGGACAACTGAGTACAAGTTACAGCTATCCTTTGATGGTTCCACTTTTGTGACCTACAAGGAAAACAATGTTAACAAGGTTGATTAAAAAAGCTACAGCTGAGATTAAACACAGAACTGTGGAAGATATTCTTAGAGTTGCACTAAAGGGTGATTTCAAGAGCTACATGTATGTGGGGGTTTTAAGTCTCAAACTCTGAAACCTGGAGAAAATTTGTGGAATCGTGGTTGTGTTCTTAGACTTAAATAGAAGGTCACAATCTTAAATGCATTACCCTTTATCATGTACTGAGATTTAAATAGAAATGAGCATCTATTATAGGTGGACATTCATGCATGTCTCTAAAAGCAAGGAACTTAAATATGTATGTTGTGGGTTATATTAGCATCCTGAGTAAGTACAATATGTATGCAGAATACAAAGTTGCCTGTCATATATGCATAACGTAAATTGAATTAACTGACCTTATAAAGCAGGAAAACGAGAACACATCTGGATACTTTGGTGCACATACTCAAGTTGTCTTGAGCACTGACTGGCGACTAGTAGCTGAGGGATGTAATGAGAATTATTCTAGAGTCTGCTATGGCCAACAATGAGAAAATTGATCTACAGTTTAATCATCAACTCATATTTCGAATTATTTGTTTTAGACTTTCAATGGCAATTCTGGAAGACATGATATTGTCAAACACAATCTCAGAAATGTGAGGGCAAGGTTCATCCGTTTCCAGCCTGTCAAGTTTATTGGAAACAAAGCTTTGAGAGTAGAGGTGTATGGAGTTCTTATATCTAGAGGTATATTATGTTTAACTTAATATCATCAAGTTTTCACATTGAGCTATTTTAAGGCTGGCATAATGGTTAATTTATTATATAGCCTCTTTGTTTATTGGATGTAGTTTATTTTTGTGAACACTCCCTGTAGGCAAACATCATGTACAGGTGTTTACATGTACGTCGACCGAATTAGGAAGTGGCATTTTCCACAAAAAGGTCTTAACGTACAGCTGTATGACTCCCAATCATGGAGCTGGATATGTACCTATATGTTAAATGTTGGTGGCTGTCTGCTTGTCTGAAGGGGTCTACAAATGGGAAATTGATCTGTTTAAGTCTGTTTTGGGTTACGTTCTTCTCCCATTTACATAATTAAGTTCATATATGCACTCCCAATAGTTCCAAAGACCCTACAAATTAACATTTTTCAATATAACTGTGCAAGACTTTTCACTAAGTGGAAGAGTAAGGCTGGGTTGAATTTGATCTCTTAAATACCACATGAATTGATTTTTATGTGTAAAAGAGTGAAGAATATTGGTAGCATTGTTATTATTATTATTATTATTATTATGATAATCAATATTACTTTTGCTATTATTCAATCACCATTCTGTCTTAATTTCAGTGCCCTCACAAGCACCCAGTGAATTGACTTTATCTGCAACCTCTTCTACAAGTATCACTGCATCCTGGCAGTTACCTCCTGCATATTCCAGACACGGAATCATTGCAGGGTTCAAATTGTCCTTTAAAAAGAAAGGGTTTATTGGGTCAATACATGTGGAAACTAACAATGGTGGAACAACCTTTTCTGGAGTAATTAATGGTCTGGATAAGTACACAGAATATGAATTTCAAGTGTTGGCTTTTACATCTCACGGTGATGGACCAGAGAGTTCAGTTGTGGTGGAAAGAACAATGGAAGATGGTAAAAAACTTGATTGTTTGTAGCAGTGGCACTTCCACTCTTGGTTGGTTTTCAAGAGCCTATCACATAGTGAAGTTGGGTTGACATGCAGTAATGCATGTATAATGTTTGACTGTGTATATATGCTGAAATCCTGACAAAATACAGCAGCTGTATATTAAGTCCCCTTGTAACTTAGTCGAGTTTTTTTCAATATTTAGATATTCTTGACACCATTTTTTGTATTATGGGTGAAAACTGTCAAGCAAAAAGCTTTTTGTGTTTAATTTTGAATCAGTATCAGCATCCAAGCAACTGCGCACCTAACCCAACATTAACCCTTCTTGTTCTCAGTTGACTGTTGTTGGGTAAGGGGAGGGGTAGGTGTGCAGTTGCTTGCAGAAGATATTGATATTAAAATATTATTCATGTAAGTTTATGGATTATGCTCACCAAGGCAGATGATGATGTAAAATGTAAAACATACTCTGAGAAGGTTATAATTTTAGGATTTCTTACCTTGTATGTTTCAATCTGCATTTCTGGTCCTAAACATAATAGCAATGAATCTTAATTTTAGTCCCTTCACAACCTCCTAGTGGCTTAACTGTGGCAGCCAGCTCTTTTACCAGTGTTTTAGCATTTTGGCGGTTACCACCCGAAGACTCCAGAAATGGAATCATCACAGGATACAAACTGTTTTATAGAGAAACAGGTGGTGATAGGAGTCCAACAGTACAAATACTCATCCAAAATGCAGCAATTCGGTCCAGATATATAACTGGGCTACAAGCTGATACAGAGTATGACTTTCAAGTGTTGGCCTTCACATCTGTTGGTGATGGACCAAAGAGCTCGGTGAAAGTCGTGAGAACAGCTGTAGATGGTAAGACACTGACAAAACATTCTGTGGGAATTTCTTTACCTTTAAAATCATTATCATTTTACATAATAAACCAAACTGAGTGCAATTTTAATTCCTACATGTAGAACATTATTAATTTCCGAATTTTCTTTCTTCTAATTAGTACTTTTTCTTTAGCACCTAGTCCTCCGGCTTACCTCAATCATACTACGTTTCACCTTGGCGGGGTAGGGTACTGCTACACGTAGGCTAGATAATGACTCTGAATTCATCGTTAAATCTTGACTAACATTGGATGGGTGTTCTCCTTCTTTTGATACACAAGCTGTAGAAGTAGGAAAGAGAGAAGGCTCTAAATCTGTTAGTATTGTGCAGATTGCCGTTCCTGTGGTTCTGGTTATAGTCTTGGTACCATTGCTTCTTGTCGCAATACTGCTGTATCGGAGGTATGCTTGACCCGAAATAATGGTTTCCTATAATGGCTGTGAAAGCAGTAATTTTCCTGATGATGTTTCAAAATTGTTTCATTTTCCTTACTTTGTAATTAAATATCATAAAACATAAAACTTTTTGTGTGTGCCAAGTGTAACTGTGTAATTCCTACCACCGTTTCAGGAGGAGAAGGGCAGAAAAATCAGGCCAAGAGATAGAGAGCAATGAAGTACATGTTCCACTTGATGAATTCAGGATGGATTCAGTTGAGTCCGGTGGAATTACAACTGACTTAGTCTATCAAAACGTGTCTGAAATTCCTTCAGATGGAAATGGTAAGCTATTGCATTGATGTTAAAGTATGATTGATGCAAAACCGATAGTGTACACACATATGATTACATCTCCACCTCACTGTCACGAGAAGAGCTTTACAACATAGAAATGTTAGAAAGGACACAGGCGGCCCAAGCTTTTCATATGTACGTAGAAAACCCCGAGATAGATAACTCGCTAAAATGGGTTATCTTCAACATAGTGGAAAGAACGTCTTTGTTTGTCGTCTATGCCATTGCTGTAAATGTCCGGAGTGCAGGACAAAAGAAAGATTATGAGTTGTCCATACAAGTGCGAGCGTCAGACCTCCCGAATTTTCGGTCAGACACCCTACCAAATGAGCTCTAACGACATCCTTTGCGATCAAGGCCATATACTAGGCCTACGTAAAGCTTGTGACCAGGATCAGCAATATTAAAAGTGTCTTAAGGAAGCGTTATAGGGTTTTTTGACCGCGCAAGATCTGGATGTGGACATAGTGTCAACATGCAAAACAAACATGGCGGCTCGATACGATCGCACGATTGTTATCTGAAAAGGTGTGTTAAAAACGGTTTAACACTATACAATTTTTAATGTGGTGGAATATTGGGTTTCCAGCAATTGCACCCGTAATATTCATAGGCCTTCTACGCCTGAAAAAAAGGTCAACCGAAAAGAAAACACCGCCGTGGGAAAGATTGCCAGAGGCAACGGATTCGAAAGTCTACGCATACTCAGATACCGATCATGGCGAAGTTTTATACCATTACGTAATGTTTTGCGACAAAGAAAACAGTGATCTTTTGAGTAAGATTTATCGCGTTTCCTTCGGTGGAATTTCCTAAGATTTGTTGGAACGTTAAACATATTTGTGCCCTTCCTAGTGCCTGTTGGTAATAAAAAATCCTTGAGACCACATTTGAAATAGAGGAAGAAAGCACAAACTTGCAAATAGCTAAGAAACTGCTTCTGTAATCACTTACTTTTTTCGGCTTTGAAATAATCGACAGGGCAATTTTCACAAATTGTGCAGCCTTTGAAGAGATTTCACTAATCTGTAATTGTAGATAATCAAAGGTAAAGCCAAATTAGCCAAATTATCACTGGCGAGCGCCTCCCTTCGTGGAGCCTTAACTTAATAACGAAAATCATCTTCATAATATTTACTAGAGCAAACGATAGTCCGAACATTGCTCGTTGCCTTTTGAAGGCTTTTTGCGACCTTGAAAAGCGGAGGAAAACAATTTTTTCTAAAAAACATTACGCTGGCGCGCGCGCCAACATTGAGCAAAAGCCTCATGGACCCTCCTTAAAAAAGTCAACAAGGAAATGAAGTGAGAAAGATGGTAAATTTTGAGCTGAGTTGTCCGATCAATAGATTTTGAGCATTTGTCACAATCGTGAGACCGAGGAAAAAACTGGGTCCCTTGTGACGATGGGACTATTAAGGTAGACTGAGAGGATTCGTTTTTAATTAAAACCAACCTCCTGTAATTCTTCTTACACAGAATTTGGTAAAACCTCCCTCCCCGAAGAAAAAGAATCGGTGTACAGTGAGGCTGATGATGGTAAGCCAAAACCAATTCCCGTGGCGGAGTTTGCTGAATACTTCAAGAACAAATCAGCCAATGGAAGCATCCTGCTGGAAGATGAATTTGAGGTAAGGTAATATATTTTATGATAGCTTTTTAAGCGGATTTCCATCAGCTAATGCTGGTTGCAGTTTTCATGTCGACGAGTTGTCTATAGAAGGGTGGAAGAAAAGTGTGTAACAACTGTTTCCATAGGGGTCTGTGTCCAAAAGCAAGTGCTAGGTTTTTGGTAATAGAAACCTGTCAGAGAAAAACTTGTGGGAAACAAAATTTGAAAATTTATTTGAGATCACACGGTCACTTTTCAGGGACTGAACAACAAGTCTGCTCAGGCTCCAGAAAGTTTTTTTTAATCAGACCAAGTCTTCTGCATTATGTTAAATTAATCCTTGGCTAGCTAGCTTTTTAACAGGCAAAGGTTTTCCTTATTGATAACTACACGCTTCATTCGTTGGAATTATATAGTACCTTTGGTCATCTTCATACTGCTGGCCGCTGTGTAATATGCGTAAGTACTATCTGCTTCGACAAGGTTTCTTGCTTTAGTGAAGAGAGTTTCCTTTTGCAAGTCTTTAATGCTGTGTGACTGTGGTTGTTGTTGGTTTGACCTTTGTAATTTAGTATATTTGCAGTTATTGTTTCAAGATCATAAACATGATTAACATGACCATTGATGTCTAATTGCCTATCCCTTCAAATCAAAATAAGTTAATGTCCCGTCGGTAAACGACTTGTATATTTAGCTGGCTTGGGTACATAACTAATAAACTTTTTATGCTTATTTTATTTTTAACAGAAGTTACCCAGCATTTTCCCGTTCTCTTGGGACGTTGGCAAAAACAACAAAGTGAAAAACCGTTTTGGAAATATTACGACCTGTAGGTGAATTATATTTATTCTGCACTATCCAATTGTATTTTACACAATAAAAGGTTTTTTAAATACTCATTCGCTTTGACGCAGAGTATAGACATCAATTACAAATTTGCATTAAAAAATCTCACTTTGGAGACACTTAAAGTTGGTGGAATCCTCTGTGATCGCAGATCGCAGGACAAAGTTTAACTGAAGGATTAACTCTTGCAGACGAAGAGGAGGGCGAACCAGGGTTACCGAGCTCTACAAGTTACTAGTGGTCACTGCGTGAGAATTAGTTTGAGTACGAGTGTTTATTGAGGAGAGAGATTCCACTGTGACAAATTCGTCTCTGTAAATACTTAAGACTGGCTCTTTTTCGTGACAGATGATCATTCTCGCGTTGTTTTGGAGAAAATAGAGGGTGATCCAAAGTCTGACTACATTAACGCTAGTTACATTCCGGTAAGTACGACAACAATACTCTGTAGTACGGTCCATTTTAACTGTACATCACTATATTTTGAATTCTCTATTGTGTTCCTAAAGATAACTTATTATAGAGAAATTTTCAATTGACAATAGAGGGTAACCTGGGATTGCAGTGTCTGGCTTTACTTCCCTCTGTGATTGTCCCTGTAAACTCGTGCTACTCTCTCAATCAATTACTCTCTCAATCACTCCCGTGAATGACCAAGACAGAATTTCTCCTTACTATATCCATACAATATCATGCAGAAAAGTGACGGAAATAAAGAAAAAAATCAATTATGGGACTACTGATTGATCCGATTTAAAATTCTTCAAACTAACATAATAAGAATCGTTTGGGAGACAGTAAGGAGAATTAGTAATGAGATCTTGGGAGTTAAAGGGTTAAAACTAAACTCAGCCAATTGTAGACTCGGTCGTTTCTCACGCTGTAGGTAGTTTGAATATAGTTTCTTTGAGTTCTCTTTGGCTCACTGACATATCTACCTTTATTCTGCATGGCTGTGTGATTACCATGTTATTGGCTTCACAACACTCAGTTGTAGTGCCCTTTTTTTGGACTTCGTAAGGATAGTTTGCTATGGTAACCAAAAAACAAATAAAGGAATATACTTCAAAATTGAACTAGGATTTTTACAGATGGAGAATATAAAAACACATTACAAACGAAGAACGAAAGTAAGAAACTTAAATAAAAGAAACTTTTCTCTCAGCTTGATAGGCCAAAGGAGAAGGAAATATAAACAGCCAATTAATCACTTGTGTCTCTAAAGCAAATGATCAGTTATGATTTAAAAATAACTTTTATTTCATTCTTAGACTGTTGATGAGGAATCAATGAACTACATTGCAACGCAGGGTAATTATAATAGATGTTAGTCCCGATAGAAAGCCAAGACGTTATTCACATTTTCCAACCCACAGTCGGTTGTACATTTAATTGTTTTCCTTGGACAATTGTTAAATAAATATAGCTGGTATATCACTGATCACTGTTGTAAATCTGTGATAGATCTGTTGAGTGAAGTGTGCCTAGGTACATGTGGTTTGTTTCTATTAAGTCTCTCAATACCTTGTTGATATTTTGTCAGGTCCAACCTCTACAACAATCAGCGATTTCTGGCGAATGATCTGGCAAAAAAACTGTTCTGTCATCGTCATGTTAACCAACTTGGTCGAGTTGGGAAAGGTATTCCTACTGTGAATCCTTCTAATGTGAAAAGTACTTTTCTTTATTATATTCTCTGGGTTCTTCAAAGTGGTTTGATAAACTTTTTCGTGCCCGGTTTTTAAAACAGAACAGACTTAGAAAACGATACAAATTTTTTTATTTTAAAAGACGAGTGATACATCTACATTTTTTTTCACTTTCTAAGAACAAGTGTGATCAGTATTGGCCAGACAGTACTACCACGTTTGGGTCCATCACAGTAACACTACTTAGGACGCAAAGCTTCGCTGACTACTGCATCCGAACCTTAAAATTAGTCAAGGTAAGGAAAGAACACCTTATTTGCATGATGTTTATTCCTTAAAATGGAATTAAACGTGATGTTTTTTTTTCATAGAAAATGTTGTTCATCGGGGTTTTATAGATATATGAACGCTTAATCGTTTGTCTCGCATATTAGCCTGACTCTTAAAAGCGTAATATTTGCTTGTAGGGCAATTGAAATGTTCATATTTTGTCCCAAGTGTATTTTCAGATGGGAAATTAATGATATTTTGATTCGGAGGTCAATTTTACATTGATGGGGGCACCGTGACAGCTTTTCTTACCTTACAAAAGCAGTTTATTTAAACATATTGATTACAAAGCCTAAACTTCTAGACCCTTTATCTCCCAAGATCTCATTTGCAATTCTCCTTACTGTCTGCCATATAGTTCTTGTAATGTTAGTTTGGAGAATTTGTTATTGGATCAACTAATAGTCCTCTAATTAATATTTTTCTTTATTCTCATCATTTGTCTGCTTGATGTTGTATAAGCAAAAGCAGTTTACTTAAACATATTGATTACAAAGCCTAAACCTCTAGACCCTTTATCTCCCAAGATCTCATTTGCAATTCTCCTTACTGTCTGCCATATAGTTCTTGTAATGTTAGTTTAGAGAATTTGGTATTGGATCAACTAATAGTCCTCTAATTAATATTTTTCTTTATTCTCGTCATATGTCTGCTTGATGTTGTATTGATATTGTAAGAAGAAATTCTGTCTTGGTCACTCATGGGAGTTACAGGGTTAACTCAAAGAAGTTACAGACACGAGAGCTATCCCCCTCCTCTTTTCAACTGGAGGGTTTTTATGGTGATATAACTCTAGATTCTCTGAACTAATTCACAGAGAATTGCTTGTCGGCTGCTAGAAGAGTGATTTACTGATTAGATCTTTGGAGTAAAATGGTTGCAATAGGCGAGATTGTTAAGAGACAACGATTCTGCACTCTCAATTACTGAGGTTTTTTGTGATACTCGAAAGGCTATTACTTTTCGTGGAAAATTATCACCGCCTTTGCAAAGTTGAAGTTTACACACTGTTAGTCAATTTTGTACTGATACTTTGATCGTGATTCGTCCTTTAAGCCTCAAAAGTAAAATTAAAATGAAGTTATTAGTCTTAATTTTCATCGGCTTTAGGGCACGAAGACGCGTGAGATTCATCAATATCATTTCACCTCGTGGCCAGACAGAGGTGTCCCACACCATTCGACTGCGTTACTTGCATTTAGATGGAAGGTTCATGTTCAAAATCAGGCCACCGGCGGACTACTCGTTGTACACTGTAGGTACTCTTTAAAAAAATTGTCATTTGACAACAAGTGGGTGAGGTGGGAAAACATGTTAAAACAGCCGCTACGAATGAAAGTTTTCAGGACTGCTGTGGAGCAGTCTTTAACAAAGTTCTCGAAAACTTAAAGATCGCAGCTCAGCTCCACTAGAGCGTACACTAGTGAGGAGAACAGCTGATCAAGGTTGCCCACTGGATTCGCGGCCGTTAACATTCAAATACAAGTTAAATAGTGTCTGATGATTTGGTACAACGAGGAAGGAGATCGATACCCATTACAAATGATACGGTGAATAATTTTTAAGATGCGAAAATCTCCTTTTACCTCAGTGGGATAAAAATTGGGTACTACAAATGTAGTTCTTAGACAGCATTCACCGCATGTGGACCGTAGAGGAACTCAAAATTGCTGGTCGGCTGAATTTATTTTTTCTTTTAACGAAATGATCATTTTTCGATTGTGATCTCTTATTTCTTTGCTCCATGACAGTGCTGGTGTTGGTCGAACTGGTACGTACATTGCTATCGACGCCATGTTGGAAGGTGCTAAGAAGAAGAATACTGTGTTCATACAGAATTACGTGCAAGTGATGCGAAAACATCGCCCTTATATGGTGCAGAATGATGTAAGTGAATTTGATTCATTTTTGCAGCGAATGTTGTTGATGATTTTTCTGTACTCACATGAAATTGAAAGGACGTTCGATCGCGAAATACGAAGGTGCGAGGTTCGAATCTTTGTGGGTAACTCAGTTTTTTGTATCTGGGCAAATTTTTTTTCACATTCTTCTCGGACACAGCTATTGTTGCTCATAATGATGTTGATTTTCGAGTGCTCCCGCTCCAGAAGTGTGGATTAGACGCAGATGAGATTAAATTTAATATCTCCGCTGTATTTTTAACGTTTGTAAACAAGCAAAGAGTAACGTAATGAAAGTTTTATTGCCTTAACTGAACATTTCTTTGATTATTTGTCGTTTTTGTTAGCTATTCGTTCTGTATCATAATAATTAATTGGAGGGAAATGGGAAAAATAACTATTTAAATGGAAGATGACGACACTATGCGTAATCGCATTATTTGATGACATAGACTAGCAAGATACAGTGTTTGCTCTTTTTGTTTTTGTGATTGTTTAGCCTCATATTATTTGCATTTATGTAGACACAATACGTGTTCATACATCAAGCTGTGATGGAAGCTTTGACCTGTGGAACTACAGAGGTCACTTCTCAAAACTTGCGGATTAGAATGAACAAACTTGCCAGGCTCATGTCAGATGCCAAACAGACTGGTTATGCAGAAGAATTCAAGGTATTAGTCTGCCTCACATTAGCAAACGTCACTAGTTTTTAATATTATATAGTCTATTGCTAAACGGGCAAACTAAAGTGAAAAGTATTTGTTATTCCAGCGTTTGGAGCTCCTCAACGACTGCCAAAGCTCAGGAGAAGAATTTGTCGATGCGTTTAAGCCCTCGAACCTTAACAAGAACAGGTTTTCAAATATAGTACCAAGTAAGTACTGCCTTAAGTGTTATTAAACTGTGTTTCTTTCCTGTTTGGCGATAACGCTAAAAAAACATTTTTCAATACAAATGAGTTTGATGGCTATTTACTAACTTACTGGGGACGATATCCACCAGTCATTTGCAAAATTGAAAGGGTAATTAACAACATCTTACCCCACCGACGGGAACTGGAGATATAGAATGCTCTCTTGAATGTTGAAAACATTCTCTGGCTACTTTTTATGCTGATATTTCGCACAGATTTCATCCAAATTTCATATCAGTCAGGACAAAATTATACTGATATTTTGCCAACATATTATTTTGTTTTTGAGACCCCGTTCATCATCATCATCATCATCATCATTATTGTTTATTTCATTGTTAAAGTCGTTTTTTAATTTCTTTAAAGTGGATACTGCACGGGTCATGCTGAGGAGTTCAGAGCCGGATAAGGATTACATCAACGCCTCTTTCGTTGACGTAAGTACATACGTGTTGGGAGCATTGACCCTATACCGCCCCAGATCTAACTCTTAATTCTCCTTTTTGTCTGGTCTATATTTCTTTGAAATAAGTTAAGAAAATTTAGCCTATATTTTACAAGTTATTTGTTTGCAGTTCGAGTCAGTTGTTACTATCCTTAACCATACTCATTCCATTTCGGTGTTTATTTGTCCTCCAAAAATACATTTTATGACTGATTAACTTGACGCTGAAAACAATTTTGGATCCCACAATAAACGACTCATGATGTCTTCACTTAGCGCCCTCAAGCTGACGTTTAAGTTTATACCATTTATCTGTGGTCAGAACTTCAAGAAAACAATGTTTAACCTATACGCTTGATACTAAGGAAGATGGATCAGTTGTCAGTAGGTACTGAGCAGTTACTAGCAATAATAGATCAGATACTTGCTGCAGTTTTTTTAAGGCTTAAAGATAATGAGTGCAATGGAATTTCCTTTCGATAGAATTGTCTCTCTATCGTATTTATTGCTCTGTGTTTTTACAACAAGTTTCTCAATGGTGACATATTTTACTACCTTCATTAGGACTATAGTCGACGTAAAGCATACATTTTGACTCAAGCCCCGTTAAACGATACTGTTAACGACTTCTGGAGGATGATATCACAGTATGATATCGGCACAGTCGTGATGTTAAACAGTTTAAAAGAGGAAAAAGAGGTATACTTTACTTATGTTAAATGCGAAATACCAAACGCAAATTTTAACTTCTTGATATTTGTAAAGGAAGCTCTGGAATCATGCGTAGGGAATTCTTTACCTACGATCCCTCAGGTCTAGAGTGAGACATGCTTGCGATACTGCAATTTATTACTTAAAGTTCACTGATTTTTCGCATATTATCTGACAGAAATAAATTTTGATGTTCTCATGCTAAGGTATATATTGAGTCTGACATTTTGCATCTCCTGGTAGAGTTATCCACAATATTGGCCAAGTGAAGGGTCTGCCAAGTATGGAGACATCACTTTACAGCTTCTGTCAAAAAAGAATTCGAAGAACATAACGACGAGGAAGTTCAGCGTTATAAATGTGATGGTACGGTGTAAATCGAACTAAGTATTATGAATAACCAACATGTTAGTTTGGGAGTAATATTATAAGTAAGAGGGTCTTCGAATGTCCTAACAATTGACGAGGAGCAGAAGGGCTTACCAAGCCCAACTTATGGATTAAATATATGTTAATCGTCTCAATGACGTTATAAGTTGGAATTATACGAAAATTTAGAAAGAGGTAGCTAGCAACAAGCTTTCCTTAAAATAGTCATTTGCAATCTGGATAAAAGCAGCTGGTCACGGGAAAATGGTGTTTGAAATGCAACCTCGTCCTCAGGGCCGAGGTTGTCGGTCTTTTTCAAAATGGAGGCAGCCATCTTTGAAACCGGCCGCCATCTTAAAAAACTGACCGAGAAACTTCCGGTAGTTTTTTTTTTTTCGATGGGGATCCCATCCGTGATGGCTCATGATCGTGATGTTTATATTGCTTTTTAATTCTAATACGTTAGCTTCCCAAGAAGACCTCGACTGTACAGCATATACAGTACACCGGATGGGCGAATGGAGACTCGAACCCAGATCCCCAAGAAATACTCGATCTGTTGACTGTAATAGAGCAGTCTCGGCAACAATCCGGAGATAGTGTCATTGTTTTTCAATGCAGGTAAACTAAATATTGTTTTTAGTTTTTTTTTTTTTTTTAATAAAAAAAAATCATTTATGTTTTCCCTCACAATTTTGAGTGATTGTTAAAATAAAGTGAGAATGCAAAGATTAGCAAACAAAAAAATTATTTCTGGTTAATACTGCGGAGTTCATTGCTTTTGCTTTGCATGGCGAATTCTCTAAGTCATTCAAAGAAAAAATTTTAAAAAAAAAATTAAAAGGCGCAACGAATCGGAACTCGATCGTTCTCTTTCTTTTGCCTTTTAGTTAGTTTGTAAGTATTTACGTTACGTGGTCTTGGGCTTCTTGTGATCTTATACGTATTCCAATGGTTGGTTGTCGTGAGTTACTCTGCGGCTCAAACAGCATGTCGGGTGCGAAATCGATACCTGCCTCTCAGCTCTTCGACTCTTAGGTCTCTGCGTTTTGACCGTAAACTTTGTGTCTGAAATAGGATTTATTTAAAAAAGTAATCAGGGCGCATCTAAGTTTCACTTTAGTAAAGATTTTGTCTCTAGGTTAGCAGCCCATACCTGCCAGTGCTTATCCCAGCTCTCACAATATGAGGCGACAAGATCTTTGAACTGGGTACCATTCTCTCTCAGTTGAACCACGGCATTTTATCTTGCTTACAACCTGGGCCTCCAAGGAGATCGTATCATTTTTTTTAATTTTATCTATTGGCGTCATTCGTTGTTTTTCAGTGATGGTGTGGGTCGTAGCGGCTGTGTGGCTACCATAATGTCAGTGATCGAACGAGTCAAGATTGAACAAACAGTTGATGTGTTTCAAACCATTAAACTGATTCGAGCTAAAAGGCCTGGTGCTGTGAACACCCTGGTAAGTTGCTAAGAAATGACGAGGGATACTGGGACTGTGTTCATCAACGAATTATTTCTTTGCTCAACTTAAAGCTCTATCTGCTGTTCGTTTTTCAGGATCTCTACTCGTTCTGTTACAAGACAATCCTTGCATACCTGGATTCTTTCAACTGTTATTCAAACTTTGAAGATTGCTAAATTGTCAGTATTTGACAGTTGTCGATGTTTGCGTACCGTCAGTCAGTCAGTTTGTCAGTCAGTGAATTGATTGGCTGGTTGGTCTCTCAGACACAAATAAATTCAATACAACAACAATAATGATAGAAATGATGATCTTATTGGTAAATTGGTACTAGTAGAGCGCGTACAATAGTTAGCTCTTCAATATGGTTAGCTTTTCAATAAATATCACGTGCTGATTTTCTGAAGGGAAAAGCTCCCTTCAGTTAGTTTACCAAGAAAGTGCTAATCAGTAGTTGCAGTTAAATAGCATAGAAAGGGAACTTAAGTTTTGTGTAACCATGGTAACGATAATTAAATGATCTTTAAAATTCATCTCTGACTCCAAGACTAAAAGTTTGAACCAAGAGCAGTATATGATCAGACTGAAAACCAGTAAACAAAGCTTAATTTGTGGTAAATCTGTAAAGATTTACTGGGAATTGTATTATATTCCTTCCAAATTCTATAATTTGTTCATTCGAAAAGAGACAAAGATAAAGTAGTATTTTAAAAATTGGTGTTTTTTTTATAGTTGATAGACAGAGCAGTTAGATAATGATACTGTCGATTAGAAATAATGTTATTTGAATAGCTTTACTAGCTAGTAAAAAATGAAATTCATAAATCTGTCTTTGTAGACATTAAGTACAGTACTGATACGTTGTCGTTTTACGAGAGTTAAATGAAAGGAAAAAATTTAACTGAACACGAGTACTCTTAGCTCAAGGTTAACTGTGTTCAAATAAACTTTTCTCTTCAGTCAAACCAACGTTGTAAACTATAGGTACATCAGTTATCCCGTTGACAGTAAAGGTTATACAGACACGTAACACTGAGAAGCCGTTTGGTTGGTGTCGTTCTTCATTATTATAAGGAGAGAACACGAAGGAAAATTCTCTGACAGGCTTGTATAGAATCTTGTTCTGACCAGAATTTTGATCTATTCGATTGGTTATTTAGCGTACATCCATCTAGTTTGTGCATGTCTTGCTCCTCCGAAAAAGTTTGATGGTTGCAAATTTTAAAACGGTGCTTCAGGTCACGGTTTCGCGTAGGGTCAAATTATATCTAAGAAAACATGAGTCTTTAACAGTAACTAAAACCTTAAACTCTGATCTCAATGTGTGGGATTTTGTTTCTTGATCAGGATGTGTATCAAACACTCGAGATAGTGTTTGATTACATTTTCAAACACCTCGAAACTCAGAAAAATAATCTGTGTCCTTTTGTGTTTTTGTTCCTTATAACTCTGATTATGCACCTGTAATTCAGTTTTATCACAGGTATAACCACGAAACCTGAGCATGAACTAACTTTTGACACTGCCACTTCGTCTTTAATTCCACATAACGAATTCTACAAAAGAAGATGTTTTGCTAGTACAAAAATCGACGTGGGATTCTGGACAGACAAAAGATAAAATGAACTCGCATTTTTTTCTCAACGGTGTTACATTGGTGACATGAAATGTGATCTATATTCATTTTTCATGTTGATCATCTAAAGTTGTTATAAAGAGACAAACTACCGTAGGAAACGAATTCTGAGAAATAAAGGGCCGGTTCTCTCTGCAAGCAGTGGGCTCACGTATTCTATTTAATAGATTTGTTTTCATTTAATAAATGTCCTACTTCGAGCTTTCGGCTCACACAAATAAATGTCCAGATAACAGATTCAGCTAAATTCAAGATAGTTTAGATCGCGGTTTTGTTAAACAACGCGGCTAAACTTTGTCTAAAGAACTGCCCTTAAAACTTCGATCGTTTGTTCCTCTTTGAAACAATTTTAATTTAATACACCTTCCGCCGTCACCCTTTGTAAATCACTTTGCTATATTCTTGATCATTATATGTTCATCGCTATCGTGAAAATGAAAACCGCGACAATCAGCTTTTAAAATTTAATTCAAACGAAGAAGTTTCGAGGTCTATCTTTGCAAAGGAATAAAAAGAGTATGTTTCAAAAGAAACCTTATGTAAAAAAATATCGATATAAAACCAGTATTGTGTCAGCAACGAGACGTCGTCGACTCAGCTGATTAATTACCTGAATTGTCGTACCAAATGAAGAAGGTCTTTGACGTAAGCAAATGACGTTTGTCTTCTCCGAGGAACATTCAAAATTGAGCTTTTCTAATTAATCTATCAAGTTACTGTGTGCTCCTATCTTTTTGTTTCATCTTGGTTATTGTGGCTTCAAAGAGATTGATTCTAATTACTTCTTTCTACGTGATCGAAAAGTGTACATATTTCGGCATCACCCGAGCCAGACGAAGCACAGGAGATCTATCGAATAGGTTCCTCCCCCGCAGATGATTCTGTGGCGTCTTTCCCGAAGCGAATCAAGCTGTAAATTCCTGCAAAACAGAGGTCATTTTTTGTCTTTTGGTGTTTGTTCAAGCGAGTGGGTTGAGGAGCGATTCGCGTATTCCCTTGCCTGGATACACGAAAAAAAACGCTTCTTCTATAGGCTAACTTCCTGTGCCGTCAAACGACTACTCTGGAAGTTTTTTTTAACAGTTTTCGAGTATAACGTAACATGGTATGGAACACTGGGGATATCAGTTAAACCTTACAGCTTCGTATTTTTCACTGGTCTGTTAATCTGTGTTTTTGTCGAAAATCTTAGGAATATGGAGATTCTAGAGCTGTTTTTGTGAGGCAGAGAGTTGTCACAAAAACTGAGATGGAGAACTGAATTAGTGGTAATGGTTTTACGAGAGATGTGCTGGAAAGAAAAAAAAAAAGAGAAAAGAAGAACAAAGATGGTCCGGGAAAGTGATATTCTGACCTATTAACTCATAGGACTAACAGAAATAAAGGAGGTAAGTTTCTAAAGAAACTGTGGTGCTAGGTCAGTAGGGGGGTATAACCTGATAATTTGGTTTTATCAACTGAGTTGATAATGTAAACTGGTCACCGTAAAGAATTTCTTTAGAGATTCTCCATAATCTGTGGCCTTACCTTGTCAAGGTACACAAGTGGAAAAACAGGCCCACGCAGGACATTTGATACATAAGTTTTCCTTTCCAGATTCTTACGAAATAATTTTCTTTGATAAAGATTATTTTTAATTGTTTTGGCATACAAATCACGATTGTCAAGTTTCAGTTTCATAAGTTTTCCTTTCCAGATTCTTACGAAATAATTTTCTTTGATAAAGATTATTTTTAATTGTTTTGGCATACAAATCACGATTGACAAGTTTCAGAAACACTAGGTGTTTCCGTATCACGAACAACATTTCAGTTTCTCAAAGGAGAGAATTAGCTTTTTTAAGATGCAAAAGGCCATCAAACTGAAACATCAGGAGTCAGCTAGCAACATCTTAGTTTTTCAATGAGTTATGAAGTAACAACAGCGGCGAAATGTCGGAGTTTGATTCCGAGCTGTACTTCCGAGTGGCTTTCTTCGCTTTTCTTATTCCTCTCGGTTCCGGTAAGTTCTCTTTCATTCGTAATTTGAGTTAAGGGCTTAACGAATCCACAGACTTTTAGTAGTGACTCCAAATATATGAGATGATTAAATTCCATTTCATTCTGTTCAATTAACAAACTGTCGCATTCGAAATGTCAGCCGAAAAGAATGTTGGACAATCGCGTACGGTGTGGGAACAGGTCCTTAAATCAACATCTATTGGGTTAAAGCGGTAGCTTGAAAGAGATCTGAACTTTTGTCGGAACACAGAACTAGCTCGCTTCGTTATCGATAAAATTATGACGATCTCTTAATTACACGCTCATCACTCTTAGAGAGGCATCTTTGAAAGCCATGATTATATGAGGAGTAGTCCAGAATTTCGACGATTTCGATTGCTTTCCTTCTCTTTTACTTCAAATAGTTTACGCACGATATCGCGCCTTTGCTTGAATTTACGAGCTGTCGTATTTCTTGAACACAAAGTTGTGTAATTGTTAAAATTTGGCACTGATTTTAAAATACTCCATTAGCTTTCCGTTTTGGTGTACAAACTAGTTTGATACATTTACTGCAATTTTGTTGCTGCTGAAGGCGAGGAGTTAAAGATACTATGGCGATTATTCAACCTCACTCGTAGACGTTCAAGTATTCGATGTATATTCATAAGACATGGCATGCAACAACTACTAAATAAACAATCAATATTTTAATAGACATTTCATTCCTGTTTAGTCGTAGAAATTTTTTTAACGCCGAGAAACTGAGATTAGCAAAGACCTTTAATAAAATTCCCAAATCAAGGTAAAGCTCTGAAACAGCCTTCAATACTAAGCCAAGAATTTTGGAAAAGCGTTTCAGATTTAAGTGACGCGTTGCTCGAGGGTCACAAAAATATCCCGAAAGATGTTCTCAAGGCATAAACAAAATTTGCGCTCGAAAGTGAAATTTTGAAATGTCTCAAATTGAAAATGTTCTAGGGAGAACATTAGTTTCAGTAAATAACGGGGCACATTACACCAATCGTTAGTCCAACTGATGATGTCATCGATAAATTTATCACGTCGAATCTGCTCTCTAGAGTTTCATTAACGACCAGTAAAACGACAGAATGTTACTAGAACAATTCCTTAAAGACCATATGGTAGTTGTAACACCAATGGCCTGTTTACATGAAAGTGGGGGATCCCAGGTAAGTAAGGTAACCCGCCTAGCTGTGGTCGAAAAATAGTCTGAGTTTACACACAATCTTACAACCCCTTTCTTTGGGCTTACCGGCCTGATAGCCCCATTGGGATGTTGGGAGAACACCTGGAAACTTTTTAAAATCATTTACCTCTGGCTCATGGGATGCTGGGACAACACTTGAGAAGTTTTTAAATAAAGAACCAGAAGTGAGCGACTTATGAATTTTGCGAGTGTTCTCCCAACATCCTGAGTGGGTTGTTACGCTGGTGAACCAATGGAGAGCGTGGTCTTTTACTTTTATGAAATAACCATGGGTTTAATGGTACAACAAACAGTAGGTTTTTGACCAATCAGGGTGCTTTTAGTTTCACAGATATAATATAGAGCGTTGTATTGTTACTGTACTTGTGTATAGAAAGCTGAAAGGAAGTGCTAGTGGCAAGTTGTATTAACACGAAATATCTTAATACCTTAGTTTACTTACAGGATGCTGGATAAATGTCCATCTTCAATACATTTAGACATGGGATGATGGAGTTGAGGCTTATATGTATCGGGAAATTTGTCATAAACTACAATTAAACCCTGTTGTTTTGAGTTGTTGCTTTAACCCTTTGCACAGTAACATCGGCATGCAATTTCTCTATACTGTTCTCTGTACATGTCCTAAGGTATTCACAAGGAGAGTTTGTCCAAGTGTCAAGACTATCTTGAGTTTGCAACAATTTTCTTTCTTCTGGTGACGTTAATGTTTGATTCAGTGGTGATACCGTTTAGAGAAATTAGATGATTATTCACAAGTTTCATCACTCAAACAGAAAAATATTTCCAATGAAAACTTACAAAAATAAAAGAAAGGCAGAGGTAATTAAGTCAAACTACCAAACAAAGCTTTTTTTGATTTTTATTCTTTTATTTTTTGCAGGAAGTTTACCAGTAAGACTAAACTTGATACACTTTGTGTATTAGAACCCTTTACTAAGCCCAGTTTTCCATACCGGCATGCAAATTTATCCAAAGAGGGTCTACCAGAACAATTACAACCAACCTGTCCTGTATGCAAGGGAGAAGATGGAGGTTTGTTAAGGGGATCTATGGGTACCTCTCTAATTTCTTTTCCTTCTACTCAGCTGACTGCGTTGATCTGGATCTGGGAATGGAACATAAGAGAATTTCAGATGGTAACATAACCGCTTCTTCAGTTCAAAATGCCAATACACCAACCAAGAATGGTCGACTGAACTACACATCAGGATCATCATGGTGTGCGGGACCAAGTGACACTAACCCGTATCTACAGATTGGTCTACAGACACTCTATATCATCTGTGCTGTTTCCACCCAAGGGAATTCTCAAGCAGATCATTGGGTGAAAAACTACACACTTCAATTTTCCAATGATGGAACAACTTGGATGGTCTACAGAGAAAATGGACAAATTAAGGTACCGTGTCAAAGACCATGTCACTTGGCTTTTATTGATATTTAGTTGCAGTTGTCTGCAAAATAAATGAAATTTTGACTGCCTCTTTGTTTTGACACATCCTCCAGAGTGATGATACATTCCTCATGAGATCTGGTTGGGAACATCAATCTGTGAAGAACTTTGATTTTTCACAAAACGATTAATGGAGAACATTGTTAAAGCTGTTTTTATTGTCACTCTGTAGACAAACTCCATCCCCATGATACTCAAGATGTCTGATAGAAAATGAGGATAGATGTCAAAACTGAATGCCATTAGACTTGCTAAAAACCTTATTTAAACAAGGTTTTATTGTTTAAAGGAGAGAGTAGGAGTACAAAGATGAGGGGAAAAAAAAACAAGATGCTTCAACTATTAGAAGATTGTTATCATTTTTATTTATATATTTTTCTGGAAATAGATGTACATCTTTAAAATTTTTAGCTGTCGGTTTTGATTTCAGACCTTTCAGGGTAATAGTGACAGAGTCTCAGAGGTGAAGCATGTTCTTTATGAAAGTGTTGAAGCACACTACCTGCGAATCTTGCCAGGTGCATACCATGGTGCTGTGTGTATGAGAATAGAAGTGTTCGGTGTTAAGCGAAAACCAGGTCATTATTTCATTAATTACCTTTTACTACATAATAGCCAAATTCATGAAAAAGTTTCTTATCAAGGCGCATAAACTACTTCACATACAAAATTATGCTAAGGATAAAACCTCTCTTGAAAATGAGATTTATCTGCTTTAGAAGAAGAAGTGCTTTTCATGGCAAAGTCTTAGAATTCTACATCATTTTCAATTCAGACATTTTATAAATGGCCTTGGTAAGTGATGGGTGAGTTGAACTTAAGTATGGTGGAGCTAGTAAGGGTCAAACAATGAAAATGCAAACCATAACTTGAAAACATGTTGTAGTTAAATGCTTTTTTAGTACTGTCATCCTTTTGATTTGCCCTAAAATACTAAAGCTCTACACAAACGGTAAGTACATTCATAAATATTGACAGATGTGGAATTCATGCATGCTTACTTTTTAGATCAATGGAAATCCTATACATTTGGTATCTGGAACAAAGAGTTCACACCATTTTTTAACAGGAGATCATTGCATTGTATTTGTCTACACTTACTTGAGAGTTAATTAACTCTGACATTAGTTTATCTCAGCAGGCTGATAGAGATGTTTGTAGAATGCAAAACTAAAACCTTTGTTGATATCTATTTCATTTCTGTCTTTACACAGTGAATGTTGCCCTTGGGAAGGCCACCCTTCAGTCTTCAACATTTAATAATACTGATTTGGGTGTGTCAGGTGTGTCAGGTGTGGCAGGTAAAGCAGTGGATGGTAATTCTGACACTGAATTCAGAAATGGAAGCTGTACACATACTCTGTCAAGCAATCTAAGCTGGTGGAGAGTTGACCTGGGTTCAGATAAAGTTCCAGTCTCTGACATATTCATAGTCAACAGATTTTCAACAAATTCTGATGTGATGGCCAGAAGCAAAAATTATAACATTACTTTGGGTGAGCAGTCACTATAATTTTCATGTAATAAATATGAGATAAGTTTAAGACAAATGGGTACATTAAAAGTATTAAAAGCAAAGGGATTTCCAGTGTGCGAGGTTGGAAAACCATAGTTTTCTGCTCAATCTCAACCCATTTATGTACAAGTTTTACCATGCAAAAGTGTGTAAAATATTACGTGAATATAAAGAAAAATGTTGTAGAGGGAGTTATATGTTGCTTTTTCAGTTTGATGTTTCTGTTGCTGCTGAATAGAGATATTTGAACCCCTCAATATACTTTGTGTATTTTAAAAATCATTATAACTAGTTGCTTCAAACAACAATGATGGATATATATTCTATTTATTGTCAGTGGTTCAATTAAACACTAACATTTACATGTACATGCACGCAAAATCTTATTTTCCTTTGAAATTGTGTCCTACCAAAACTCACTTTAGAGGGGAAAAAACAAGTTTATATCATTAATGAAATACATTTATACAGTAGTTTGTCACATATTTGGCATGTACATAGCATTGAAGTGAACTATCTTTTTTTTTTTTATAACATCAGGTAACAACCCAATAGTAGTAAACAACACTCAGTGTAGAGGACTCTACAGTTTTGTTAACTTCAAAGCATCAGCTGTTTGTTTTACCAACCCACTGATTACTGGCAGATATGTAGGGATATCAAAAGTAAGGGGACAAGCTCTTCAACTCTGTGAGGTGGAAATCTATTTGCGAGGTACATGTCATTAAACACAGAGATTGGTATTGACTAAAGATCTATGTAGCAAAACTTTGAAAGTTTTTGTTAAGTTGAGGTGACACTGTTAGTTCCAAAATATTTTCTGACCACACTTTTAATGTGACAATAGGCTGATTAACATAATTGCATGTGTCATTTCAGATAATCTTGCATTTGGAAAACAAACAAATCAAAGTAGTGTAGAGTTTGGTGGTGTAAGTAGCAGGGCAGTTGATGGTATCAGTAACACAGACTATTACGCTAACAGCTGTACCCACACTAACAAAGAACTCAACCCTTGGTGGAGAGTTGACTTGGGACAAGTTGAACCAGTCTCAGAAATATACCTAGTCAACCAAGAAAACCAGTGGTTTTACAGGCAGAATAACTTTGAGATCAGAGTGGGTAGGTTAGATCATTTTTGAAATTTTAACACAATACCATAGTGTCAAAATGTTTCAAGCAATCACGTCTCATAATACTTGTAGTGTCAAATTATCTCCACACTTCGACAGGTGGGTCTAATTCAAGTTTATCTATGCCTATATGTAAGGAAACATTAAGCAGAAATTTTTGTCAAGTACATCATGACAATGAATTAACAATTTCCTTCTGCTTTACTTGTCGAAGATATGAGGGAATAATAGGGGCTGGACCCCGGATCTGAAGGTCCAGTTTGTAGCCTTGGTTTTGCGCTGTGTTCCAGGATTGGAGACTTTTTTCTCATTATTCCCCTTTAAAGTTAGGAATGCAGAATTTAAATGGATGCTTAACAATAAACACCTGCTACAATGGATTAGCTACTCTTCTGTTATGGTTTCATAGTGTAAACCAGGCCCAGTTGTTGGGCAGATAATGCTATTCAACAGTTAAATCGCTATCCAGTGGATAAGAGTTAGCAAATGTGTCACACTATCCACTGGGTAGATCAGATTTATCCAGTGGATAGAATTGTCCTACACTCCAGCATCTTTTGATCTCCTGTAGTGTCAGCCCTTTTGGCTTCATGTAACACTCTCACACCATTGTGTAATGATAGTAGTTGGGTAAACAAGTTCTTGATTACTTTTCCTGCCATAGCCTAAATTGTTCCTCGATTCTTTATAGGCACAGTATCTAATAATGGAGGAATTACCAATCCCAGGTGTGGTGATAATCAGAGTTATAGTCTTCCAAGAGGAAAAGGTGTATCCTTTTTCTGTCGTCCTGTATTATTTGGAAGATATGTGACGATAAAAAGCTTAAGAACTGACTTTGAATCCTTCTCACTTTGTGAAGTTGAAGTTTATTCTGAAAGGAGAGGTAATACATCATATCAAATACCTATATATGTTTGAAAACCTCATATGGATTTAAGTTTTAAGTTATTGCACAGAGAAGTTGTACTAATGTACACTATTTCTGCATACATGCATGCATGATCATTTTCTGAGCATAACTGATGTGCCTTGTTGGTATGGTTGAACCTGTTTATTTATTTTTCTGCTTGGTAAACTTAAACTTCCTGTAGGCTCAATCTTACTGCCATTTTCCTCAATTTTTTCTTTCCATGCATTTACTATCAGTATAGTATTGAGAATAGACCCACTACTTCAAATAATTCTTGATTCCTTTTAGAGTTAGTTAGAGAGATTTCTGTTGTAGTTTCAAATGCAATTTGAAACTTGTATGCCAGCAGAAGTTCTCGTTATACTTGACCTCACAATAAAACCATTCTTAGCCTTTACTCTAGGATATTTAAGTGACAGTTCTCTCTGCCTTGCTTCAACTGTGCCTGAGGTTACAATTGGATCAAATTTTTTTCCAAACCTATTATTATGCTAAGTGGAAAACACCGGTACAACGTTGAACATAGGTTATTGTCATATATATAGTGAAAGTCTGGTGCTAGAAACCAAAAAAAAATTTAAATCAATACACCTGACTACATAAATGAAAACCACGGGATTATTAGACAGCTCTGATATGATATTATTTTAAGTGAATCTTACATAAATGCAAATTAGTTTTGTAGCGGCACGTTTGCTGTCTTAAATACTAGTGTGTTGTATACGTCTGCTTATTAATTTAAATCAATTCAACATTTTATTATGATTGATTACAGCTTGCCAAATGCAGGCCATAGGTGTGGCTAGCACTAACACACTTCCCGATGCCACCTTCTCAGCATCAACTGAAAGTACAAATTTTGAAGCTTCTAGAGGTCGACTGAATGCATTAAAGGGATGGTCACCCAGCAGCAATCACAGACCTTATGATCATCTGCAAATTGATCTGCAGTATGAGTTTCTTATTTGTGCTGTAGCTACTCAAGGGAGGTCAACTTTTGATGACTGGACAACTGAGTACAAGTTACAGCTATCCTTTGATGGTTCCACTTTTGTGACTTACAAGGAAAACAATGTTGACAAGGTTGGTTAAAAAAGGCACAGCTGAGATTAAATACAGAACTGTAAAAGATATTCTTAGAGTTGTACCAAAGGGAGATTTTAAGAGCTACATATATGTGAGGGTCTAAGTATCAAACTCTGAACTTTGGAGAAAGTTTGTGGAATGGTTGTTGTGTTCTTAGACTTAAATGGAAGGTCACAACCTTAATATGCATTTCTCCGCATCATATACTGAGATTTAAATAGTAATGAACATCTCTCGTGGGTGGACATACATGCATGTCTCTAAAAGCAAGGAACTTACATGTATATAATGGGGCTGTACAAGCATCCTGAGGAAGTTCAATGTGTATGCAGAATACCAAGTTGCCTGTCATATATGCATAATGTAAATTGAATTAACTGACCTTATGAAGCAGGAAAAAGAGAAAAGGGCCTCTAAAGTAGTCTAGAGCATGTAATAATAACATTGTTCCAGAGTCTGCTATGGCCAACAACAATAAAATTGATATTCAGTTAAATAATGAGCTCATACTTTGAATTAATTGTTTTAGACTTTCAGTGGCAATTCTGGAAGACATGACATTGTCAAACACAATCTCAGAGATGTGAGGGCAAGGTTCATTCGTTTCCAGCCTGTCAAGTTTTTTAGAAACAAAGCTTTGAGAGTAGAGGTGTATGGAGTTCTTATATCTAGAGGTATATTATGTTTAATTTAATATCATCAAATTTTCACATTCAGTAATTATAAGGCTGGTATATTGGTTAATTTAGTACATAGCCTCTTTGGTCATTGGATGTAGTTTATTTTTGTGAATACTACCTGTAGGTGACCATCATGTACAGGTGTATATGTAGGCAGAATTAATAAGTGCCATTTTCCACAAAAAAGGCCTTAACCTACAGCTGTATGACTCCCAGTCATGGAGCTGGATATGTACCTATGTTATGTTGGTGGTAGTCTGCATGTCTAAAGGAGTCTACAGATAGGAAGTTGATTTGTTTAAATCCGTTTCGGGATGCATTCTTCTCCCATTTACATAGTTGATTACATATATTTGTTCCCAACAATTCCTAAGACTCCCCACAAATTAATACTTTTAAAACTGTGCAAGACTTTTCACTAACTAGAAGAGTAAGGCTTGGTTGAATTTGATCTCTTAAATAGCAGATGAATTGATTTTTATAAGCAAAAAAAGAAGAATATTGGTAGCAATATTGTTGTTATTATTATTATTTTTATTATTAATATTGTTATGATCATTAATACTATTATTGCCATTATTCAATTATCATTCTGTCTAAATTTCAGTCCCTTCACAAGCACCCAGTGAATTGACTTTATCTGCAACCTCTTCTGCAAGTATTGCTGCATCCTGGCGGTTACCTCCTGCATATTCCAGACATGGAATCATTGTAGGGTTTAAATTGTTCTATAAAAAGAAAGGGCTCAGGTCAATTCGTGTGGAAACAATCAATGGTGGAACAACCTTTTCTGTGGAAATTAATGGTCTGGATAAGTACATGGAATATGAATTTCAAGTGTTGGCTTTTACATCTCATGGTGATGGACCAAAGAGTTCTGTTGTGGTGGAGAGAACATTGAAAGATGGTAAGAAATTTGATTATTTGTGGCAGTGGCACTTCCACTCCTACTGGTTTTCAAGAGCCTATCATATTGTAAAAGTTGGGTTGACATGAATGAAAGTGCAGTAATATGTTTGACTGTGTATATATGTTGAAATCCTAACAAAATATTTATTAAAAAGTGTAATCCCTAGAATCTGATCATTAAGTTTCCTTGTAACTTAGTCAAGAAAATCTGTTTTCTTTTTCCACTACTTAGGTCTTTTTAGGTCTTTAGTCTTAAAACTGTTAAGCAAAATGCTTTTTATCTATCTTATTTTGAATCAATATCAGCATCCAAGCAACTGCATACCTAACCCAAAATTAACTCTACTTACTCTCAGTTGACTGTTCTTGAGTAAGGGAAGGGGTAGTTATGCAGTTGCTTAGATGTTGGCATTAATATATTATTTCTGTGAGTTTATGGATTATGCACACTATGGCAAATGAAGATGTAAAATGTAAAACATACTCTAATACATAATAAACCAAACTAAGTGCAATTTTAATTTCTACATTTACAACACTATTAATTTCCGAATTTTCTTCTAATTACAACTTTTTCTTTAGCACCTGGTCCTCCGGCTTACCTCAATCATACTCTTAAAACGCCGACTGAGTCACATGGACCAATGATAACTTTATCCTGGACAACCCCTTCACAACCGAATGGAGTTATCAGGAATTACACTGTGTTTTACCACCACAGTGAAGATCCACTTAATACTCACAATGAGACCTTTGGACCAGATGTCTTTAATTACACAGTTTATGTGTTGGGTGGAGTCACCTATTGGTTTGACGTCAGAGCTGAGATAATAAAGCCTGGAGAAAAGGCCTCTTTAATCGTTAATATCTCAGAATATCGTAAGTGCAATGTAGTCAGTCTTACGTATCTCATCGATGTTAACGAGAAGCAAGATCTTCATTACCGGTACATTTAGATCAGTCGCGTAAAGTGAAGTAAAAAAATGAATTCAATTTTAGTTAAACCACAAAACATAAGTTTGGTGGGATAAAAAAAATTATTGGAATAAACTTAGATGCACGAGGGTGATTATGGACGAAGGAAATTGACATGAGTTTGAAATGACATGCTAAGACCATAAAAACTTCTTAGGGTATGATGTTTAAATTTTGACTGAATTGTTATCCCCTAGAGCCTAATAGTGGCCCAGCTAAGGTTTTTTCTTCCTATGTGAACAAGACCACCTTAAACATTTCATGGGCACCTCTACCAAGAGAGCAGAGTAATGGCGGCATCATTCTGTACAACGTCAAAGAAGAATTGTTGTCTCGGGGAACACGACAGAAAAGATCACCTCTGAGCGGCAAAACAGTCAATACAACAGACACATTCATTTTACTGAGTGGATTATTGCTTTGTTCGCAATATCAAGTGTCTGTTCGAGCATATACCAAAGTAGGTCCTGGCCCATATGGTTCACCTTTAAAACTGCCGAGAACATCAGGTATGTAGTACGGCATACAGCAGTTGGAGTGAATTTAGTAAACCCAAAGCCAATAATTACATTGGCCCTTCAAAACAAAGGATGATATCCCATAAAGTAAATAAGAACAGTTCATAAATAGTAGAGAAAAAAAAGGAATGAAATAAGTCAACTTCTCTAGAAGGAAATTTATGTTTACGCTAAGTATTAGAAATATTGTTGCTTTTTTCAAAGGCCCGGGAACACCTTGGGGGTTAAATGCATCAAATGTTGGAGCAACCCAAGTAACACTGGAATGGAAAGAACCAGAGCTTATGACAAAAGAAGGCTTCAGCTACAGAGTGAGTTTCACGAAAGCAATAAGAGGATGTGAAACCTAACGTCACTTTTTAAATTCTTTTATGTCAGCCATTATGCTAGGAGTTTCTTGAGTAATACTCTGCTGGAATTTTTTAGGATAAGCAGAAACGTACGTAAAGTTTTTCTCTCGTATTTACAGCAAATGTAGTTGGAAAAGATAGATCAGATAGCTGTTCTTTTTTTCTTTCGTTGGCAGTCTTTGTTTTTTGATTTTTTTTTTTTTCATGGCGTATTTCCAGAATGCAAAACTATAGTTAGTTTTCTCCTTTTGAACAGGAGATATTGTTGAAAAGCTATGCGAAGATTCACATTAAACTGTCTTTCTTTCTTAAGGTGAAGTATTTCGGTACAAAGCCTTACAATGGAAGCTTTAGAGAGGAAGGTGTTCAGGACGTTGGCAGTTCCACCCATTACACTATCAAAGGTTTAGTTCCAGGTTCTATTTACGAGTTTCAGATTTTCGTGAGCTCTGTTTGTGGACTCGGAGAACCCAGAAGATTTCCTGATAGGATCGAAACCAAGATGACAGGTGAAATTTTATTTATATGAGCAGTTTTTTATTAATATAAAAGACAGAGTTTTAGACTGATTTATTGTTGAGACTACTAAAATAGTATGAACTCATTTAACAATCCTGTCTCTCCAAAAATATACGGCTGGTGAATATTAACACCTTTTTTTTGAAGAAGTAATGAGTTAGCCTGCATGTTGCTCGTAATTAACGATGAATTACGCCGGCCTAATTTTTTGTTATTGGCTAATTTTACTGGCAAAATTTTTAACGACTCAATTGTTGACTCTTTTCTTTTTCGCTCTCCAGTTTTGAGTACATTTTCATATAAATAACACACAAACATTTTTCGGAAGAAAACACCTCTTCAATCCTGTTACAAATATCTGGCTTCTCTTTTTCATTTTAGCCCCTATCTCTCCAGCTGTACTTTCGGTGACGAATAAACGTATTTCGACATCAACTGTTGTGATTCAGTTGTGGCCCGCAGAGCAAAGAAATGGTCCAATAAGGTGAATTACTCATTATGTGGGGGACTTACAAACCATGATCCTGACTAAAATAACTGTGCTCCTATGGCTTTACACTTGTCGCCATCATTGAAGGGACACCTGGATTTTCAAGTTTTGTAGTTCCCATCCATGTAGGCCTCTCCTTTAATCATCGTTATTCTTACTTCTTTGTTATTTTGTTGCCCCTTTAGGCTATCTTTCCAAAAAATTTAATAGAAGGGACATCTTTTTTACTCAAATTTCGTTACCTGCAGCTCCTCTAATTGAAGTTTTCTCTGTAAATGTTATTTTTAAGGTTCGAGTACTTACGTTAAGTGCAATGAACATTATAAACAGTCAAATTTCCTCTTTTTCAGTTCCTATCAAGTTCTAGTTCTAAATGTTGTTGACGGAGTGGAAGATCTTCCGATTGATTTTGCTTCAAAAATGAAAGATTCAAATAGTGTCGAGACAGGGAACCTGAATTTTTATGTTGCTGCTGAAATAGAAAATTTTCCGGGGAACGAAATGTCTTGGGAATTCAGTGTTGGCGATGGAAAAACGTATGGAGCATACAGAAACAAAGAACTCCAAATCGGAGAGGACTACGTTGTGTACCAAAGAGCGATGACTTATGACAATGATGTAAGTAATTTCTGACAAGTTACAATCTGCCTGAAGCTTTCACCCAAATGGCATTGTACTCCTATCACACCTGTAATACTCTTCGACTGGTTGACTTCTAGGAACCGCATAGGAAAAAGAATTGAAAAAGACCCAAAAATGCAGGTTTTCCATGGGGAACCTTAGCTCTCCCTAGCTAGGAAAGGGATGACTAGTGATAGGATTTTGAAAGCCTCCCGTGTCGCAATAGGGTGAGATCGAAAGATCTGTGATGGTACACAGTGTGAAAAATTACCAATTTTATGAATTTGTCGCTAAGAACAAAGCTTTAGCTTTCCGAAAGAGTCACATTATATTTTCCAACTATCGGAACTTCCAGAAAAATTAAAAATGTTATTATCATATAATTACTAAAAGACAAATTTAGACTGTTATTCTAAGTTTGTCTTTTAGTAATTATATGATAGTGACATTTTCAGTTTTTCTGGAAGTTCCGATAGTTGGCAAATATAATCTGACTCTTTGTAACTTTACCTATTTCTTTCATAGATAATTTTAGATGGACCAGTCAGCAAGGTGGCAAAAATTTCTGTCGTGGAAGGCAAGATGAATACTTATTAATGATTTTGAGTCGAAATTTTAATGATGTACTCGCAAAAGGATTTTATAGTTTCACTTTAAACCTAATATTTCTAACAACACAGGTACTCAGTTTATTAATGACTTAGCCTACGAGTAGCCGTACCTTCCCCCCCCCCCCCAGGTGAAACGGAAGCGAGGGACCTCGCCTCCGTTTCACCATGGCGAGGGGAGGATACGGTTACACGTAGGCTGGATAATGACTCTGAATTCATAGCTAAATATTGACTAACATTGGATGGGTGTTCTCCTTTTTTTGATGCACATGCTGTAGGAGAAGGAAAAAGAGAAGGCTCTAAATCTGTTAGTATTGTGCAGATTGTTGTTCCTGTGGTTCTGGTCATAGTCTTGGTACCATTGCTTCTTGTCGCAATATTGCTGTATCGGAGGTATGCTTGACTCGCAGTAATGGTTTCTTATAATGGCTGAGAAAGCAGTAATTTTCCTGATAATGTTTACAAGGGATAGAAGCAAATTATTTCATTTTCCTTATTTTGTTATGAAATATCCTAAAACATAAAACTTTTTGTGTGTGCCAAGTGTAACTGTATGATTCTCACCACCGTTTCAGGAGGAGACGGGCAGAAAAATCAGGCCAAGAGATAGACAGCAATAAAGTACATGTTCCACTTGATGAATTTAGGATGGATTCAGTCGAGTCCAGTGGAATTACAACTGACTTAGTTTATCAAAACGTGTCTGAAATTCCTTCAGATAGAAATGGTAAGCTATTGCATTGAAGTTAAAGTATGATTGATGCAAAACCGATAGTGTCCACACATATGATTACATTTCCAGCTCACTGTCACGAGAAGAGCTTTACAACATAGAAATGTTAGAAAGGACACAGGCGGCCCGAGCTTTTCTTATGTATATAGAAAACCTCGAGATATATAACTCGCTAAAATGGGTTACCTTCAACATAGTAAGCGGTCAGATAACGAGAAACGCACTGTGGAAGTAAGGTGAGGTATTTTTTTTGTGAGGATTTGACTTATTTTTTTATTCCTTGGAGCGGTCGTGAATATTCCCGTACAAACTCTTATAATTTCGTCGTGACTGTTATTTCGTAAGATGATCATCTCTCAGCTGGAGCTTGGGCCGCCTATGGAAAGGACGTCTTTGTTTTTCGTCTATGCCATTGTTGTAAATGTCTGGAGTGCAGGACACAAAAGAAAGATTATGAGTGGTCCGTTTAAGTGCGAGCGTCAGACCTCTCGAATTTTTGGTCAGACACCCTACCAAATGAGCTCTAAAGACATCCTTTGCGAGCAAGGCCATATACTAGGCCTACGTAAAGCTTATGACCAGGATCAGCAATTTTGAAAGTGTCTTATGGAGGCTCTATAGGGTTTTTTGACCGCGCGAGATCTGGATGCGAACATAGGATCAACATGCAAAACAAACATAGCGGCTCGATACGATTGCACGATTATTATCTGAAAAGGTGTGTTAAAAACGGTTGGACCCTATACAGTTTTTAATGTTGTAGAATATAGGGTTTCCAGCAATTGCACCCGTAATATTCATAGGCCTTCTACGCCTGAACAAGAGGTCAACCGAAAAGAAAACACCGCCGTGGGAAAGATTGCCAGATGCGACGGATTCGAAAGTCTACGCATGCTCAGATACCGATCTTGGCGAAGTTTTATACCATTACGTAATGTTTTGCGACAAAGAAAACAGTGATCTTTTGAGTAAAATTTATCGCGTTTCTTTTGGTGGAATTTCCTAAGATTTGTTAGAACGTTAAACATATTTGTGCCCTTCCTAGTGCCCGTTAATAAAAAAAAATTTTTAAGGCCAAATTTGAAATAGAGGGAAAAAGCACAAAATTGCAAATAGCTAAGAAACTGCTTCTGTAATCCCTTACTTTTGTCGGCTTTAAAATAATCGACAGGACAATTCTCACAAATTGTGCAACCTTTGGAAAGATTTCACCAAAGCATTTTGAAGAAAATCAAAGGCAAAGCCAAATTATCGCTGGCGAGCGCCTCCCTTCGTGGAGCCTTAGCTTAATCTGGGTCCCTTGTGACGATGGGGCTATAAAGCTAAACTGAGGGAATTCTTTTTTAATTAAAACCAACCTCCTGTAATTCTTCTTACAAAGCTTGTGGTAAAACCTCCCTCCCCGAAGAAAAAGAATCGGTGTACAGTGAGGCTGATGATGGTAAGCCAAAACCAATTCCCGTGGCGGAGTTTTCTGAATACCTCAAGAACAAATCAGCCAATGGAGGCATCGTGCTAAAAGATGAATTTGAGGTAAGGCAATAGAATTTATGATAGCTTTTTAAGCGGATTTCCATCAGCTAATGCTGGTTGCAATTATCATGTCGACGAGTTGTCTAAAGAAGGGTGGAAGAAAAGTGTATAACAACTGTTTCCACGAGGGATCTCTGGCTAAAAGCAAGTGCTAGCTTTTTGGTAATAGAAACCTGTCAGAGAAAAACTTGTGGGAAACGAAATTTGAAAATTTACTTGAGATCACACGGTCACTTTTCAGGGACTGAACAACAAGTCTGCTCCAGGAAGCTCTTTTTAATCAGACCAAGTCTTCTGCATTATGTTAAATCAATCTATGGTTAGCTAACTTTTTAACAGGCAAAGTTTTTCCTTGATGATAGCTCCACGCTTCATTCGTTGGAATTATTAGTACCTTTGGTAATCTTCATACAGCTGGCCGCTATGTATGATGCATAAGTACTATCTGCTTCGACAAGGTTTCTTGCTTTAGTGAAGAGAGTTTCCTTTCGCAAGTCTTTAATGCTGTGTGACTGTTGTTGTTGTTGTTGTTGGTTTGACCGGTGTAATTTAGTATATTTGCAGTTATTGTTTTATGATCATTAGCATGATTAACATGATCAGTGATGTCTAGTAAGATTGCCTATCCCTTCAAATCAAAATAAATTAATGACCAGTCGGTAAGCGACTTGTGTTCTTAGCTGGCTTGGGGTCATAGCTAATTGACTTTTTATACTTATTTTATTTTTTAACAGAAATTAACCAGCACTTTTCCGTTCTCTTGGGACGTTGGCAAAAACAACAAAGTGAAAAACCGTTTTGGAAATATTACGACCTGTAGGTGAATTATATTTATTCTGCACTATCCATTTGTGTTGTACGCAATGAAAGGTTTTTTAAATACTCATTCGCTTGGACGTAGAGCATAGACATCAATTACAAATCTGCATTAAGAAATCTCACTTTGGGGACACTTAAAGTTGGTGGAATCCGCTGAGATCGCAGGACGAAGTTTAACTGAAGGATTAACTCTTGCAGACGAAGAGGAGGGCGATCTGGGGTTACTAGGCCCTAAAAAATACTGGTGGTCACTGCGTGAGAATTAGTTTGAGTACGAGTGTTTATTGAGGAGAGAGATTCCACTGTGACAAATTCGTCTCTGTAAATACTTAAGACTGGCTCTTTTTCGTGACAGATGATCATTCTCGCGTTGTTTTGGAGAAAATAGAAGGTGATCCAAAGTCTGACTACATTAACGCTAGTTACATTCCGGTAAGTACGACAACAATACTCTGTAGTACGGTCCATTTTAACTGTACATCACTATATTTTGAATTCTCTATTGTGTTCCTAAAGATAACTTATTATAGAGAAATTTTCAATTGACAATAGAGGGTAACCTGGGATTGCAGTGTCTGGCTTTACTTCACTCTGTGATTGTCCTTGTAAACTCGTGCTACTCTCTCAATCAATTAGATTTAACCCTTTAACTCCCGTGAGTGACCAAGACAGAATTTCTCCTTACTATATCCATACAATATCATGCAGAAAAGTGACGGAAATGAAGAAAAAAATCAATTATGGGACTACTGATTGATCCGATTTAAAATTCTTCAAACTAACATAATAAGAATCATTTGGGAGACAGTAAGGAGAATTAGTAATGAGATCTTGGGAGTTAAAGGGTTAAAACTAAATTGAGCCAATTGTAGACTCGGTCGTTTCACACGCTGTAGGTAGTTTGAATGTAGTTTCTTTGAGTTCTCTTTGGCTCACTGACATATCTTCCTTTATTCTGCATGGCTGTGTGATTACTATGTTACTGGCTTCACAATACTCAGTTGTAATGCCCTCTTTTGGACTTCATAAGGATAGTTTGCTATAGTAACCAAAAAACAAATAAAGGAATATACTTCAAAATTGAACTAGGATTAAAAAAACACATTACAAACGAAGAACGAAAGTAAGAAACTTAAATAAAAGCAACCTTTCTCTCAGCTTGATAAGCAAAGGAGCAGGAAATATAAACAGCCAAATAATCACTTGTGTCTCTAAAGCAAATGATCAGTTATGATTTAAAAATAACTTTTATTTCATTCTTAGACTGTTGATGAGGAATCAATGAACTACATTGCAACGCAGGGTAATTATAATAGATGTTAGTCCCGATAGAAAGCCAAGACATTATTCACATTTTCCAACCCACAGTCGGTTGTACATTTAATTGTTTTCCTTGGACAATTGTTAAATAAATACAGCTGGTATATCACTGTTGTAAATCTGTGATAGATCTGTTGAGTGAAGTGTGCCTAGGTACATGTGGTTTGTTTCTATTAAGTCTCTCAATACCTTGTTGATATTTTGTCAGGTCCAACCTCTACAACAATCAGCGATTTCTGGCGAATGATCTGGCAAAAAAACTGTTCTGTCATCGTCATGTTAACCAACTTGGTCGAGTTGGGAAAGGTATTCCTACTGTGAATCCTTCTAATGTGAAAAGTACTTTTCTTTATTATATTCTCTGGGTTCTTTACAGTGGGTTGATAAACTTTTTCGTGCCCGGTTTTTAAAACAGAAAAGACTTAGAAAACGATACAAATTTTTTTATTTTAAAAGACGAGTGATACATCTACATTTTTTTTTTCGCTTTCTAAGAACAAGTGTGATCAGTATTGGCCGGACAGTACTACCACGTTTGGATCCATCACAGTAACACTACTTAGGACGCAAAGCTTCGCTGACTACTGCATCCGAACCTTAAAATTAGTCAAGGTAAGGAAAGAACACCTTATTTGCATGATGTTTATTCCTTAAAATGGAATCAAACGTGATATTTTTTTCTCATAGAATATGTTGTTCATCGGGGTTTTATAGATATATGAACGCTTAATCGTTTGTCTCGCATATCAGCCTGACTCTTAAAAGCGTAATATTTGCTTGTAGGGCAATTGAAATGTTCATATTTTGTCCCAAGTGTATTTTCAGATGGGAAATTAATGATATTTTGATTCGGAGGTTAATTTTACATTGATGGGGGCACATTGACAGCTTTTCTTACCTTACAAAAGCTGTTTATTTAAACATATTGATTACAAAGCCTAAACTTCTAGACTCTTTATCTCCCAAGATCTCATTTGCAATTCTCCTTACTGTCTGCCATATAGTTCTTATAATGTTAGTTTTAGAGAATTTGTTATTGGATCAACTAATAGTCCTCTAATTAATATTTTTCTTTATTCTCATCATTTGTCTGCTTGATGTTGTATTGATATTGTAAGAAGAAATTCTGTCTTGGTCAATCATGGGAGTTACAGGGTTAACTCAAAGAAGTTACAGACACGAGAGCTATCCCCCTCCTCTTTTCAACTGGAGGGTTTTTATGGTGATATAACTCTAGATTCTAATTCACAGAGAATTGCCTGTCGGCTGCTAGAAGAGTGATTTACTGATTAGATCTTTGGAGTAAAATGGTTGCAATAGGCGAGATTTTTAAGTGACAACGATTCTGCACTCTCAGTTACAGAGGTTTTTTGTGATACTCGAAAGGCTATTACTTTTCGTGGAATATTATCACCGCCTTTGCAAAGTTGAAGTTTACACACTGTCAGTCAATTTTGTACTGACACTTTGATCGTGATTCGTCCTTTAAGCCTCAAAAGTAAAATTAAAATGAAGTTATTAGTCTTAATTTTCATCGGCATTAGGGCACGAAGACGCGTGAGATTCATCAATATCATTTCACCTCGTGGCCAGACAGAGGTGTCCCACACCATTCGACTGCGTTACTTGCATTTAGATGGAAGGTTCATGTTCAAAATCAGGCCACCGGCGGACCACTCGTTGTACACTGCAGGTACTCTTTAAAAAAATTGTCATTTGACAACAAGTGGGTGAGGTGGGAAAACATGTTAAAACAGCCGCTACGAATGAAAGTTTTCAGGACTGCTGTGGAGCAGTATTTACCAAAGTTCTCGAAAACTCAAAGATCGCAGCTCAGCTCCACTAGAGCGTGCACTAGTGAGGAGAACAGCTGATCAAGGTCGCCCACTGGATTCGCGGCCGTTAACATTCAAATACAAGTTAAATAGTGTCTGAAGGTTTGGTACAACGAGGAAGGAGATCAATACGCATTACAGATGATACGGTGAATAATTTTTAAGATGCGAAAATCTCCTTTTACCTCAGTGGGATAAAAATTGGGTACTACAAATGTAGTTCTTAGACAGCATTCACCGCATGTGGACCGTAGAGGAACTCAAAATTGCTGGTCGGCTGAATTTCTTTTTTATTTTAACGACATGATCATTTTTCGATTGTCATCTCTTATTTCTTTGCTCCATGACAGTGCTGGTGTTGGTCGAACTGGTACGTACATTGCTATCGACGCCATATTGGAAGGTGCTAAGAAGAAGAATACTGTGTTCATACAGAATTACGTGCAAGTGATGCGAAAACATCGCCCTTATATGGTGCAGAATGATGTAAGTGAATTTGATTCATTTCTGCAGCGAATGTTGTTGATGATTTTTCTGTATTCACATGAAATTGAAAGGACGTTCGATCGCGAAATACGAAGGTGCGAGGTTCGAATCTTTGTGGGTAACTCAGTTTTTTGTATCTGGGTAAATTTTTTTTCACATTCTTCTCGGACACAGCTATTGTTGCTCATAATGATGTTAATTTTCGAGTGATCCCGCTCCAGAAGTGTGGATTAGATGCAGATGTGATTAAATTTACTATCTCCGCTGTCTTTTTAACGTTTGTAAACAAGCAAAGAGTAACGTAATGAAAGTTTTATTGCCTTAACTGAACGTTCTTTAATTATTTGCCGTTTTTGTTAGCTATTCGTTCTGCATCATAATAATTAATTGGAGGGAAATGGGAAAAATAACTATTTAAATGGAAGGTGACGACACTATGTGTAATCGCATTATTTGATGAAATGGACTAGCAAGATACAGTGTTTGCTCTTTTTGTGATTGTTTAGCCTCATATTTTTTGCATTTATGTAGACACAATACGTGTTCATACATCAAGCTGTGATGGAAGCTTTGACCTGTGGAACTACAGAGGTCACTTCTCAAAACTTGCGGATTAGAATGAACAAACTTGCCAGGGTCATGTCAGATGCCAAACAGACTGGTTATGCAGAAGAATTCAAGGTATTAGTCTGCCTCACATTAGCAAACGTCACTAGTTTCTAAACGGGCAAACTAAAGTGAAAAGTATTTGTTATTCCAGCGTTTGGAGCTCCTCAACGACTGCCAAAGCTCAGGAGAAGAATTTTTTGATGCGTTTAAGCCCTCGAACCTTAACAAGAACAGGTTTTCAAATATAGTACCAAGTAAGTACTGCCTTAAATGCTATTAAACTGTGTTTCTTTCCTGTTTGGCGATAACGCAAAAAAAACATTTTTCAATACAAATGAGTTTGATGGCTATTTACTAACTTACTGGGAACAATATCCACCAGTCATTTGCAAAATTGAAAGGGTAATTAACAACATCTTACCCCACAGACGGGAACTGAAGATATAGAATGCTCTCTTGAATGTTGAAAACATTCTCTGGCTACTTTTTATGCTGATATTTCGCACAGATTTCATCCAAATTTCATATCAGTCAGGACAAAATTATACTGATATTTCGCCAACATATTATTTTGTTTTTGAGACCCCGTTCATCATCATCATCATCATTATTGTTTATTTCATTGTTAAAGTCGTTTTTTAATTTCTTTAAAGTGGATACTGCACGGGTCATGCTGAGGAGTTCAGAGCCGGATAAGGATTACATCAACGCCTCTTTCGTTGACGTAAGTACATACGTGTTGGGAGCATTGACCCTATACCGCCCCAGATCTAACTCTTAATTCTCCTTTTTGTCTGGTCTATATTTCTTTGAAATAAGTTAAGAAAATTTAGCCTATATTTTACAAGTTATTTGTTTGCAGTTCGAGTCAGTTGTCACTATCCTTAACCATACTCATTCCATTTCGGTGTTTATTTGTCCTCCAAAAATACATTTTATGACTGATTAACTTGACGCTGAAAGCAATTTTGGATCCCACAATAAACGACTCATGGTGTCTTGACTTAGCGCCCTCAAGCTGACGTTTAAGTTAATACCATTTATCTGTGGTCAGAACTTCAAGAAAACAATGTTTAACCTATACGCTTGATACTAAGGAAGATGGATCAGTTGTCAGTAGGTACTGAGCAGTTACTAGCAATAATAGATCAGATCCTTCCTGCAGTTTTTTTAAGGCTTAAAGATAATGAGTGCAATGGAATTTCCTTTCGATAGAATTGTCTCTCTATCGTATTTATTGCTCTGTGTTTTTTACAACAAGTTTCTCAATGGTGACATATTTTACTACCTTCATTAGGACTATAGTCGACGTAAAGCATACATTTTGACTCAAGCCCCGTTAAACGATACTGTTAACGACTTCTGGAGGATGATATCACAGTATGATATCGGCACAGTCGTGATGTTAAACAGTTTAAAAGAGGAAAAAGAGGTATACTTTACTTATGTTAAATGCGAAATACCAAACGCAAATTTTAACTTCTTGATATTTTTAAAGGAAGCTCTGGAATCATGCGCAGGGAATTCTTTACCTACGATCCCTCAGGTCTAGAGTGAGACATGCTTGCGATACTGCAATTTATTACTTAAAGTTCACTGATTTTTCGCATATTATCTGACAGAAATAAATTTTGATGTTCTCATGCTAAGGTATATATTGAGTCTGGCATTTTGCATCTCCTGGTAGAGTTATCCACAATATTGGCCAAGTGAAGGGTCTGCCAAGTATGGAGACATCACTTTACAGCTTCTGTCAAAAAAGAATTCGAAGAACATAACGACGAGGAAGTTCAGCGTTATAAATGTGATGGTACGGTGTAAATCGAACTAAGTGTTATGAATAACCAACATGTTAGTTTGGGAGTAATATTATAAGTAAGAGGGTCTTCGAATGTCCTAACAATTGACGAGGAGCAGAAGGGCTTACCAAGCCCAACTTATGGATTAAATATATGTTAATCGTCTCAATGACGTTATAAGTTGGAATTATACGAAAATTAAGAAAGAGGTAGCTAGCAACAAGCTTTCCTTAAAATAGTCATTTGCAATCTGGATAAAAGCAGCTGGTCACGGAAAAATGGTGTTTGAAATGCAACCTCGTCCTCAGGGCCGAGGTTGTCGGTCTTTTTCAAAATGGAGGCAGCCATCTTTGAAACCGGCCGCCATCTTAAAAAACTGACCGAGAAACTTCCGGTTGTTGTTGTTTTTTTTCCGATGGGGATCCCATCCGTGATGGCTCATGATCGTGATGTTTATATTGTTTTTTAATTCTAATACGTTAGCCTCCCAAGAAGACCTCGACTGTACAGCATATACAGTACACCGGATGGGCGAATGGAGACTCGAACCCAGATCCCCAAGAAATACTCGATCTGTTGACTGTAATAGAGCAGTCTCAGCAACAATCCGGTGATAGTGTCATTGTTTTTCAATGCAGGTAAACTAAATATATTTTTTTTTTAATAAAAAAAATCATTTAAGTTTTCCCTCACAATTTTTAGTTATTGTTAAAATAAAGTGAGAATGCAAAGATTAGCAAACAAAAAAATTATTTCTGGTTAATACTGCGGAGTTCATTGCTTTTGCTTTGCATGGCGAATTCTCTCAGTCATTCAAAGAAAAAATTTTAAAAAAAAAAGTAAAAGGCGCGACGAATCGGAACTCGATCGTTCTCTTTCTTTTGCCTTTTAGTTAGTTTGTAAATATTTACGTTACGTGGTCTTGGGCTTCTTGTGATCTTATACGTATTCCAATGGTTGGTTGTCGTGAGTTACTCTGCGGCTCAAACAGCATGTCGGGTGCGAAATCGATACCTGCCTCTCAGCTCTACGACTCTTAGGTCTCTGCGTTTTGACCGTAAACTTTGTGTCTGAAATAGGATTTATTTAAAAAAGTAATCAGGGCGCATCTAAGTTTCACTTTAGTAAAGATTTTGTCTCTAGGTTAGCAGCCCATACCTACCAGTGCTTATCCCAGCTCTCACAATATGAGGCGACTAGATCTTTGAACTGGGTACCATTCTCTCTCAGTTGAACCACAGCATTTTATCTTGCTTACAATCTGGGCCTCCAAGGAGATCGTATCATTTTTTTAAATTTTATCTATTGGCGTCATTCGTTGTTTTTCAGTGATGGTGTGGGTCGTAGCGGCTGTGTAGCTACCATAATGTCAGTGATCGAACGAGTCAAGATTGAACAAACAGTTGATGTATTTCAAACCATTAAACTGATTCGAGCTAAAAGGCCTGGTGCTGTGAACACCCTGGTAAGTTGCTAAGAAATGACGAGGGATACTGGGACTGTGTTCATCAACGAATTATTTCTTTGCTCAACTTAAAGCTCTATCTGCTGTTCGTTTTTCAGGATCTCTACTTGTTCTGTTACAAGACAATCCTTGCATACCTGGATTCTTTCAAGTGTTATTCAAACTTTGAAGATTGCTAAATTGTCAGTATTTGACAGTTGTCGATGTTTGCGCGCCGTCAATAAGTCAGTCGGTCAGTGAATTGATTAGCTGGCTGGTCTCTCAGACACAAATAAATTATAACAACAATAATGATAGAAATGATGATCTTATTGGTAAATTGGTACTAGTCGTGCTCGTACAATAGTTAGCTCTTCAATATGGTTAGCTTTTCAATAAATATCACGTGCTAATTTTCTGAAGGGAAAACCTCTCTTCAATTTGTTTACCAAGAAAGTGCTTATCAGTAGTGGCAGTTAAATAGCATAGAAAGAGAGAGTAAGTTTTGTGTAACCGTTGTGATAATTAACCGATCTTTAAATTCGTCTCTGACTCCAAGACTAAAAGTTTGAGCCAAGAGTAGTTTATAATCAATGTCTGGCAACCAGCAAACAAAGCTTAATTTGTAGTAAGTCTGTAAAGATTTACTGTTTTAAATGGGAATTGTACTATATTCCTCCCAAATTCTATATTTTTTTATCTGAAAAGAGACAAAGATAAAGTGGTATTTTAAAAATTGGTGCTTTTTTTTGATAGTTGATGGACATAGCAGTAAGATAATTGTACTGTCGATTAGAAATAACATTATTTGAATAGCTTTACGAGCTGGTAAAAAATAAAATTCATAAATCTGTCTTTGTAGACACCAAGTACAGTACTGATGCGTTGTCGTTTTACGACATTTAAATGAAAGGAAAAACTTAACTGTACACGGGTACTCTTAGCGCAAGGTTAACTGTGTTCAAATGAACTTTTCTCTTCATTGAAAGCAACGTCGTAAACTATAGGTACATCAGTTACTCTGTTGACAGTAAAGATTACACAGACATGTAACACTGAGAAGCCGTTTGGTTGGTGTCGTTCTCCATCATTGTATGAAGAAAACACGGAGCAAAATTATCTGACAGGCTTGTATAAAATCTTATTCTGACCAGAATTTTGATTCATTCGATTGGTCATTTAGTGTAAATCCATCTAGTTTGTGCATGTCTTGCTCCTCCGAAAAAGTTTGATCGTTGCAAATTTTAAAACGGTGCTTCAGGTCACGGTTTCGCGTAGGGTGGTCAAATTATATGTAAGAAAACACGAGTCTTTAACAGTAACTAACACTTTGAACTCTGATCTCAATGTGTGGGATTTGTTTCTTGATCAGGATGCGTATCAAACACTCGAGATAGTGTTTGATCATATTTCCAAACACCTCGAAACTCAGAAAAATCATCTCTATATTGGCTACACGAAATGTGATCTATATTCATTTTTCATGTTGATCAACTAAAGTTGTTATAATGAGACAAACCACTGTGGGAAACGAATTCTTAGAAACTAAGGACCGGTTTTTTCCGCAAGTAGTGGGCCTCACGTATTCTCTCTCATAGATTTGTTTTCATTGAAAAAAAAGTCCTTCCACTTCGAGCTTTCGGCCCACACAAATAAATGTCCAGATAAAAGATTCAGCTAAATTCGATTCAAGATATTTTAGATCGCGGTTTTGTTAAACAACTGCTAAACTTTGTCTAAATAACTGCCCTTAAATCTTCGATCGTTTGTTCCTTTTTGAAACAAAATGTTAATTTTAAACGCCTTCAACCGTCATGATATGTTTATCGGTACAGTGAAAATGAAAACCGCGACAATCAGCTTTTAAAATTTAATTCAAACGAAGAAGTTTCGAGAAGGTCTATCTTTGCAAAGGAACAAAGAGGGTAGGTTTTAAAAAAAACCTTAAATGAAAAATATCGGTACAAAACCAGTATTGTGTCGGCAACGAGACGTCGCTAACTCGGCTGATTAATTACCTGATTTGTCTTACCAAATGAAGAAGGTCTTTGACGTAAGCAAATGACATTTGTCTTCTCCAAGTAACATTCAAAATTTAGATCTACTTATAAATCTATCAAGTTACTGTGTGCTCCTATCTTTTTGTTTTATCTTGGTTATTGTGGCTTCAAAAAAGCTAAAGATTGAATCTATTCATTTCTTTTAAGTGATCGAAAAGTACACATCTTTCCGCATCACCACAAGCCAGATGAAGCACAGGAGATCTATCGAATAGGTTCTTCCCCTCGCAGATGATTCTTTGCCGTCTTCCCAAAGCGAATCAAGCTTTAAACTCCTGCAAAACAGGGGTCATCTTTTTGTCTTTTTTTGTTGTTCAAGTTAGTGGATTGAGAAGCGATTCACGTCTTCCCTTGCCTGGATACGCGAAAAAAAAAACCGCTTCTTCTGTAGGCTAACTTGCTGTGCTGTTGAACAACTACTTTGGAAATTTTTCAAACAGTTTTCGAGTATAGCGTAGCATGGTATGGAACAATGGCGATATCAGTTAAACCTTACAGTTTCGTATCTTTTCACTAGTCTGTTAATCTGTGTTTTTGTCGGAAATCTTAGAAATACAGAGATTCCAGGCTTGTTCTGATAAAGAAGAAAGTTTTTGAGATGGAGAATGGAATTAGAAGTGATGGTTTTATAAATGATGTTCTTGAAAGAAAGACAAAAGAAGGAAAAGAGGAACAAAGATGGTCAGTGAAAGTAATATTCAGACCGATTAACTCAAAGGACCAACAGAAATAAAGGAGGTAAGTTTCTAAAGAAACTGTGGTGCTCGGTCGGCAGAGAGTATAACCTGATAATTGGTTTTATCAACTGAGTTGGTAATGTAAATTGGCCACCCTAAAGAGTTTCTTAAGAGATTCTCTCTGGACTGTGGTCTTACCTTGTAAGAATGCACATGTGCATAGAAAAATAGTCCCACGCAGGATTTTTGACCGTTGATACGTAAGTTTTCCTTTCAAGATTCTTACCAAAAAAGTTATTTTGGTTAAGATTATTTTTAATGATGTTTTAGCACTAAAATCATGATTGACAAGTTTATTTTACAACCAGTGACGTACGCACAAAGAAACGATGAAAAACAAGGAAATAATTTAGACTTCCTGTATTAGAGCAACAATTGTGGAAAAAATTCAGAGATTGTTGTACAAAGTTTTCTGATCATTTGTTTTTTATATACAGAAATTCTATTTTGTTATATATATGATTGCCTTGCCATTGTCATATGCCTGCAGATCTTCCCTTTTAAATAGAGGAGTCTAAACCCGTATTGTCAACGCATCGTCTTTCAGCACACTGCAGAGACTCCGAGATTATATACGAACTGAAACATCAGGTGTCAGCTAGCAACATTTCAGTTTCTAAACGGAAAGAATGACCTTTTTAAGATGCAGAAGGCTATCGACCTGAAACATCAGGTGTCAGCTAGCAACATCTCAGTTTCTCAATGAATTACGAAGAAATAAAAAAGACGAAATGTCAGAGTTTGATTCCGAGCTGTACGTCCGAGTGGCTTTCTTCGCTTTTCTTATTCGTCTAGGTTTCGGTGAGTTTTCTATCATCTGTAATCTGAGCATACGAGTTAAGAACTCAAAGAATTCACAGCTTGTTTTTTGGCAGTGACTCCAAAGATATGGAATAATTAAATTCCATTTCATTGCGTTCAATTAACAAACTGTCGAGACCGACCTTGAAAAGAAGCTCATCACAAGTAACTTTTATTTTTGCAGTTGTTGATACAATTTTAGCTTTACATCTTCAAGAAAATTAATGATACAAATTGATCATGTTTATTGTTACTTGATATAACACAGTTTTTATATTTTTCCTGAATGAACTCAATGATGACGAAATGGTTGCTGCCAAATGACAACAAGGAAGAATCTTTAATTACAAGGAACAGGAGCAGTTTCAATAGTTGAAGGGGTACATTGACATTTTAGTAGGAGCTCAGTCATGATGATTTGTGAAATAACTGTGAGACGGTCATCTGTATTGGCAGGGATTAGCTTATTACAAATAAAGATGCCAATAGCAGTATCTATTTGTGGTCATTGGCTTATATTACTTAGCATCGTACCCCTGCTATGCATAACTTTTGTGAGTCAGTATAGCCTACACACTAAAAGAAGGCAGCGTTTATTAAGGCAAAGACTCACCAGTACGGTAAATCTTGCTCATTTTGAAAGTGAATATAGAAATTTGATCAGTGTATGAATTATTTTGCAGTCATCTCTTTCAAGTTGTTTGTACTTTTTAACAGTGATTTATTATAATAATTACAGTATTCGTTCAGGCATAGTATCAAGTATTAATAATACTAGTATGACTAGTCCCACATGTGGTGGGGCCGGTACTTGTTACCTTATTCAAAGAGTAGGTTTGTTATTCTTCTACCATCGTAGTTTGAAAGGAAGGTGTGTCACCATCGGGGATCTTATGGGAGATGAATCGGGATTAAACCCTTGTAAATTTGAAGTGTATTCCGAACAGAGGTATGGCATATCTAAATATTTTGTAAGTCACTACTATTAGCACCACCTTATTGAGCTGGGGTTCCAATCTGCATTCTCAAGAAAATTTGCCATTTAATTTCTGTATGTAGACATGTAGGTACTTCAATATTATTAAATAAATGTAAAGTTGTTTATAGCAGATAGGTGTGATAGTTTGGTTTAAAAGCTGATATTCATACATGTATACATGTATGCCATGACAAATTACAAATTTAAAATGTGGTCCAGCTTAAAAGTTTTATTATTCACCTGTAAATCAATAAGAAAGAATTATGGAGTGGTTGTATCGTTAGCTGATGGTGTAAACAGACCCCATGATATAAATATTTCAGTGGTTAAGAGTGAGTTAAGTTCATGAACCAGCAATTTGTAAGAATCATGTTGAAGTGTGTTATTCTGGCAAGTGGAAATTCCTGATCGCGTTTTTTCCCCTCAATTAGAGGTCAAAAGGTGACAAAGGTAATACATCTTTTTATTTTTCAACCTTGAATTTGCACTCAACAACAACATATACCTCAACACAAATACCTCAAATCACTGGTGAAATCACTTGAGGCATGTTTAGATGATGCAGCACACTTGTAATTGTTACTGTACATGTATGATAAACTGATTCTCTGAGTTGAAACCACCGTTTAGGGTAATTATTATTGTCTCCGAACAGCATGTCATAGTCAGCCCATTGGTGTGGTCATCAAAGACGAGCCAACAGAAGGAAATGGAATTATCAGGAGTTACGTTGTGTCTTATAGTCACAATGAAGATCCTCATAATATTGACACTGAAACCTTAGAAGGAAACATGTTAGGTTATACAGTAGATATGTTAGGTGGGACCACCTATCAGTTACGCGTCAGAACTGTTACGATCAAACCATGACCAAATGCAACCTTGTCTGTTGCTGTTAATGATTACGGCTGGTGTAAATCAGAAAACATTATAATCAATTAGACTCACCATAAACTTAAATGTAGTTTAATAGGTCAATTCTTACCGTTGCTTGAGCAAATTTGAAAAAAGTTAAACTCAAGTCACGACAGAGCCTCGTTGAAGTTTGCCACCGTTTCAAAAGTTTGTGCCTGTGAACAGAGAACGATAGTAGCCTTATTTCTCCACTTCAACCAAATAAGTTGGGTTCAAAACCTCAGCCACTGCAGATTACGAAAAGCAAACTAGTTTACCAGCGTTGTTTTTGTGTTTACTAGATAATTCTTATTCCGGTCTGTAATTACCTTTTTTCGCTTTTCAATTCTTATTATGATTATTAGAATAACATCCTTTGTAGTAGTGTTTCTGTTATTTTATTTTCGCTTGGATGCAAAATTTGCGCTTACTTCCACTGATTTCATCAACAAAAGTGCCTTGATGCCTCCAGCTCTATGATGAGAAAGGCCATAATCTGGGTTAATAGCTGTTTTTTTTTGTTCTCGAACTCTTCTATGAATTTTAATGCTTAACTGTTATTTTCTTTCAATCTGCAGAGGCACTTAAATGTACTAAAGAAACCATAAAGGGAGATGCCAGTGAGTATTGCAGGGACACAAGAAGCTGGTCTTAAATTATTGATTAAGCAGCGCTAATAAATCCATAGTTAAGCTGCATGTTCGAGTAATTTCATTATAAACATTTGATTCCTTTCAAAGCAATCGCTTGATTCCTTCATTATTTTCTCCTATTTTAATGGAGACAGATTTTCATATCTAGTGTAAATCCTTCTTATTTTCTAACAGGTGAATCCCAAGTCCTTCGGGCAGTTGTCATCGCTCTTCCTTGCATTGTTTTTGTCTTGCTCATTGTGATTGGTGCGCTATTATGGCGGTTGAGACGAACTGAACTTAACAAAAAAGCAACCACAGTAAACAGTGGTATCCCTGTCCCATCTGGTGGTCATCAAGTGTCAGAGCCTGGTGTTTATATAGAACTCCACCCCAGGCCTTCGGAAGGAAAGTTACGTGAACCTCCTGAGTATCAGTCATTGCTGGACACTCAAGTGACTACCGATTAATGACTGTAAATATATGTGATCATATATGTGTACTGCAGTGAAGAAACGAATCTAAGCGATCCTTGCAGCTATGAACTAGTAGTTGAAATAAGACCTGAAAAAATTCAAGCTCGTTCGGAATTTGAACCCATGACCTCTGCGATACCAGTGCAGCGCTTTACCCACTGAGCCAACATGCCAATATGTGAACTGCGGTGAAGAAACGAGGATCGCTTATATTCGTTTCTTCACCGCAGTGCACATATATGATCTCATATATTTACAGTCATTATTCACCACGTGGACCAGCTTCCAATTGGCTTGTTAGCTCAGTTGGTGGAGCGCTGCACCGGTATCGCAGAGGTCATGGGTTCAAATCCCGTACGAACCTGAATTTTTTCAGGTCTTATTTCGAGTACTAGTTCAGTAGTGTTCGTAGCTGCGAGAATCGCTTATATTCGACTTCTGATTATTACAATGTGGGATTCAAGAAAGGAAGGTCACGGAAGAAAGACGGCGGAATTTACGAGAATTCCTACAGTTGAATGTTTTAGTCTCCACTTGAGACCGTTTAGATGAAGGTTTCTATGCCCTACAGACGGTTTGTTATTAAAGACTTACTTTAACGAACATCAGAACGTTCGTAAAAGCCTAGCCACATGATGAATTTTCCTAAGAGACTAAATCTATAAAGAAATTTCGTGAAAAACCGACTGTGTAATGAAACAAAGAATGAATTAGGAACAGCTTTATCTTACAAATGCAGAACTGAACGCTTCCACACTGCATTATCATAGTTAGCCTTTGTTGTGTCCCTGATGATATTCGCCCACATTTTGACGGGGCCCGGAAACATACAAACGATTATACAAATTCTAGGAGTAACGCATGACGACTTAATTACCTTTTCCACCGAAAATTCCTTGTTATGAGTGAAACTACATGTAGTAGAATCCACAAAGGAAAATTTTGAAATGACTGTAAGTCACTTTTAGCCATGTTAGAACGATTTTCCCCGAATTGTGGCCTACGAGTTGCGGCCTACAAATTGCGTAAAATGTACGGGAAGTCAATGACATGCTTAGCTAGGAGAAAGTGCTCTTTAAATACTTGTTAAATACTTGTTACATTAACTCACCTTTCTTCCTCTGAACAGAATTCTACCACCAAATCTTTCAAATGTTCAGCTGAAAACAGATAGTTTTCGAGATACAACCTTATCATGGGCTTCAAATAATACTAAATGTTTTGTCACATACCTTCACAGCAGTCGCAAAAAGATATTGATACAATATCAGTCTTATGCCAGAAGCGTGACGTCGTTGACTTGGCTGATTAATCACCTGATTTGTCTGAGCAGTAAAAGAAGGTCTTTGACGTCAGCAAATGACGTCAAAGTATGGGCTCCTATTATTTGTTTTAATTCGGTTATTGTGGCTTCAAAAAAGAACCTAGACCTTGAATATAATCATTTTTTATTGAACCAATCGACCATCTTTTTGTATCACCTTAAGCCAGATGGAGTAGAGGTAAAGGGATCAATTGGATTGCTCCCTCCACCACACACACACACACACACACACACACACACACACACACACACACCACACACACACACACACACACACACACACACACACACACACACACACACAAGTGATTCTGTGCCGTCTTCCACAAGGCGAATCAAGCTGTAAATTTCTGCAGAACAGAGGTCAAATTTTTTCGCTCTTCGGGCGAGTGAAATAAGGAGGGATTCGCGTCTCTACTTGCCTAGACAAGCCAAAAAACTGCCTCTTCTGTAGGTTATCTTCTTGTGCTGTTAAACAACTACTTTTGAACATTTTCAAAGAGTTTTCGAGTATAGCGTAGCATGGTACGCGACACTGGCGATATCAGTTAAACCTGACGGTTTCGTATCTTTTCACTTGTCTGTTGTCTGTGTTTTTGTCGGAAATATTAGGAATACAGAGATTGAAAGGTTGTTTTGGTAAAGAAGAAAGTTTTTACAAAAATTGAGATGGAGAATGGAATTAGAGGTGGTGGTTTTTATGAGAGAAGTGCTGGAAAGAAAAAAAAAAGAAAAGAAAAACAAAGATGGTCAGTGAAAGTGATATTCAGACCGATTAACTCTCAGGACCGACAGAAATAAAGAAGGTAAGTTTCTAACGAAACTGTGGTGCTAGGTCGGTAGGGGTATAACCTAATAATCTGGTTTTATTGGCCACTGTAAAGAGTTTCCCAAGAGAGTCTCTCTAAACTGTGGCCTTACCTTGTCAAGATACACAAGTAAAAAAACAGTCCTACGCAGGACATTTGACCAACAGCTTGCCTTTCCAGATTCCTACAAAAAATATTATTCAGGTAAAGATTATTTTGAATTGTTTCAGCACACAAATCATGATTGACAAGTTTATATTATAACCAGTGACGTTCGCTCAAAGAAACAACGAAAAACAAGGAAATAATTTAGACTTCCTCTACTAGTGTTACAATTATGGATAAAAATCAGCGATTGTTGTACAAAGTTTTCAGATCATCCCTTCAAAATAGAGGTTTCTAAAGCCGTATTGTCAACGCATCGGCTTTCGGCGCACTGCTGAAACTCGGAGAATATCTGAGATAATGAGTTTAATTGTATTTTGAGGATAAAGGTACAGACAGACCGGCACGGACTCCCCAGGTGGCTTTCGTGGTCGCAATTTACGCACTTCTTTATGTGCTACCGACCATGTGTAAACTATGATTTCATCAAAGGCGAAGCAGTAACATTGCTTAGAACTAACTCTTCGAAAAAAAAACACTGAAGAAGGCCCTCTGAAATTGAAACAATGCCTTAAAGTAAGAGGGTAATTAGAAAACATCATAGAAAGGTCTCTGTCAGGGGTCAACTATGCCTTCAATCGGCTCTGACACATACACAAAAGCCAAAAGGTCACGAACGTTTATTGCCTTTTGTCACAGCGTACCACCCGGCAGTTAAAATAAAAACAATTATTGATGAAACACTGGAGCCTGATACACAATCAGCCCTCGCTGACAACAATTTCTACAAAACCTCCGATTATCTCTTACAAAAAAGGGAAAATCCCTCAAAGACACACCTGTGAGAGTTAAATTATAATTTGAAGGCAATGATGGAACTCGACCACAAAAGCCACATAGGGAGTCCTTGTCACTCTGTCTTTACCTTTATTCGGATGCGCTTCAACGGAGACTGAGAATAGGTTTTTTGAGATGCCAAAGGCAATTGAACTGAAACATCCGGTGTCTGCAACGTTTCAGTTTCTTAGTGAGTTATGAAGTAACAAGAGCGGCGAAATGTGGGAGTTTGATTCCGAGCTATACTTCCGAGTGGTTTTCGTCGCTTTTCTTATTCCTCTGGGTTCCGGTGAGTTCTCTATCATTTGTAATCTGAGCATACGAGTTAAGATCTAAAAGATATAAAATAATTAAATTCCATTTTATTGCGTTCAATTAACAAACTGTCGAGTCCGACCGAAAAATGTCAAGTTAATTCCAACATCTGACAAGTTATTTTATTTTGACAGATTGAGTTTGGGAGAATTCTAGTGGCGATTTTCAAACCTATCTCGCATAGCATGAGTTACTTCCTGTTCAGAGGCAACAACGTCTCGTCGACCTCGTCGACCTCGTCGCTCCTCTTTTCTTAGTTTCGTAAGAGCATAATCTTCTCTACTCAGTTTCACGATATTTATGAAGCGGTAGCTTGAAAGAGATGTGAACTTTTGCCGGAAAAGAACTGGCTCGCTTCGATTAAACAGTTTATGCAACATATCGAGCCTTTTCTTGAATTTACGAGTTGTCTAATTTCTTGAATACAAAGTCGTGTTATTATGCAAATTTGGCACTGATTTCATCAAGTCTCCATTTTGGTGTACAATCTAGTTCGATACATTTACTGCCATTTAGTTGCTGCTGAAGACAGTGAGAAAAAAATACAATAACGATTATCCAGTAAACCAGCGCGAGCCAAGTCAAAAGGACTGATAACTCCAAGAACAAAGTAAAGTGAAAGTCTCAATGATCTTAATATGTTTGTCGTGACTTAGCGTATTATTGTCGACTATTGTTTTAATAAATGAGCAGGCAAACACGGCCAAAGTGGACAACTGTCTGACCAAGCGTTGGAATGAAGACATATTCATCATTTTATTCACACATTACAACATAATCAAATAGAAAATACAGTTTAAATTGACTAAAGAATGAACTCAGCTCGCCTCAGACGTAGATGTTTAAGTATTCGATGTATATTCATGAGACACGACACGAAACAACTACAAAATAAACAATCATAAAGTGTTAATAGATATTTCATTCCTGTTAACTCGTAACATTTGTTTTAACGCCGAGAAACTGAGATGAGCAAAGACCTTTCTTGGAAATTCCGAATCAAGGTATAGCTCTGAAACAACCTTTAATATTATTAATTAATTAATTAATTAATATCATTAATTTATCTAATACTGTCCGAGACCTAGGCGTCATGCTTGATTCTGTGATGAACTTACGCTCGCATATAAATTCCATCTGTAAATCGTCGTCTCTAGCAATCAGAAATATTGGTCGCGTTCGTAAATACCTCTCGACGCAGCAAAATGAAAGATTGATACACGCCTTTATCTCATCGAGACTTGATTATTGTAATAGCCTATTGTACGGTCTACCGATTTGTGACATCGAAAAATTCCAACGGATCCAAAACACAGCTGCCCGCTTGTTAGTCGGTGCCAAATCAAGAGACAGTATAACACCTATACTTAGGAAACTTCATTGGCTCCCGGTCACAAAACGAATTCAATTCAAGATACTGTTGATAACATACAAAGCACTAAATGACATGGCTCCAACCTATCTTGTTGAACTTCTTAGTCGATATATTCCAGCACGAAACCTCCGTTCATCAAATATGAATCTACTTGAGGTCCCAACAATTCGAACTAAAACGTATGGGCAAAGAGCATTCTCCTACGCAGCACCGTATTTGTGGAACCAACTACCTGAATGCATAAAAACGCCGAATCTGTTGACTCCTTTAAACGCTTATTGAAAACTCATCTTTTCAAAAATTAAGCCACCAGATTATTTGATATCGTACGTTGTCAAACATATGCATAACACGTAATAATTCATTAGTTTAGATAGAGTAGCGAATTGCATGTATAGGATTTTTATCGAAATTTTGTTAATTTGTAATTGTAAAGCGCATAGAGTTCAATTTTAATGCGCTATATAAGAACTTATTATTAATTAATTAATTAATTAATACCAGACAAAGAATTTGGAAAAGTGTTTCAGATTGAAGTGACTTGTTGCTGAGAGGGTCACAAAAAATATCTCGAAAGTTATTCTTAAGGCATAACCAAAATTTTCGTTCTAAAGTGAAATTTTGAAATGTGCCCAATTAAAAATGTTCTGGATTATACTAGGTTCAGTAAATAATAGGTCGCACTCCACCAATCGCTAGTCCAATCGATGATGTCATCGATAAATGTGTCTTGTTAAATCTGCTCTTTGGGGGTTTCGTTAACGACCGGTCGAACGACAGAATGTTACTAGAACAATACTGTAGACCATACGGTTGTTGTAACACTAAGGGCCTGTTTACAAGAAAGTGGGGAGCCCCAGGGAATTGAGGTAACCCGCCTAGCTGTGGTTGAAAAATATTCCGTGTTTACACCCAATCCTTCCAACCCGGGGTCCCGGGTTGAGGTTGTTAGCCTGATACTATAAACTGGGATCGCTCAACCCCTTCCACAGTTCACATTGAAGAAATCATTACAGGATTTAGCCTTTGGAATTTGGGATTAATCGGCTACAAACTACACTCGCACTATGGTCTTTTATCTTTCTTAGCCTTTGATAAATTTTCTGGTATAACTCGATCTTAAAACCATGTGACTACCCTTTTTTTTTTTATTAATCACGTGACTAACTTTAAAAGCTGGGTTATTTTCTCGCCAAAATCCAAGACCATGGCATGGTTACTAAGCATGCCACAGTTAACATGGAGGACAGTAATCTCATTCTAAACCGAGCTATTACATCTGTTTCATAACTTAAACTATCATAAAACACCTAGGTATTCTGGTAAATAACTAGGCAATTTTCGGGCTGAATGCATCCTGAGGAAATGTTTTCGATAGTAGAAATATCGTACTAGATAGTTGTTGTTTTTGTGTCTGTGAAGTGAATAACCTCAATTTCTAGATATATCTAGATTTTCGTGTTTGTAGAAAGCACAAATCAGAAGAGTCAGAAGCTTGTTAGAAATTCACATCTTGGCATGAACAATGAAGCAAATATGTTTTCTTGCGATCAAGAACTCAAAACGAAATCTAGCCACGACTATTCAATTAGCTTGAGACAATATGGTTTTATGTCTAATTTTATAACTGTCTGTTTTATCTGTTAACTTTTTTATAGGGGCATGTATCGATTTGGATCTTGGTTTGGAAAACGAGAGAATTTCAGATGGTAATATAACCGCTTCTTCAGTACAAAATGCTAGCACACCAGCCAAGAATGGTCGACTGAACTACACATCAGGATCATCATGGTGTGCAGGAACAGGTGACACCAACCCATATGTACAGATTGATCTACAGACACTTCATATCATCTGTGCTGTGTCCACTCAAGGGAATTCTCAAGCAGATCAGTGGGTGAAGACCTACAAACTACAATTTTCCATAAATGGGACAACTTGGACGGACTACAAGGAAGCTGGACAAGTTAAGGTGCAATGTTTTCTAAGTAATGACAATTTGAGTACAAAAATACAACTTGTTTTACATGATGTATTTCATGTTGTGAAAAATACGTGAACATTGTACTCACAAATCAGATCTTTTTGTACTAACATAGGTTGCCTTTTTTAACAATCTCATTTTTACTTAACCTAGTCACCAATTTACTTGAAGCCTACAGTAATTTTCATTATGTATCTGTAATATTATTTAATGTTATAACTTTTGAAAATCTTAGTTCTTCATGGGGAATGATGACAGAAACTCAGTGGTAAAGCATGTTGTTTATGAACTGCTGACAAGATATCTGCGTTTCCTGCCACAAACATACCAGGGTTGGGTGTGTATGAGAACAGAGGTGTTTGGAGTGAAACAAAAGCCAGGTATATGTGCAGGCATGATAATATTACATAACCAAAGGAGATCCAATGTATACATTTATGATATTGCTGGCAATGCATGTGGGCAATATGAAGTGAATCCTATGTTCTGATTGGCAACCTAAGTGGGCAAGATGAGCCAATCTTGCCCACTCAGGATTGCCCTCTTTGATCCTGTGCAAGAAAAAGTGGACTTATAAAGTTAGTAACTTTCACATAATGTCAGTGATAAAGTTGCAAAAAGAAGCAGAATTTAGTCAAAACCAAAAACCAAAAAAAAAAACCTTTTTGGGTTTATTGTGCTACAAACACAGTTAACCTTTTTTCCTGGCTCTCAAAATAAACAAGTCATTCTTGGTTCTTATTAAAGCAAAAATAATGTTTAGTTATATAATAAATCCTTTATTATTGACCAGGCTGGTTAAGTTAAGACAGCTGAACATTAACTTGGTTATTTTTTCCATTTTTGTGGACCTTTACTTTGACTCGGTCAATAAAATTATAAAAAATGGAACTTGGCCAGTATACAGCCATCTTGACCTCACACTTGGTCAATAACCCATTTATATATGTAGATTTTATATTCTGGTATTCTTTGATACTTTTAGAAAAGATTTGCTTGCTTAGCAAGTCCATTGTTCAAAACTAAGTTTCTTTGAGATTATCTTTGTGGAAGGTTTTGTCAGTGTTAAGTGAAATATAGACAAACAGAGGCTTGGCAAATTGTAGTATGGTGCAATTGTTAAATCAACTGAATAACTAGGCAAAAGGTAGCCATTTTACAACGGAAGTGAGGAAATGATACTAATAGCTTTAATCTGAAATGGGTAATTCATAAGCTATTGTGGGATTGAACTCTAACATGAAACTAATTGGCGCAAATATCTCCTACATGACAGAGAAGTGTAGGTACAGTACAACTACACATAACAAAAAAGGTGTGGAAGGAAATCTAAGAATTTAGGAAAATAACTACATAACTCTTTTTCTTTTGTTTTACATTATCTTGAGTGGTACCACTCTGTTACAGTGGTAAGTTTTTCTTGGCCCATGTGGTAACATTTTCTTCAATATCTGTTCACAGAGAACCTTGCCCTGAGGAAGGCTTCAGCTCAGTCTTCAACATTCAACTATACTGCCGCTAATTTTTATGGTGTGTCTGGAAAAGCAGTGGATGGAAATACTAACACTAACTTTTTAAAAGGGAGCTGTTCACATACTCAGACTAATAACCCCAGTTGGTGGAGAGTGGACCTGGGTTCAGACGATGTTGATGTCTCTGAAGTTCATATAGTCAACAGGTTCTCACAACATGTGGTTACTGAAGACTACAAAATAACATTAGGTGAGTTTTGTTATCCTTTAATTGAATGTAAGGTCAACCATGCATACATCACCTTATAATCAGCTGCTAAACAACAGGCCAGTTTGGATGTTGCAGGAATTTTTGAAACCTCGGCTAAGCTGTATTGACCTTGTTATTAATTAGCCCAGATGTTTTTTACTTGTCATTGCTCAGTCAATATAGGGCCTCAGTTTAAGATTTTCTAGCATTAGGATCTCACTCTTGGTTACTCATAGAGTTCAGTGAGTTCATGTAGATGGGACTGGAGTTCTAGAACCAGGGCACTCAAGTGTCATCATTTGTCCACACTGTACCTTCGCATGGGACACTCAGAAGTTTACCTCCAGTAATAATGTTTTTACCTGGCCACTCTGTTAAGGCTATTATTACACTTACAAAATTAATGTGATTAAATCCTTGTTTTGGTAGTTTTAATTTCTTTTTAATATGCCAAATAACATTTCCAGGATGTTTACTTAGCTGAAGAATCTATTTCAAATTGATCATGTTTGCCACATGGAACCAAACTCTACTAGTAATTCTGACTTTCAGTGCCTCATAATCTGCAGGTAGCTCTCCTAATGTTGTAAGCAACACCCCCTGTGGAGGACTCTATGATTTTCATAACTTCACTGCATCAGCTGTTTGTTTTACCAATCCACTGAAAACTGGTAGATATGTAGGGATTTTAACCACAAAGATACAAAGTCTTGAGCTGTGTGAGGTAGAAGTCTATTCACGAGGTAACTTTTCACTTACTCTTTATACTAAACTTAATGTAGAAGTGAAGTCACTTTTCCTCTTTTAAAAATTGACTCATCCAAGACTTTTTTATATACACATTAATTTAGGTTGAGTATACTTATGTTTGCATGTTTAATGTACAAACTGTATTTACCATTATGATAATTACTACAGCCAAAAGTCATATTGAATTTTAAGTAGCACAAAAGCCTTGAAAAGTACACCTGATTTTATGATGATATTGATGAACAATTGAATGTAACCAGAGGTAGATAAATCAAGTGCCCCTGGAATATGTTCTTGTAGAGTGCATAAATCAAGACTTTTGTTTAATCTCACAGAAACTCTTTAACCATAAAGATCTTAGAAAAGTTTTGTTGGGAATTATTTTACAGTCATGCTTGTGAGAAATGTCTTTTGATAAGTAACTTAAATATAGGTTTATTTGCTATTTGAATATATGCATACTAGAACACTTTTCCTTGATATTTAGGTCTTAAAATTTATCTTTGGTCTGTTGCCTCAATAAGAGTTTAAGAATAGTACAATTTATCTTCCAGTATGTCAGCAATTTTAAATCTTTAATCAATCAATCAATCAATCAATCAATCAAGCAATATAAGTATGTCTCTCTATTAATTTACCAGTTAGGGATGACCAGTAGAATTTATATAGTAGTACACTGTAGCTTAAGAATGGAGTAAAATGCTATAATTACAATGGAGGTATATTTTTAATTTCAAAATTTATACATACACCTGTACATTATTTTTTTTTTCTTATATCAAAATTATTGCAGTTTGGTGTCCTTTGCTTTCCAGCTTTTTGGCAAAGGCTGGTATATCTGTAGGCTGCCCAAAATGTAATATCTACCAGCAACCAGTTTTTTAAAAATACCCTTTGTTTTAATTTTTCTATATAATGTACAGTGTAACAAACATATTCAGTACAACTCAATGAAACTGTCATTCTATGATCAGTATGTGGACAGCGATCACCTTTGTCCAGGGAAACTTTTCTTTTTTTTGTCAATACGACTTCAACATGGACAAAGCGTGTAAATCATTAAGGATTCCGGTTTTAATCGACTCATGTGCAATGAGGCGCTAGAATTACCTAGGGACACTGGACACCACCAAGTATCCTAGTGACCGATTGCAGATTCGTCAAAACAAGTTGACTGGCTTTATTGATCGCACACCTGTCTTGATTACATGAGCTAAATGCACGGTTGAATAAAAACATGATGGCACTTCCACAAACTGTGGGCTTCAAAGCTGAAGCAGTCAATGAAGAAAGAGTTTGGTGTGCATGCACTGTTGAAGAAGTAGACAATGTTTACGTGATTGTTTCCTTTGACGGCTGGAATGCAGAATGGAATGGCTGTGTCTGTGATCCACGAGAGATCAGGGATCGAACATTGCCTGATCAGAAAAGAAAGCGAAGAAACCTTTCCCTTCAGTGAACAATGTCTTTGCTCTAAGAAAACTGACTTTTACTTTTAAATATCACCCAAACTTATGTAAGCAAAAAGCTCAAATTACGGTTCTCTTCAATTTCAGGCATGAATTCAATTCAATTCAATTCAATTCAATTTTATTTGTTAGCAATACAATATTATCACAGACCTAGGTGACCCGCAATTAGCAAGCTATTCTAGGCGGGCCACCCTTCTAAAACAAGTGCTGTCTCTGCTAAGGATCACATACCGATACAATTAAACAAAGATAATCATTAATAAAAATACAATTGTTAAATAAAATAAAATAAAATTAAGTCCGTTGAATAATTAAATAATCAATTGCAAAGTTATCAAGATATATAATACAATTGAAACAAGACTTAAACGAAGAGTTACTTTATCAAGAGATATTTACAAATTTCAGAGCAGCGTATATCAACATTCATCTCCTCAATTTCCAAAAGTTTTAACAGGCGATTTTTAAGTTCACGCTTAAACGGGGTTCTGTTTTTAATACGAAGTTCTTTTGGGATGCTATTCCACAATCTTACACCTATTCTAGCAAAAGAAAATAAAAGTTGGTTAGTTCTAGACGCTTTAACGTACAGATTAGCCGTTGCTGAGAATCTTGTGAAATGGTGATGAACCTGCTCGGAGTGGATAAAGAGCATAGAAATATTAGACGGGGCACGGTGATTATCAATGTCATGCATCAAAGAGGAAACCAAATGAGAATAGAGCATAGTTATTGGTAAGATTCTGGAGTTAACAAATAGCGGGGCACTTATTTAAATGAGTGTTAGCAGCTTGTCCCCAGGCAATAAGACCATAAGAGATATAGGGTTCAATTAAGGAGCGGTAGATGTTAAGAAGTGTGGCAAATGGGACAAGATGTCTTAACCTGGCAATTATACCAATTCCTTTACTAACTTTAGATGAGATATAATCAATATGATACTTCCAAGAGAGGTTATTATCTATCAGAATTCCTAGATATTTCACAAAAGTTTTTGTTCTAGAGATACACTTTTTTTAAGATCGTTATTATAAATTTTCAAGTGAACTATGTAGTCCAATTTGCGTTGGTAAGGATGGAAAATAACAAAGTTAGATTTACTAGTGTTAAGAGAAAGTTTGTTTGCGTCCAACCAGTCACCCACTTTTGCAAGTTCATCATTAACAACTTTTTCAAGATCCTTAAGATCTTTGTTTGAATAAAGCAAGTTAGTATCGTCAGCAAATAGGTAAAACTCAAAAATCTGGGAGCAACGGTAAATGTCGTTAACATAAATCAAAAAAGAGAAGGGGCCAAGTACAGACCCTTGAGGGACACCACAAACTATCTCTTCTATATTCGACACGGTTGAACCAATTTGAGTCGACTGGTTCCTGTTCAACAAGTACGAAGAGAACCAGTTATTAATTATTCCTCTGACTCCATAATGATATAATTTGTGCAGTAAGATTGAGTGATCCACCGTATCAAAAGCCTTTTTAGGTCAATAAAAATACCACAAGAGAATAACTTTGCATCAATATTAGTTTGAATTTTGCTTAAGATATCTAAAATTGCATGTTGGGTTGAACACTTGTCTCTAAATCCATATTGAGAAGTAAAAAGATACCGTTTTTTTCGCAATGTGATTTAAGACGTTTAGCCATCAATTTCTCAAATAATCGATTGAAGACAGAAAGGAGGGAAATTGGGCGGTAATTACATGGATCAGTTTCGTCTCCCGATTTGTAGATAGGAATTACTTTGGCATGCTTCAAAAGATGGGGATAAATACCCGTTGAGATAGACTTATTCATCATGGCAGCTAAGAGTGGAGAAAGGATATGGCGCCCAGATTTTAAAAGATGAACCGGGCAAGAATATAGGCCATATACTTTATTACTGGGTATAGCCAAGATTTCCAAGTCCACCTCGGATGGAACGACGGGATCAAAAAGAAAGACTTAAAGTGATTAGTGCCGACAAGGTAGTCCTGGAAATTTATCCTGGAAGGTGATATATTGCGTGCAAGCCGCGGTCCAATAGACGCAAAGTACTGATTAAAGATATTGGTTATTTCAGACGGATTTTGTGTTACTCCAGAGTTGTTAGAGCGTTGAAGGGCTGATACTGTTTTTCTGTTACGCTGTCTGTTCAATAGTTCATTAATCCCCCCACGTTTTTTTTTAACATTTCTTAGATTTGTAGTGAAGTAAGCTTCATAATACAATCTTTTACTGAGACGAGAAAGAGTAACAATTCTATTCCTATACAGCTTATATTTTGAGATATCTCCTGAATAAAAGAGTCTATTCTTTTATTTTGATAGATTTACGTAGGCCCTTAGTTATCCACGGTTTGGAAAATTGTTTAGCCTTGCGCCTAGATAAGATTTTGAGAGGAGCGTGTTTATTAATGAGCTTGTTAAATTTATTGTAAAAGGAAGAAAAGCATTTGTCTACAGATCCATATGTCATTGAGTTATCCCAATCAGTATCCAAGACATCATTAATAAAGCATTCTTCAGAGAAGTTGGAATAATCGCGAATTTTATGTTTAGCAGTAAAATTTTTGGTATAAGACTGTGGATAAAACAAAATTGGGAGTAGTGATCACTAATGTCTGACACGATATTTCCACCTGAAATTTTATGATCAAATCTATTCAGAAATATATTATCAATGAGTGTGGCAGAATTATTGTAGACTCTAGTTGGTTTATCAATTACCGGGAAGAACGAATAACATTGTAAAGATAACAAAAATTTTGGGAGTAATCGGAAATTTCAGATTTGAGGAGATCAATATTGAAATCGCCCATAAGATAAACAACTTTATCAGAGGAGCTAAGTTTTTCTAAAGTAAAGTCAACATAATGGAGGAATTGTTCCGGATCATTATGCTGCCTATAAATCACTCCACAAACGATATTTTTACTCTTTAGGGATTCAATTTCGATCCATAAAGCCTGAAAAGCGTCTTTAGATGTTCTCTCCAGAACCTTATATTTCAAACAATTATTAATGTACATTCCAACACCTCCACATGATAGAGGTGTTGGGACATATTCAAACTGATAGTTTGGTATGCAGGCATTGAAATCTAGCCCAGATGAATTTGTAATTTTTGTTTCTGTAATACCGATTACACTGAATTGGTAGTCAAGTTCATCTAAAAGATGGACTTGAAAATTATCAATGTTTTTCCGCAAACTTCTTACGTTAGTATGAAGCATAGAGAAAGGACATTGACTATCTGATTCAACAAAGACTCTTTAAACATAGAAAAACTATAGGGTGAGAAATATTTACATCTAATTTGTTGCATGCTTAAGTTTCTGTCGGGATTTAATGTTGATTCGGTATTTAAGCGAAACAAATCTAAATCATAAATACTATGAAGTTTGTCTAAGTACTTCTTGGTCGGTAAGTCACTGTTGAGAATGTTATTAAACTGTCCATGAGCTCTAATAATTTCAACATTCGCGTATGGAAGTTCGCTTAGGGTAGATTTAATTGTACAACGAACACGTTTCTTGCTAACACTCATACTTATTATCTAAAAACAGACAAACAACTCTACATCAACATGAATACTTAGCCTTCACGTCCATTCGTTAATCGGTGCAGGTCCGTGATATCCTTAATCTTGATGGCTCGAGACGTGGTATCTTTACGAAGATAAACAAGCGATCCCTTCGACCAGCAATACTGATAGTGAAACTGCTCCTTGAACCTCTTAGCTTCAAATAAAACCTTTTGCATCCTTGGCGTTAAATGGTCAAAAATTCTAACAGCGGAAAGGGAGGCATCGTCAGGTAAACCAACAGCAGATGGGGCAACTTTACTTGCATTTCTTTTATGATTCATGACATCATCTTTTGACAATCGTCTAATAAATCGGCAAATGATTGGCCGCGGGCCGCCAATTCGCATAATCTTTCATGGACGAAATCTTTATGACTTTCAAAGATCAAAACCATTTTCTAAACTACATCTGCTTTATCTTTATCTTTATCCACTTAGCAAACAAAGCTTTCCAAATTACAGTCAAAACACCAGACATATTTCACTTTGAATTTTTCGATCTATCCTAGTTTCTCAGACTGCATCCAAAAAGGTTTTATTACACAGCTTCCATCTAAGACTCCCAGTGGAACATGATGTAAAATACATCACGTGTTACTGGGTAACAGTGCTCATACATATGCATGAACCCCACTCAAGTGGGGTTTGCAGAATTACACACTTTGTCCATGTTGAAGTCATCATGGTGTGTACATTTTCTCCTAGAAAATCTGGCATTTCAAAAACCAACATATCAGCACATAAGGACATTAGCAGGCGGCACAAGTGATAGAGCAGTTGATGGAAATAGCAATATGAACTTTGCGGGTGAATCATGTTCATTTGTGCAAGACGATCCATTTCCATGGTGGAGAGTGGATCTAGGACAAGATGAGTTTGTGACTGAAGTGTATGTAGTTGGTTTACTTGATGCAAATCATCTGAGAAAATTTGAAATCAGAGTTGGTAGGTTAATACACTTGCAGTAATGGTTATTTTTGAAGTGGTCAATGCACTCTTAGCTTAATGTCCTCAAGAAAAGAGGGGAAAATGGTGTGCTGTGGTTTCCAGCTTCGACAAAAGCTGGATTGGACCAGGTTGGATCATGGTCAGGATCAGGGATCAGATCATGGGTTGCATCATAGACCAAACAAAATAGTTTTCAAAAAATTAGATAAAAAAAATATATATATATATATAAATGTGGGGGTAGAGTCTATCTTGGTCTATCTCTTTCTAAAGTGCTCAATGCTGTGGCAGCAGAGCTAAGTATACATATGTTAAAGAACTAAAGAGGACGCGTCAATTCTCTGTATGAATCAATGCAACCTCTTTAATTTTTTAACTTATGTATATATGTATATATATATAACTGTTTTTGAAATAAGAAATAAAAATAAGATTGAAAAACTAAAACATGTTAATTTAAATTAGAAATGTTGCATGACAAGCCAAAATGAAATCTGTGTGACATAAAAAATTGCTTTACATGAATTGCACTCATGCATTTCAGCTGTCATATTTAAACCATTCTTACTCCTCACCTAGCCTCTTCTCTTGTGTGTGGTTAGTAATATTGAATGTGAGATGATATTAAAAAAAGTTAGTTAAATGCAAGAAGATTTCGTTTTCAGTATGATTTACAAAATATGGTAAAATACTTCTCCAGGAAACTAAAGTGCTCGTTTATGCTTTGGTCATGGTGATATAAACAAGTGCTAATAAACTTTGCAGTATATGATGACATTTTGCTCTGCATTTTTTTTAATTCCCTGTGTTTTCAATACATTCTCAGAAATAATAGATTGGGAAATTTCTATCCGTTTGAATGTTACTTCTTTGAGTAGAAAAGATGAAAAATCTGATTTTTGCCCTTGCAAATGGGGAGTCAACTCATACACATATAAATACAGTAATAATGGACTGTTGAAATGATTCGTACCTCTTGCTTGCCTTTGTCCATGGTGGCACTACACAAAACTCCTTGACACAGCTGTGAAAGTGACGACATGGAGTTTTGGGGCAAAAAAGCTTCCAGTGGGGCCTACATATGCTCCATTATGTCACTCAGACTTTTACTTTGAGGTAATTTGGTTTTATTAATGAGTTGATAAGGTAAATTGGCCTCTGTTAAGATTTCAGAAGCTGATGTTTCAAGTGTTAGCCCTTTGTCAGAGGGAAACATTCCTTTGTCATTCACTCTGACAAAGGGCTAACACTCAAAATGTCATCTTTTAAAATCTAAACGGGGACCAATTTATTTACATTATCAACTCTTATATTTTGTTTATTATTAATTTTTCAAAACTCTTTTTTCTGATCCATGATCCAATCTGATCTGGTCCTGGTTTTGCCAACGCTGCTGTGGTTTCCACATTCTTGTCAACCCTCAGCCAGAGCTATTTCTGTATGAACATGCATCATATAATTGCTGTTAGGTTTAGATGTTGGTGTTTTGATTTGACAGTTGTACACATAGATACCCTTACACGGTTGTGCTCTGCTGGTTCCTGGTTACCAAAAGGAACTGAGTTTTAGCTTCAGGCAACTGGAAACATTGCCATTTTGCTGAGTGGGTTGGCTGGCTGTGCTCTTTTTACTCTCTTTTCAAGTTGGATGCATGATTATGCTCATTGGCTAAAATCATGGCTGCTGCCAAATGACAGAAGGGAAGAATCTTCATAATTTGAAGGAACAGGAGCAGTTTTGATAGTTAAGGGGCTACATTGAAATTTTAGTGTGAGCTCTGTCTTGATGATGTGTAAAATAACTGCCAGACAATCACAAGTATTGGCAGGGACTAGCTTATTACAAATAATAATACTAATAGCAGTATCTGTTTCTGGTAATTGGCTTGTATTACTGAGCATCATGCCCTTGCTATGCATAACTTTTGAGTCAGTCTAGCCTACACACTAGAAAAAGGGCGGCTTTTATTAAGGCAAAGGCTCACTAGGGAGGTAAATCTTGCTTGTTTTGAAAGTGGATATCTCTGTTTGATCAGTATATGTCTTACAGTCATCTCTTTTAAGTTGTTTGTACTTTTTAACAGTGATTTATTATTACGGTATTCTTTCAGGCACAGTATCAAGTATTAATGATACTAGTATGAGTAGTCCCAAATGTGGTAGGGCAGTTACTCATAACCTTCGTCCAGGAGAAGGTTTGTCATTCTTCTGCCATCCTAGTTTGAAAGGAAGATATGTCACCATCAGGGATGTTAGGCCAGGTGAATCCGCATTCAATCTTTGTGAAGTTGAAGTGTATTCAGAACAAAGAGGTATGGCATATCTGGATATTTTGAAGAACTACTCTTAACTGCCACTTTATTCAGCTGAGGTTCCAATCTGCATTCTCAGGAAAATTTGGCGTTTAATTTCTGTATGTAGACATGTAGGTACTTCAACATTGTTAAATAAATGTAAAGTTGTGTGTAGCATATAAGTATGATTAAGTTTGGTTTAACAGTCAATATACATACATGGCCCACCTTAAAACTTTTATTATTAACCTGTAAATCAATAGGTGTTTTTATCTTCAATTAGAGGCTAAAAGGTGATAAAGCTAATTTATTTTTCATTTTTCATTTTTTGAGCCTTGAGTTTGCACTCAACAACAACAACAGGTCTTTACACAAATACCTCAAATCACTGGTAAAATAGTTGAGGCATGTTTAGATGTTGCAGTACACTTGTGATTGTTACTGTACATGTATGATATACCAGTACTGATTCTCTGGGTTGAAACCACTGTTTATGGTAATTATGATTGTCTTTTAACAGCATGTCATAGTCAGGCAATTGGATTGACCAGCAGTGATGCAATTCCAGATGGCAGCTTCTCAGCCCCATCATCTTTTAGTAATGCCCGCCAACCTTGGGTTGGTCGTCTGAATTTAAATAGCCGGGGTTGGTTAGCAGAGACTAACAAAAATCCTGCTGACTACCTTCAAATTGACCTGCTCTATGATTATGTCATCTGTGCTGTAGCTACCCAAGGAGGTGTTGGTGCTGATCAGTGGGTAACAAAGTACAAGATTCAGTTATCATTAAATGATACCACCTTTTACATTTATAGAGAAAACAACACTGAGAAGGTCAGTTTGATCTAATTGAAATATCATGCTTAACTTGGTTGAATTTTTTCATATATTTTTTTCTTGTAGTTACATAGAAATACACTTAGTTGTGCCTAATGTTTTGTAAAACAGAAGAATAATGGATAATTATGTAAGAGCATTTTGGTATGTGTAAATTTGAATCAGTTTTATTACCAGGTTAAGTGTTGGTGGAAATGAATGAAAGAACTAAAATGAGCTTCATAGGTCAGGTCTTTCAGGCTTTAAAATGCTTATTTTTGAGGGCGTAATGTAGACCAGTATATGATAACCTACTAACATGGAATGTTGACATGGCTTACAGTTTGATATGAAGTGACTCATTTCGCTTGATCAAATGATTTAAAACTGTTTCTGCTAGAATTACAGCTGTAGATTATCCTCTTTCATCAGTGTTTCTGTGATGGTGTTAGCTACAATTTTTATTGGTTGGATGTAGGCTTGTTGATAATTCAAAGCCAAGGAAAACTGTTGTCACAAAAAGTTCAAATTTTCATGTGAAGTGAATAAACTTGTCAGTGTCTATTATTGTTGACTTGCTTTTGCAAACAGTATCATTTATTAGTTTTGTGTAATCTTTTGATATTTTAGGTCTTCAATGGAAACTCTGGGAGAAATGACATAGTAAAACATGGTCTGAGGGAGTATGCTTTGGCAAGGTTCATCCGTTTTGTGCCAATGGAGTATCATGATTATAAGGCATTGAGAGTGGAAGTTTATGGAGTTCTCTTATCTACAGGTACTGATTCTATTTTCTCTGTGCCATATCATTGAAATCCTACAAGTGTTGCAAAAGGTGGAAGGGAATATTACGACTTACCTTACTTAAAAATGTTGTATATAATCACGTAGCCTACTGATATCATGCTGTAGAAAATATAGCCAATCAGATGGAATTCAGGAATTCAATGTATATTTGATGGTATTGCGCCCACTCCTCTTATTGTGTGCTGTGATCTTATTCCTGTGAAAATCAAGCATGTGATACCATTTCTAGTGTATTTCAAGTGCTGTTTAAGCCATGTCAGAACCAAATTCTTCCCTCAACATTAATGTTCAGGTAATGACAAAAACAAGTGACTTGTGGGATATTCCATGGTATACCACTCAGCATTGCATAACTGGTGTATATTTGAGTGATATATGTATATGCTCTGTGTATATAATCAAATTTATAAGTTATTCCTTAATTTAAGGAAATCAGATTAGCATTTAGTCACATCTTTAATGGCACTCATTTAATCCATCAGGGATTCATATAGTCACTGAGGTTCACTTCGTGTCAGACTCGAAAGAGCTTGAAATTCTGACTTGCAAACTCTTAGGGAGGACACAACCACTGTGATACTACAGAAATAACACTTCATCATTATTAACAACTTTCATCTTTGTTAATCAATTCAGTTCCTTTAAAGGCACATGACCATTGTGAAACTGTATAATTAAATACCATATAATCATTTTATTCAACACTCCAGTTCCATCACAAGCTCCAGGCAACTTCACTGTGACTGTTACGTCATCTACTAGTATAAGAGCATCATGGACATCACTGCCAGAATATGCCAGACATGGAACAATAACAGGTTATAAGGTGTTTTACAGACAGGAGGGCTCAGTGAACAATTCAGTCATGGAGTCTGTTATTGGAACAGAAATTTTAACTAAAGATTTTGCTAATCTTAACAAGTATACCAAATATGAATTTCAAGTGTTGGCCATGGGATCTCATGGTGAGGGACCAAAAAGTCCTGTAATGGTTGGGCAGACACTGGAAGATGGTAAGAAGGCTAAAACTAAATAGTGTAGGTTGTAAGAAACATTTTTTCCAAAAAAACACTTAGCTTTTTGTCATGAGACTGGAACATACTTCATGTGTACATCTTGCCAGGTTTATTGTATTGATATTGTGCATGATATTGTCAGAGTTAAGCTATTATAATTATTAAGAGTTAACTGCCCTCTGCAGTTTAAGTGAACAGGTGCATCATCTAATTTGTACATTTTTTCTGTGAAAGATCAAGTTTATTTCAGTACAGTTTAAATAATAACCTTCATCTTCCATTTCTTTACTACTTTAGCACCAAGTATTCCTTCAACTCTTTCTCACTCTGAGATAAAACCAGATAAACAAGTTGGTCCAAAGTTAAAGCTCACCTGGCATAAGCCAGCAGAAGAAAATGGAATTATCAGGAGTTACACTGTGTTTTATAGTCATGATGAAGATCCTCATAACATTAACACTGAAACCTTAGGAGGAAAGATGTTAAGTTACACAGTAGATGTGTTAGGTGGGGCCACCTATCAGTTCCACGTCAGAGCTGCAACGATCAAACCTGGACCAAATGCAACCTTGTCTGTTACTATTAATGATTATGGTAGGTGTAAATTAGAAAAGATTATGATCAATAGGCCAGTTTTGATATGCTAAAATTCTAACATAGCTCTGTTGCTAAGGGGAATAAAACTAAAAAAACTAATTATTCATCTCACAACCTCCATGTGATTTTTTTTGTTTTATTCCCCTCACCCTCGGTGCCAAGTTTGAATTTTATTACATTGAAAATTGCCTATTAAATTCACTTTCAACTTTAATGTTATCTGATAAGTGTAGATGGTAAGTTATATCAAGGTAGACAAATAGAGAACAGCTGCATTACAGGAGTGGTACAGGAAGGACTCTCCTTATCAACTCCAAGTTCTTTCCAAGATACATGTAGTATTGAAGGACTGGTAAACATGATTGTATTCAACATGAATGACTACATACCTAAAAAAAAATAAAAATGTGATGAAGGGGAAAAGAGGGAAGAATTACTGAAATACAATTTAGATAAACTTTGAGGATAAATTTTTGATCCAATGTGATTCAGAAATAATTATTTATGAAATTTTTTCGTTCAATGACAGACAGCTGACCATTTATCTGAATTGGTATATTTTTTTATTCCCTTTTGTCAGAACCCAGTGTAGCACCAAATGATGTGTCTTTCAGTAGACTGAACCAAACAACCTTCAATATTTCATGGTCACCCCTGACAAGAAAAGAGAGTTATAGCAAAGTTATCTCATATGAGGTCAAGATATCATTAGTGTCGTCTGGAAGTCAACAAAAGAGATCTCCAGCCAACAGCAAAACTGTTAACACAACAAAAGCATTTGTTATCCTGTATGATATTCAGCCTTGTTACAATGTGTATGTCCGAGCATACACTAAAGCTGGCCCTGGACCATATGGTCAACCTTTACCTCTGGAATTGAGTAAGTTTCATTTTTTTTCCCACAAATTAAATGTAGAGCATGCAAAATTTTGCTTCAAAGTCATTAATTTAGAGTGTATAGAAGCTTGATGTTTAGTCTGATTCAAAATCACCAGTAAGAGTAAGAAAAGCAAGGCATTTTGGCTGTCTTTGGTTGTAGCTTAATTCGGCTAATAACCAGGAAATTGATTAATTGAATAGGGGTGATATTCAAAATGCACCCCCTAGTGTACCTAGGGAAACAAGTTGCAATGTTTCCCATACATTTTTCAGCGCAAATAGCTGTACATTTTAACTCATAATCACATTATTTAATTTATTCTTATTACTCACATGGACTATTTGTACAAATAAAAAAACTACAGAAAAAGTAGGAAATTAATAAAAGCGCATTTACTGAATACACAAAAGAAGGAACTTACTCTGGAATCTAAAAAAGCTATGATACTTACATTGTTTTACTTACTAATATGACAAAGTACCAGGGGCACCCAACAACCTGAGGGTAACAGACTCTCAGTCAACAGAGATGACACTGGAATGGGAAATACCCCAACCTGCTATGGGAGAAGAGTGGAAGGTGATATTCTTAATTTTTAAGTCTACTTTCCTGTAAAAACATGGATTTTGACAAATTTGAATACAACTCTTTTAAGTTGAGAATCAGAAACTACTATTTTTGTGATTTTTGTAATTCCTAACCTAAAGAGTGTTTTTAATCCTTAAACTCTCTAGATCTCATTAGTAATTCTCTTTACTGTCTGCCATACTATTCTTATGATGTTAGTTTGGAGAAATAATCCCCTAATCAATATTTTACTTTATTCTCGTCACTCCTATGCTTGACATTGTATTGAAATTGTTAAGGGAAATTCTGTCTTGATCATTCATGGGAGTTAAAGGGTTAAAGGAGCACTGACGGAAATGACATCTGTCGTAATGAATATAATGTATAAGTGTACTAGAGAACTGGTACCATCAGTATGACTACCATTTAAGAGCAGCTACTGTAATAGTTACTGTAATAAGTGAGAGGAGTTATATGTACATGCACAGCTATATGTATATACATAAAATTAGGTTTTTTTGTTTTGTGCTGTGATCACGAAAATGCACGTCCACGTGGGAGATTTTATTTGTAAATAAATTAGTGCAGGTGTGGTATTTACTGTATCTGCATTTGACTCAATTGTTTGATTGTTAAGGTTGAGTACTCTGGGAAAAAGTCTTACAACAACAGCTTTTCACACGAAGGCAGCGAAGATGTACAGGGAACAACAAAATATACCCTTGATAATTTGGTACCAGGTACCAAATATGACCTTCGGGTGTATGGAATCTCAAAATGTGGAAACAACGGATTCCCTTCATCTTTGGAAGTAGATACAAAAATAGGAGGTAAGCAATAACATGCAGGTAACCATTTGACCCCAAGAGTGACTAACATCTAATTTCTCTTCACAATATCACCCTTGAATCACACAATGTGGTCACAAGAATAAAGGAAATGATCACCTACTTCTGATTAGGAATGTATGGGATCAGTATGGAGAATATGCATCTTGAAATTGATGTAAATATTTTGCGAATCATATTATTACATTTATTTTATTCCCAGAGCCATTGGCTCCAGTTGTACTATCACTGACCACCAGGAAGGTCGCTGAGTTGCAGGCTGAAATTGATCTGTGGCCTGCTGAACAAAGGAATGGTCCAATAAGGTGATGGTTTTATAGTTTGTGTCACAGATTAGCTAAAAGCATAAACTATTAATGATACTCTCACCTGAGGAGGATACAATTCTTGCTTTCACTGTGCACATAATGATGTTAATCTTGTGTACATAGTCCATGATATGAGAAAGATACAATACCTTAATTAGGTCTTTCGAACTTTAGTTGCAATACCAGACTGGGTAAAAATCTCCTTGTTGACTGTAACGTTAACAAAATGCCAGTTCTGCAATCAACAACATTTCTGTTTAGGACTATTCTTCCCAAGACGATCAGATCGCACAACTGGCTACTATATTGAACACAAACACATAACTTTCCTGCAAAGTCTTTCGCAAAAGTTCCTAAGTGCTTAACTCAAGTCATTAAAGACCATCAAACAACCACCACCTTTCAATACGGCGATGACCGCAATGATGTTGACCAGAATTTTGTTCGTTTTCAACATTTCAGTGCTTATCAAATAATCATTCTTAAAGTCTCTGATTGTGTTCAAGAGCTTCCCAAGGATTTTCATTTGAAGCTGAACGATTTAAACGACGAAAATTTGAACTTTCATCCGTTTTACATCGCTGCGGAAATCGAAAATGATCCTGTGCATGAGAAATCTTGGAAATTTACTGTTGGTGACGGGAAATCGTATGGAACTTTTATCAACAAAGAACTGAGGAAAGGAGGAAACTATTTTGCCTATCAAAGAGCAATAACTCGTTTCAATGGTGTAAGTAAATTTGGGTGTTGTTTAATTGTTCTGTAATTTAAAGTTGATAATCTAAACATAATATCCACTTGATGAAGAAAATTATTTTGGACCAAAGCATGTTTTTACGTGCAGTCACACTTGCTGTTAGGGATAAATCTCACTTCCTTATATCAATGAATTTTAAGATGTGTTTGTCACTTTTTGACCATGTTTGGTTCACTTTCTAGCAAATTTTGGAAGGATATGCCAGTAAAGTGGCCTCGATATCTGTCACACCAGGTATGCGAGTTAACACTCACGTGAGACTTGAAAGTAATTTCTCTATCTTTTCAGTTTAGTGGGCTGTTAACTTTCATGAGAGCTTTGTGACTTGGAGAGAAACTTCCCTTTTGGCAAGAGTCAATTGTTACAGTTGCTCGGGCAAATTGGAAAAAAGTTAAACTCAAGTAATGGCAGATCCTTGTTGAAGTCTGCCACTGTTTCAAAAGTTTGTGCCTGGCCTTATTTCTCCCCTTCAACTGAATAAGTTAGGTTTAAAACCTCGGCCACTGCAGATTACGAAAAGCAAACTAACCTACCACCGTTGTTTTTGTGTTTACTAGATAATTCTTATTCCGGTCTGCATTTACATTTGGTCACCTTTCAATTCTTATCATAATTATCATAGAATAACATCCTTTTTAGTAGATTTTTTGTTATTTTATTTTCACTTAAATGTAAAATTTGTGCAACTTCCATTGATGTAATTAACAAAAGCGCCTTGAGAAACGAGAAACGCCACAGTCTGGATTAAGGGCAGGTTTTTTGTTCTCGCTTGCTCTTCTATGAATTTTAATGTTTAACTATTATTTTCTTTCAATCTGCAGAGTCACTTAAATATACTAAAGAAACCATAAAGGGAGATACCAGTGAGTATTGTGGGGACACAAGAAGCTGGTATTAAATTTTTGATTAAACAGCGCCAATAAATCCATAATTAAACATCATGTTGGAATAATCTCGTAATAATCATTTGATTCCTCTCAAAGCTATCACTTGATTCCTTCATTATTTTCTCCAATTTTCATGGAGACACAGATTTTCATATCTGATGTAAATCCCTCCTATTTTCTAACAGGTGAATCCCAAGTCTTTCGGGCTGCTGTCATCGCTCTTTGTTGCATTGTTTTCTTCTTGCTCATTGTGATTGGTGCGCTAATATGGCGGTTGAGACGAACTGAGCTTAACAAAAAAGCAACCACAGTAAACAGTGGTATCCCTGCCCCATCTGGTGGTCATCAAGTGTCAGAGCCTGGTGTTTATATGGAACTCCACCCTAGGCCTTCGGAAGGGAAGTCACGTGAACCTCCAGAGTACCAGTCATTGCAGGACACTCAAGTGACTTCCAATTATTACAATGTGGGATTCAAGAGAGAAAGGTCAGGGAAGAAAGACGGTGGAATTTACGAGAATTCGCACAGTTGAATGCTTTAGTCTCCTCTTGACGCTTGATAGATCTGAATTGAAGCCGCCCGTTTAGATATGGGTCTGTAAGCCCTAGAGACAGTTTGTTATTGAAGACTTGGTTTAACGAACATCAGAACGTTCGTAAAAGCCCAACCACATGATGAATTTCCGTAAGAGACTAACTCTATAAAGAAATTTCGTGGAAAAATAGACCGTGTAATTAAACAAAGCAATAATTAGGAAAATTTTATCTTACAAAGTAGTAGTAGTAATCTTTAATGAGTATGCCAACGTCACGAAGTGGTTTATAAAAGGGTTCTCAGAAGAATACTAAGTTTAGATTAAGAACCAGTTAAACATACAAAAATGTAAAAGTTTAAAAGAATATATACAGTTATCAAGCATCAAATATAACCAGTTAAAAATACAGGAATGTAAAAGATAAAAAGAATATGCAGAGGGTAAAAAGCAAAGAATGTTGTTAAGAATCAAAGACAACTTTGGACAGGCCACGTTTAAAAGCAGGCGATGACTCTGCATTCCTTAATGAAGTGTCTAAGCCGTTCCATATATCGGCGCTAAAATTTACTGACGACCAATGACCCCATCTTCTTGTGGCACTAGATTTGCGAATGTCATTTCTCGATCTTGTGTAGTAACTATGAAAATCACCATTGAATGTGACAGGGATAGAGTGACAGAAATGGTTGTTAATCAATTTATACGTAAAAATACCATGATGTTCCTTTGTACGTCGCACTGCATTATTATAGTTAGCCTTTGTTGTGTACCTGATGACATTCGCCCACATATTAACGGGGCTGGGAAACATACAAACTTTTATATAAATTGTATGAGTAACGCATGACAACTGAATTACCTTATGTACCGGTAATCGCTCATTGTGAATGAAATTACATGCAGCAGAATGTAGAAAGGAAAATCTTGAAATGACTCTGAGTCACTTTTAGCCATGTTGGTCTTAAGAGGAGACGATTTACCCCGAATTGTAGCCTAAGAATTGGGTAAAATGTATGGGAAGTCGAAGAGATGCTCAGTCAGGAGAAAGTGCTCTTTAAATGGAACAACCAAATTTCAATACTGTGGTACGAAATAAGAAGGGACTCGCGTCTCAACTTTCCTGAATGAGCCAAAAAAACTGCCTCTTCTGTAGGTTATCTTCCTCTGCTGTCAAACAACTACTTTCGAACATTTTCAAACAGTTTTCGAGTGTAACGTAGCATGGTATGCAACATTGGCGATATCAGTTAAACCTTACGGTTTCGTATCTTCTCACTGGTCTGTTAATCTTTGTTTTTGTGAGAAATCTTAGGAATACAGAGATTCTAGGCTTGTTTTTGTGAAGGAATAAGTTTCTTCAAAAATTGAGAAGGATAATTAAATTAGAAGCGATAGTTTTACAAGAGATGTGCTAGAAAGAAAAAAAAAAAGAAAAGAAGAACAAAGATGGTTAGTGAAAGTGATATTCAGACCGATTAACTCTTAGGACCAACAGAAATAAAGGAGGTAAGTCTCTGAAAAAGCTGTGGTACTAGGTGGGTAGGGGATATAACCTGATAATTTGGTTTTATCAACTGAGTTTTCAATGAAAATTGGCCGCCGTAAAGAGTTTATTAAGAGATTCTCTATAAACTGTGGCCTCACCTTGTCAAGATACACAAGAAAAAAAACATTCCCACGACATTTGATCATAAGTTTGCCTTTTTAGATTCTTACGGAAAAATTCATTTTAATAAAGATTAGTTATAAATGTTTCAGCACACAAATCATAATTGACAAGTTTACTTTATAACTAGTGACGTTCACACCAAGAAAAAATGAAAAACAAGAAAATAATTTAGACTTCCGGTAAGAGTCTTTACCTGTAGATCATCCCTTTAAAATAGAGGAACCTAAACCCGTATTGTCAACGCGTCGTCTTTCGGCACGCTGCTGAAACTCCGGGAATATATATCATAATGAGTTTAATTGTATTTTGGCAGATGAGCTCCAACGGAGAGAATGAACTTTTTAAGATGCAAAAGGTTATTGAACTGAAACATCAGGTGTCTGCAACGTTTCAGTTTCTCAGTGAGTTATGAAGTAACAACAGCGGCGAAATGTCGGAGTTTGATTCCGGGCTGCACTTCCAAGTGGCTTTCTTCGCTTTTCTTATTCCTCTAGGTTCCGGTGAGTTCTCTATCATTTATAATCTGTGCATACGAGTTAAGATCTCAACGAATTCACAGATTGTTTTTCGCAGTGACTCCATAGATATGAAGTTATTAAATTCCATTTCATTGCCGTCAATTGACAAACTGTCGGGTCCGACCGAAAAATCCCATGTGAATTCAAACATCTTCTTTAAAGCTGAAACATCTGACAAGTTATTTTATTTTGAGAGAATGAGTCTGGGAGAATTGTAGTTGCGATTTTCAAACCTATCTGGCATAGTATGAGTTACTTCCTGGTAAGGAGTAAGAGCGTCTCACCGACTGACCTCGTCGCTCGTCTTTTCTTATTTACGTAAGAGCATGATCTTCTCTACTTGGCTTCACGATGTTTATGAAGCGGTAGCTTGAGAGAGATCTGAACTTTTTTCGGAACAGAACTAGCTCGCTTCGTTATCGATTAAAATATGACGGTTTCCTAATTATACGGTCATCATTCTTAGAGAGGCATATTTGAAAGCTATGATCACATGAGAAGTAGTTTTAGAATTTGGACGATTTCGACTGCCTTCCTATACTTTTACTTAAAACAGTTTCTGCATCATATCGAGCTTTGCTTGAATTTACGAGCTGTTCGATTTCTTGAACACAAAGTTGTGTCATTATGCAAATCTGGCGCTTATTTATTTTAAGTTTCCATTTTAGTGTGCAAACTAGTTCGATACATTTACTGCCATTTAGCTTCTGCTGAAGGCATTGGATAAACATGTAATGACGATTATTCAATAAACCAGCGTGAGCCAAATCAAAATGGCAGAGAACTTTAAGAACAAAGTAAACTGAAAGTTCAATTATGTTAATAGGTTTGTCGTGACTTGGCATATCACTGTCGACTATTGTTTTAACAAATTTTGCACTTATTAATTTTGTTCGCCGCAATGACTTCAAACTTTCAGCGATTTTGCTAGCGTGACAGCCGGTTATGCAAATTAGTTCATTGAACAAACTCCGACCGTTTTATAAAAGTAGCTCAATAAATCTTAGATTTTAACCATTTTAAGTTGAAAAGATAGTAGGACAGAGCTTTTAGACTACACCGATTGATACTCTAAACATTTCAAAAGGCCAGAATTTGACAAATTTTACCCTCTCGTGACGAGAGACGTCAATAACAATGCATCGAATATCATAATTTGATTAGCGCTCGCTTAACATTTTAATGGCAAACTCTTTCTTAAAAATTTGGCTTCTGCTACCTCATGCATATTTGAGTTCTGACAGGTTACGCTATTCAAACCTGTATGAACATTTCAGAACCAAACTACAGGATTCTATTAAGTGTAACCGGCGATAACAGCACACATTGAAATACACCTTGACCAGTGACTCTGTCACGTAATTCCATCGTATAATTGTCCTGAATACCTCTCAAGTCCAAGTAAAGCAGCGATTGCTCGAATTTCTAGCTGACAGGAACAAATGATATTTGGTCGCCACACCTGTCTGCATAGCAGTCGCTGTTCATAACTTTGGAGAGTTCTTGTGAAAAAGGATATCTCATTCGCATAACGGGTGGACGTCATAATTAGACTGCATTACAACTCCACTCCGAAATCATTTCCTCCATTTTTGCAAGAAGTGTTGTCTTTGTATCTCGCATTTTGAATGCGAGCTCAAAATGTTTGCACATGTCTCTTAGTACCTTGACTTTGAGACTGGGCAACCTTCACCCTCTTGCCAACGAGCACACATCATAGACAGCAAACATGATTGGATTTTTCAGTCCTATCTCATCCATTACTGTGCTCCTGGCCTCCCTCAAACACGAGTACTGCCTGACGTTTTGCGAAAGCCGTACACTTGCACCTCTCTTATGAAGAGCTCATCCCATGGGAAGCTGTGAAGCACTTGTCAAGGGTTCTGTGGCCGCTGCAACCAGTTCAGTCGAACCCTCTAATAACAATGACTGAAAGTGATGAACCCACTCCCTCTTCACTTTGCCATAAAGACTTTCAGTCATGCTCGCAGACACAGGACTTACATGATGAACCACCAAGTTCATATGGAGTTCAAGGTCGGATTCTGTGACGCAGGATTTTTTTCAACAGGCACCTCACTCTTCGCCTGTGCTCTTGCCTTCTTTATTTGTCTATCTGAGAGGTTTTCAAATGGCTGATGCATGCGTTTAAGCTCGTTAGCTGAAAATCTATCGGCATAAATACTCAGTATTTGAGTCCTGAGTGATTTTGTGGGAGCATTCTGATAGGCGGCCTTAAGGATTTGAAGGCCAACATCAATAGCTGTCTTGCACTTCTCTTCATGGTCTACGACCGCTTGGAATAACGCTTTTCCATCTCTTAGAGCAATGACATCGCACACCAGCTGACACGCTTCCCCAGCTTTTTGTACAAACTCAGATTTTTCGGGAAAGGAGCATTTTTCCCTACAATCTACTTGGGATTCCAAACGTGTAATCCTGGGCTTTTGTGCAACATCGGCGAGGCTGTCGATATATGCATTTAAGACTTGAATTGTATCTATGCTAAAGTTCTGAATAGAACTGTCTTAAAGACAGGTGTGCAGACAAACTTTCTCTTATTCCAGCCGACTAGAATGCTGATCCAAAAAATGATGTTATCGCTGCTTTATTTAGAAAGGAGAAGGATGTACCTCCTCTTGACGCTTGATTGATCTAAATTGAAGCCGCCCGGTAAGATGTGGGTCTGTAAGCCCTATAGACAGTTTGTTGTTGAAGATTTGGTTTAACGAACATCAGAACGTTCGTAAAAGCTAACCACATGATGAATTTTCGTAAGAGACTAACTCTATAGAGAAATTTCGTGAAAA